ACAAACTCAACAAGATCGGCAAACACAGGCTCTCGATCTCCTCTGATAATCTTATAAGCTACCTTTAGCCACTCTTGTTGAATGTGCGTTGGTAATTTCAGAACCATAGTTTCGATAGTTCTAGAAGAGTTCAAATCAGAAACGTAATTCATCTGTTCGAGAGTCAAACCACATGCTTGCATTTCTCGAGACAGTCTTCTCAAACCATCTGGTTGATTCCTTCTTATAATGGGAAAGTTTAGCAAGTTGTCGATAAACGTGCGTGCTATAACGTGTTTTTGGCCAAACGTTTCCTCTAAAAGTTTTAGGGCTTGACGATAACCTATCTCTGGTTCTAGTATAGTACAATGAAGGATAGCGGCTTTCGCTTCTCCGTCGCAATATTGAATCAAGTAATTTAGCTTAGCTCTAAATTCAATACTCTCATTCTCAATGCATTCTTCGAAATTTCTAATGAAATTCCAATAATTTGTCGGTGTACCATCAAATCTTAAGACTTCTCTTTTTGGTAAATACAGGTTTTTTAATATTGTATTCTCACTGTTGCTTACTGATTGGCCAGAACCTTGACATCCCTGGCGACGTAACTTTTCAAGTTCAATTTCCTTTTCTAACTGGGTTATGCGTAACCTAGCTAACTCTAGTTCTATCATACTATTGTCTTTGGGTTCGTTCTTTTCAAGTTGATCCTCGTCATAAACTCCCAAATGATGGGGTGATAACTCTGGAATCTCATCGGAATCGTAGTATTTAATGGAGGTCATTTCAGTAGGTATATTGAAAATTACTGCTCGAAACTTTGTAGGAAACAATTTCCTACAGGTTAACTAAGCTATTCTCTAAACTGTTGAATACAGAGTCTTGCTTTAGCCAAAGTCAGAACAAGTAAGCTATTTGGCCTGATAAACTTTATCTGTTTCTAAAATAAACAGTACAGTCTATTAACGTAGGGAAAACAGAGACATGATTAACATACCGAACAGTAATCAGAGAATAGGAAAAATGAGTCAGCAAAGCGAATATTGTTTCATAATGAACATAAAATTATGATTGGTGGATAAAAATAAAAAAAGGTATAGTCATACAAGGTCAAAGAAAGTTAACGTGGTGGTGGGCGTTACACCTTATCATTGGTGTTGTAGGGCCAGTGAAATTCCACTGAGCCCTAGCCATTGAATATCGAACAAAATCATTAATCCTCGTCTATGTCAAGGAAAACCAACGCGCATCAGTTAATCGTACGCCATGGACTGGCCCATGCGGCAGTGGTCTTACCTTCGCTTGTGTCTACTTTAACTAATATATTTCTGTAATAACGTCCTGTGTGTTGTACAGTCTTCAAAGCATCTATAGTACCTTGATACGTCAATGGGGTAATCTATGTAAGGTGCAGACCGCGAAGTGTGACTTCGACGTTAGCTAGTTTGTCACACCACTCACGTCTAATTCGAGTAAGCCTTCAATCATTTCGACGTAGATCATCCACGCTGGTGATCTACAGTGTGTTCATTTATCGATCACATTTTACAATGGTTTATGATATTCATTTTCATTTATTTTGGTTAAAAATTATTTCTTAACTAAATGATAAACCGGGAACGATTTATATTTACAAGGACTGTTTATATAGCTTGTAAAGATTTGCTTTTATTACATGTTGACATGAACGATACTAAATGTTCGACAGACAAACTAAACGAATCATTTTGGGTCATCATGATCATATATATTTGAACATATCACTTATTCTCTTGCGCTGAGATCGTGAATCGATCTAAGTACTAAACGGCCTTCTCCTCCTAGTATGGAGCTCTTCGACTGTGTACCTCCAATTCTTCACAGGCGGGAATGAAAACACAAGCGCTCAATCTCTTATCCGATGAGCCGACACCCAACAGTGTTAATATCCAACATCAACTAAACCAAGACATTGTGCGATTATATTTCATTTTCTTTTGTGGGTACTTGCCTTAAATTCATTACGGATTAGCACCACTGATTAAGGCTTCTCACTAGAACTTCGAAAATGTCCTCTCGAAGATAGACACTAGTAAGCATATTGTAATCATCAGTGTAAGGTTGTGGAGATTGTTGGGTTTTTATTGTGATGTTAAACCAAGCAATGTTCGACTACCATTCTAGTGAGAAGCCGTGGCCAGTGTAGTTCAAACAGTGTTGAGTAGATTAGTTAAAATAAATATTAACACCAGTTGATCCCAGCTCAATGGTTTGGAGGGTAGGCGTTCACGCGAGACTAGAGGTCCCAAGTTCGAGTCCCGTGTGCGTGACCGTGGATGAGCACTGATGATGAGTCCTATACTAAAACGGAACAGCCACCCAGTCCTTTCAGATTTTAAATGGTTACCTGGAATTAATCGGTTCACGATCCCATTAAAAACTCGATAATCTCCATGACACTATACTGATTATGATTATCTTGAAATCTTGATTATTTCTTATATGTGTATTCATGAGTGTTATGTCTTTTGACCCTGTTAGTTTTATCACGCGTTTAATTCCACCTATTAGAGCAGCGACTTATATGACCTCGATACTGTATCAAACCAATGACGCGTTAACCAGTATGAGCTGCCCAGAGTCGACTTTGTGTCCTGGCTAGTCCTTCCGTCTAGCCATGCCTGTTGAGTCCAGAACACAGTTTCTACTGTATGAATCATATATTTAAGACATACGGGGTATATATACAAACAAAACAGACAGCATCATACTATAAAACAGAAAATAACAAGTATACAAGATCAGGCCAAAAGTGGCTGTGACTGTGAGAGACTGTAACTAGTAAATTGGGAATAGTAAATCGTACAATAGTAGTCAACAGGTCAAACGAAAGCTTGTAATAAGAGGAATGTGAACATACATATAATATAGTTACTTGATTGTTATATAGTAAGAGCATATGCATAATAACAGTTCATAGATAAACCCTAGAAGTTAGCCGTAATTTAATTTTCACTAGGTCATACCAATGAGTATGTTTGCATATCACTCTATTCGTTACGTGTCTTCGGTTTATCTTTTTTATGTGAGTACAAAGGTTGAGTAGCTTTGCCTATACATCTTCTAGGATTACTGCCGGTCTTAAGTTTGGGTAAAAGAGAATGGTTGGGTATGAAGCCGGCAACCCCATCCAGCAGAAAAAACTTTTACTAAAAAGACACCAACCAGATCAGACAAATCCCGTCATAAATCAGAAATTTCATAAGCTTAGAGGGTGCATATGTGTCTACACTATAACGCCTACTTAAGTTACGCTACCTTTTGAACATAATGTTATTCAAACTTTTCCATTTATCTTTTCATCTGACCTAATCAACTGTTTATGTGTACTCTAAGGTTTTTTATACATATGTACATGATAATACGTATGTACTCTCATAAGCGACCTTTGAAAACTGAGTCATCCTGTTATTCGCCCAGTCGTTGTACTATCGAAATCCTATGTCCTTAATGATTCGGTAATGGTATTGGATCCAACCACACGGTTCAAATAGTTGCAGAACGTCTCGAGAGAGTTGGTTTAAAAGCACAACTATTTAAATGTTACCAATTCAGGAAACAATTTAAATACCCAAGCCACGTTGTTGATGGTCAAGGAATACACTCAAATAGCGAAAGATTGATGCTATTCGAAACTGGGCTGTTCCGCAAACTGCTGATGAACTCGGCAGCATCCTGAACTTAGCGACTTATTGAAGAAAGCTTATCTATTGGTATTCAGAGACTGAAGCTCTCCTTCATACATTTATAATGGTGTAGCGGTAAATAAATCCCCAAAATAAATAGCTCTGTAAGTTTTCGACAATGGATGCTGATCACATTAATTTTATTGGACTCATCTAGCTGAAGGCGCTCGGTCATGCATACACACCAGATCACGAGTGGAAACGCCGTGCACAACAACCCCTGCAATCGCTATCCAGATTACATCAGACGATCCTCGATATATTGATAACCTATAAATATATCTCCGAAGCTTCTTGCTTCTGTCTTTTGATTTCACCTGGTGGGTACGATTCATATGAGAAGGTGTTAGTGATTAAAGCGTTGTCAAACTCCGAATACCTATGGCATCTTCAATGGTAAACACAACTGTAATAATTAGGAGTATTCGAATCATAGTACAAACTAAGAATTTCAGAAATAACGGATCAAGAAGTATTAGATAAACGCAAACGAATGGACTGTAATTAGAATTCGAAATCAAGCATTCAACAAATGCAAAAATATCATTAGTTATTACAAACACCACAAAAACCTTAAAACCAATATCTCTGTAAGTCTCCGACTTTTGATAATGACCACATTAGTTTTAATGGACTCACCTAGATGAAGGCGCTTGATCATGTGTCCGCACCAGATCGCGAGTGGGAACGCCGCGCTGCGACCGCTGGCCAGTCGAAATCAGTCACTTCTCAATATATTGATAACCTATCAAATACATTTTCGGACCTCCCAGCTTCTGACTTTTAATTTCACTGGGTGGGTACGATTCAAATATAGAAGGTATTACTGGTTAAAGTGTTGTCAAACTAAACTGAAGGCTACATTAACGAAATTGAGCTGCGTTTAATTGCAGCCGCTACAAATACTTGTGACATCTTCACCTTATTATCAGCCTGGCAAACCGCATCAGAACGTGTATGCTTTATCACGCAGAGCAGCTAAAAATAATAATAAATGCTCTCTATGCGTCACATCGACAATGAATATGAAAAAGCCGAAATTTATGTGAGATGTTGAATGTGTTCATTTTCAGGCAACGAATCCGGAAACTTTAATGGTGCATAATACTTTGAAAAACCCGAGTTCTCGGTTATCGGAAGAAATTCAAGTTGTGGGTTGAGAAGGTAGGTGCATTTAATAAAAATTTAGTTAAGCTGAGAATTCATAAACATTTCATTGGGGGATTTACTCTAACGGCAATTGTAGCCAACTGATTGAGTTGTTCATTACAAGGACATTTATTCTTCCCCGCCAATCATGAACGTTAGGCGTACGGTGCTTTCGTCCTTGACTAAACACGTTGATCGTATACGCAATGTTTGTATACTTGCCCATGTTGACCATGGTAATTATTTTGTGAAAACTGTGTTTGTTATAATAATAGTGGTTTAAAGTTTTCCTCATCGCAAAAGGTAGTGTATTTGACATGGTCGTAAGTTGCTAGTTTTAACCTTAGTTGCTGCTATGATATGTGATATGTATGCAATCTGATCTTCACTGCTGATATGTAAATGTTAGTTCAGGTCTTCGCGCCGTTTATAGCAATATTATTGTTTTGTACTAGTGGGCCAGCACCGCTTTCACAGAAGTTTCGTTTCTCGCATCGAGTAGTGAGTTACTGGAATTCTTTACCAAAACACGTAATATCAGCACCTTTTGTTGATATTTTCAATACAAGATTGGACCACCACAGTGTTAAAAACTGCAAAGATTAATATAGGTTGATAGACCTATCCTTACTACTGAAGACTAATTCTATTGACAATTTTAGTTTAATACCTCTGCATATTAACTCTACAGGCGACAGTTCCAGAAACAAAAATCGTCTATGCGCTAGTTTAAGACTAGTAGTTAACTAGGTGAGCGTTTGTCCATTTCTAAGCAACTGAAGAGTTATTTTCGTCAAGACCATTGTGTTCTTCCTTGTTGATTTATTATCCTTAGTTTATCCAAGACCTTAAATGTTGCTGAAGTCGTTTTTAGTACAGTTTAAGTCAGTAGCCAACATTCTAAAGACAAACTCCATTAACCTATGCCGTACTTTTTTTTAGAACATTTCATCCATATATACTTAAATGACGTCTGCAGTAATAAGGTTATGTCTATCGACCTATATTAATCCTTGCAGTTTGTAACAATGTGGAGGTCTAATCTCGTTTTGAATTTATCAACGGAAGGTGTTAATATCATGTGTTCTGGTAGAGAATTTCAGCATTTTACTACCCGGTGCGAGAAACGAAACTCTATACGTAGATGATTTGATCTCGTTTTTTGAACATTCTTAGAATGTCCTCTCAAGTGATCACTCCTAGACAGAAGGAAAAGACAAGGCAGTAGTACATGGGTCATCGTTCAGTATAAGATAAGCCAATACTAGATCACCCTGTAATCCTTGGTAAGATAACGGAGATAAGTTGAAGTGTCTCAGTCTGTCTTCACATGATAGGCCAGAGAGATCTACCATTTTAGTCCCTCGTTGAATGACTCGTTCAAGCATATCTGCTTTATACTTGAAACAAGGACTCGCTGCTTGAATCCAGTATTCCAAATGCGGTTCCACGAAATTCAGGCATAGTACTCGAAATATTTCTTCATCCAAGTACTGAAAAGATCTTCGAATAGCCAATAATACCCTAAAGCCTTTAACGGCAGTGGCCTTGCAGTTGCTCGTAGTTTTAAGTTCTATGATTATTATGATTCCTAAATCTTTATAGCCCATTACTTTGGGAAACACAACTCCACGTGTTGTGTAGTGATATGAATCATCATAGTTATCTGATTGCATCGGCTTTTGTGATGTACAAAGGTGTAAAAGGGCGTATACTAAAGCTTATTGAAGCCTTAGCCATACGAAAAATTCTGATTTACTGACATTTTCTGTCGGGGTACCGGGTCGCCCGTTTAAAATAGAGACTTGGTAATTCCCTTCCGGACGTTTTTATTCCGACACTTTTGTGAGAGCGTCCATGACACATATATACGGTCGGCGGTATTGATGTAGGAGTTACGAATGTATAGGTAAGTAAGAGCATGACTCTGTTCCCGGCCGCATCATGGGATTTTCATTGGTACCGAAAAAATCGCCTTTTTTCATTACCGTAATGGTAAAATCATTTAATATTTGCCTTTTATTTACATTCAGCTGTGTATACAGCTTCTAAGTTTCATAGCTGTAACAGTATCTGTCGCTCCATGCCCAACGTTTTTACCATGGTTTTGTGTTGTTAATAATTTAGAGCATTAGAAATCTTTATTCACAAGTTATATGAAAGGGTAGGTCATAGATACGAAACCCCCTTCACCTCTAGTTTGAGAAATCAGTAACTTTTTATCGAGTTTATTATTTTGGTTTTTTTTACTGACAGGTAAGACCACAATGGCTGACGCCTTGTTGGCTACCAATGGTATTGTTTCTTCGCGCCAATCAGGGAAATTGCGATATATGGATAACACTGAGGGGGAGCAAGAGCGTGGCATAACAATGAAATCTAGTGTAATTGGTCTCATTTTCAACCGGAAAGTCTCCTCTGTAGATAAAAACGATGAAGATTATTATCTTGTGAATTTAGTGGACTCTCCTGGTCATGTTGACTTTTCTTCCGAAGTTTCGACAGCGGTTCGACTATGTGATGCTGCAATTATCGTTGTCGATGTTGTTGAAGGAGTATGTCCTCAGGTAAAGTGTTTGATCGTAAGATGACTCCTCTCATAGACTCGTACGGTACTCCGTCAAGCTTGGGATGAAAGACTAACTCTGTTATTGGCTTTAAATAAGATTGATCGATTGGTTGTAGAAATAAAACTAACTCCGTCACAGGCTTATGAAACCATGTGTCGAGTGATAGAACAAGTCAACTCCGTCCTTGCGGAAATGTTTTCTGCAGATATGACTCGCCAAAGAGATGGTATGTGGCAGACGAATATCGATGAACTTGTAAGTATTTATCCCTTTTGTACATGTATTCATTATCGGTTGTCAGATGAAAGTTGATTAACACAAACATGCCGTAAGTGTTCCTGTCCGTGTTCATTAAGTAGTTCATTAGTTGGGTTTATTTCTCATTGGGTAGTGTTTACTTCTTTCGCATAGAAGTTTATTTGTGGGATATTGTATACATGGAATGAAACTATCGGACTGTCGCTTTGTTGGTCACATTGTATCATAATAGCCATTTTCGGTTATTATTTCGAAATGGGTAAGCATCTTGGGGAACTCAGTAGAATGTAATGAGTCAAGTGATAAAAAGGTACTTCACAATAACTTTTTCCGGCATTAATTTGAAATATTAGATAGTTGTTTTAGTTTATAATCTATTAGCTTATTAAAGCACCTGGAGGGATTCACGTGAACCATCCAGTTCATTGCCTCAATGCACTAAATGTAGCTCAACATTGGTGTCAATAAAATTCTTGTTACTTATCTACATAAAATGTAAGACGTATTTCAAGGTGAAATGTTCTCACAGCGAACTGGTCTCTTCATCATTATTATAATTGTTTATATCCAACGTGACCTGTTTTTTCCATTTTGTGACATTTTCAAGCGTCTTCATTATTCGAAGATTTTTTATTTTAAACTAAGTATGTAGGTTAGATCTGCCACTGATTGGTCTCATTTCGGGTACCATTGAAAGCCGAAAAGCACTAGTCCTACTAAGCTAAGCTACAGCGAAATCATAAATCGACCTGAGTTAGACTACTATTGAAAAGAGATGGATGCACTGATCGGCCATCTCCTAGTATGTAACTCTTCATCTGTGTGTGTCCACAACTTCCCAGGCGGGAATCAATCCATGAACATTCAGTCTTATGCGCAGACGCTCAACCTCTAGATCATTGATCCGGCATCCGATAGTGTTAATATATAACATCAACGTTTGGCGACTATATTCCATTTTCTTCGGTAGGTAACTGTCTCACGCAACACGGATTAGCTCCACTGGTAAAAGCATCCATCCATCCACTTTCAAATGTAACTCATATTGATAATTCCTTAACTGGAGATGGAGCTACATCAATCGTTGATAACTGGTCTGAGTGATGGTTCTTTCAGGTTCTAATAATAACTTGTAGTTTCTACTACCAGCTAAATGCTGTCCATAACAAAATACATCAAATAACATCATTAGCTGATTGAGAATGTGAGTTATATGTGTTTGGTTTAAGAACTTTAAGTTCCATTATCTAGAGAACTATAAGTGTATATTGTAGTGGATCTGCAGAATGCTACACGCCAGTTGTTTGCTACTCTTTGACTTCCAGTCTTATTGATTTTTAATGATTGTTTCTATCAAACACCACTATATTTCGTGAATTTTATGAACTTATATAAATTTTACCATACATTTTCCAGAACCTTTCAAGTGATGTACAACATGATAATTACGTGTATGATTGGAGCAATAATCTTGGAAAAGCTGATGATTCTAACTTGTACTTTTCACCTGAAAAAGGGAATGTTGTATTCTGCTCTTCTGTCGATTCGTGGGGATTTCGTGTTGATCAATTTTGCCAGACCTGGTCTGAACGCCTATCTGTTCCTTGTTCAATTTTACAAAAATCCCTGTGGGGTGATTTTTATCTGACTTCCTCTCCTACAGAATTGAATAAAATGGTTGTTAAACCTAATGCTAGGCAAAAACAAAAGAAGTCAATTTTCGTTCAGTTGGTCTTAGAACCTATATGGAATGCATACCAAGTAAAAATTTCGTTTAATCTCATTTGTACGATGTATTTTTCGAAAATAACAATTAGTGTTTGCTTAAAAATGTATAACATTACTTATAAGGTTTACTGAGTTCTTGTAACTAAGCTTTACTTTAATGATAGAACTACACCAGCTTCAAGTACCGATAAAAAATATCCCACCTTATAGATTGGTAGGAAGTCTTGAAAGCTATACATAAGAAAGTAACTAGCTGGTTATCGTTAGGGTATGTTTCCGGATTTTACCACAGGATTGCTGTTTATTAGTCCGTGTGTTTGAAGTAGCTGAGTCTTCTCCAGTTTAAACATGAAGGTAACTATGGTGATGTTTACGCTAGAGCTATATTTCAGTTTCTAGTGTATGCATGTCTTGATATATTTTTTTTGTGTTTAAACAAAGGATAGACTAGGATGTGAAGAAACTTCACACTTAGACATCTGGTTGATGCTAGACTTCCGTTTGATGTAACGGTCGCTGTTCAAGTCATCCACCTCAGCAAGGATTCCCGAAATAGTGCACTTTATGGTAGATGGAACTAGATGAGCACAACTGGGTGTGTTATATTTGGAATTTGTAATAATTGCTCAATCAAATACAAAGGAATTATCAGTTAGTAGTAATACCACATTATTATTGATATCAGTTTCAAAATCCATATTTTAGTGTAGAGCTTCAATATTTTAAAGCCTTTAATAAGTTCCCCGTGCTCACAATAAGTGGCTAGTTATTTTGTTGTCTCGTTTACTGTTCCAGACATTGTTCTTTGAAGATAAACGTGATAAAGTGTTTACAATGGCTCAAAAGGTTGGTGTAAATTTAGACCAACGTGTTATTCGTAATGTTGATAGTCGTGGAGTGTTACGTGCTTTCCTGAGTGTTTGGTTGTCGTTAGGTCATACACTTATGCATGCCATAACGGATATCTGTCCCAGTCCATCTTCAGCAGTGTCTGCTGACCGAGCTGTACATATGTTATATGGAGACACAGTTTTATGTGACTCAACACTTACCAAAAAAGATTCTGTCATAACAATCGATCAAACTTCACGTGTACCAATTAATTCAATATATTCAACATCTGGGGCTAGCTTAGGTAAGTAATGATGTCTGTTATGGTTACGTATTTCATTAAATTTCTACCGTATGAAGTGTTGATTTGATCATACATATTTCATTGATTCACAGATTACTTATTCAATTAACTTTCCCAAGTTCACTATCACAACCAATGGTTGGTGACTCTTGGTGACATGGCTCAGAATCGATCACAATGGCGTCGGTGTATACACTCTCTATCTTCTCTTAAACTAAGAGATTAAAATCGTTTCATATCTTTCTTTCTGCGTACTGAATCTTTCTTCCTGCATTATATCCTTATGTGCAATCTTTCTTTTATATATTACTACCATTGAATTAACTACTATGAATCCGGTGTTCATCTTGCTGTGCTAATGAGGTGAGGTATGGCAACTTGGAACAATGCATATATGTGCCTGGTCCTACGTTGTAGCTGACTGACTGACTAAATATTATTGTTAATATTAACTTACTATAAGAGTACAGTATTTGAAGCGGAAAAAGTTTTAAAGAATTAAGCTTAAAATTCTAACAATAAAATCATTAAAACACATCAAACTATAGGATGAAATGATGAATTTACTTCATATTATAATAAAATGTAAATGTTAAAAATATACCAAATAGAGGTATATATTGACTGAATAGCATCAAACTAGTCACTATCTTCCTGATCAAATCTCTTAACTTCGATAATCGTTTTGCTTAGTATACGATTGTACAGCTTGATAATAAATTCGTTGAAAAGAGATCCCTCCGCTGAACTTCATGTTTTTAATAACTAATATAAATAAATAATCTAAAGAGATAATTATTTTCATGGACAAATAGATTATTTACAATTGCATCATATAGATTTATGATTGTTAATGTTGAACTGATTGGAATGTAATGTCCACTCGATTGAAATTGTATCACCAACCATCAAAATAACTACAAGTAACACAGAACAATAGAAATAATGATGTAATTACAAGTCACATCAATTAATTGACCAAATACTTGGTTAGTATATGAATTAGGTAAAAAAAGGATAATATCATGGTTTAATTGTCAATACAATCCATTATATGTACTTCAGTAGACAACCTATATGCTAATAAGTGCGACTTTAGTACAGTGGTTGACCCAATGAGGTCGTAGTTGTTAGGTTGCCCAAAATGAAAAAAATTCATATGTTTGAGAGGACTCCTATCAGGTTTCGAACCATTATGAAGAGTTCTACGACGAAAGTTGGAGATAAGATCGATGAGGAAACCTAACATTACATTAGTGTGAGCGAATTGTCAAGGGTGCAACAGAAGATGACCTTTTATTGCCAGAAAATGGTTGGTATATAGGTATCATGGATATTCTGTACAACCGATTTGGCAGGCCTCATATTACAGAAGCATTTCTAACAGACTTAATGAAAAGCAGTTCTCTGTGGTTGCAAATGCTTACAGCCAATAAACTAGTTTAAGCCGCAGACCTATAATATTATCAAATAGTAAAACAACACAGTCTAATCTCTATGCACTGTCAAGGGGCGAAGCCGTCGAACTAAAATCTATGATCACTATTCAATAGGCTTAAGGTGAACTTATCATCTTAATTTTATGGCTATTTTGCATTAAATGGTCTAAAGTTGAATTATTCATGGTCTAAACTACACTTTTGCTTAGTTATATTGGAAAGTGTTCATGAATATAGAAAGGCAATTTACAGAAAATTAGTCGATATAATTTGCTCAATAGAACCAGATTAACTAGTAAATACAGTAGGAATTGATTGCTTTAAGCAACTCATTTTTAATCTAAGTGTCACCATCGAACACCTAGATAGCGCCAGTTGCTCCTTTTTTACTTTAAACGTCCTCTAAATTATTCTGTGTAACCCTCGGATTATTGCTTTTAATAGTGCGTCACCTCGTAGTTGTAAGCTCATAAGCAGAGATCTTGTATTAACTGTCAGCCCATCAACTACTCTGGTTTCCGTGACGTGTTTGTTTATAAACGTCTCAAGGTATCACTAGACCATTCTACCTTCATAATCCTTTTAACTTATGAACATGTCCACTTTATTAACTGCATAGGAACCTGTAATTGTCTTGTACATTCACAGTAAATTTTATCTGTATAGTTAACATTACTTTAGAATCATTTCAACATGAACAGTTATTTTATTAACAATCCCTAAATCTATTTGTTGTAATATTAAAAGATGTATTTGTCTTCAACTGACATACAGGACAGTCAGTAGATGCATCTACTAAGCAAACATCATAAATCATCGACTTTGAGGAAAGACATTTTTATACGAATCATTTATTGAAAATTAGTCTGATTTCAATTTATTTACACTGTACATTGACTCGCTAACCATCGTGAAGTTGATAATTTCACAATTTCTTAGTTGATAATGTCAATACTGCTTCTTGTATCACTGTAAATTATATTGTTCAGTTAACAAATTAATCATGGGGTCTTTTATTTGAGTGATTAATGTCCTTCGTTCTACTTCTCTGTGTTTCAGCTCTTCAATCTTGTGATTCATCATCACTGGCTCCAACTATTATTTTTGTAGCTAAAGTATTTTGGACTGATAAATTACGTCTCACTTCAAATGTTACTAGTAATCCTGCTTCTAAAAATACCAAGTAATTTATTTGTGTAGTTTTTCATACCTTCGTAAAGATCAATTTACGTAGTTTTAATTTGTATTATTATTATTATTATTATTATTATTATTATCTACCAGGTACCGTTTCGTGTACCTGACTTTGAGCCACACTGTGATTCTGACAGTTAATAATGCTACCCACTTGCTCAAGCTGAAGTCAGTAAAGCGGTGTTTGAACATGCAACTTAGTGATTAAATGTCAAACGCTTTCACCACTCAGCCGCATCTATCCACTCTACAGAAAAAGTATTCTGTTAAGCCAGCTATTTATATGAAAATGTCCTCAGTGTTAGCTTGATTCAATCTCAATATTTTGCATTTGTTGACTCTATTCACTTTGTACTAAATATATTTATTATCTTTTCCATTTTATTATCTGTTAGATATATCTTATTTGACACCTAAAAGATAAGTACTGTTTTTTTATTTGTACTACTCTGGTTGATTAGCGTCTTTTTAGCAAGGTTGCTTTCTACGGGTTTCCACTTCGAGATCAACAGGCCGGATTCCGTAAGGATCGGTCGTACACAAACCGAATCGCAACACTACGGATGATCGTCGAGCAATAAATTGGATCGAACTCGTCACTATACATCGATTTCCTTGACTGTGAGAAAGCGTTTTACAGTGTGGATAGGAGAACCTTGTCCGATACTATGGTGTATCTGAGAAGATCGTCAACATAATCTAAATATCATTCGATGGACTACACTGCAAAGTGGTGTATAAAGGATAGCTGTCAGATGCATTCCATGTGAGGACCACTTCTGGTGGTTGACTGGATTATGGTTACTTCCACATCTTAGGAGAAGCTCGGAATACGATAGACAGGTTGGGTGCAACTAGACGATTTGGACTTCACAGATGACCTGATCCTTCTATCCTAAACACACAACCAAATATAAGTGAAGACAACCAGCGTATCAGAAGCTTTTGCATCAGTAGGCCTCAACATACACAAAGGAAGAGCAAAATCTTCAAATACAGGACGTATAAAGTCAACCAAATCACACTTGATGGAGAGGCTCTGGAAGAGGTGGAAGCTTTCACGTACCTGGAAAGCATCACCAATGAACAAGGAGGATCAGATGCAGACGTAAAGGCGAGGATTGGCAAATTTAGGGCAGCATTTCTACAATCAAAGGTTATGTGAGACTCAGAACAACTGTCAACCAATATCAAAGTCAGAATCTTCATCGCGAACGTCAAGACAGTCCTACTCTACGGAACTGAGACGTGGAAAACTACTACAACCGTTATCAAACATGTACAATTATTTATAAACAGTTGTCTACGCAAGATACGCAATGTCCGTTGGTCGGATGCTATCAGCAGGAGCCTACTCTAGGAGAAGACAAACCAGGTTCCAGCTAAAGAGGAATTTATGAAAAGACGTTAGAAGTAGATAGAACACACATTGAGGAAATCATCAAACTGCATCACGAAGCGAGCGCTAACTCGAAATCTTCAAGGGAAACGGAGAAGAGGAAGACCAAAGAACACAAGACGTCGGGAAATAGTAACAGATATGAAAACGATGAATAACAACTGGAAAGGGTTGGTTGGAAAAAGTTGGTGAACAGCCTATGCTCTTCCACGAGGGGTAGCTGGCTTAAGTAAGTACTTCATTTTGAATATATAGCACTTTGAAACCCCATCTTGGGGTAAGGATTATTTAGACAAATACGTATTATGTATGTAAGGTGATGAAGTTATTCAGCTTACAAGTTAAACATCCACGATAAAATGTTGAAGCTTAGTTTGACTTATTTGCCAAGTATGGGTTTATACACCTTACTCGGTTATGATGTGTATGATGGTAAGCAATACTATCCGGTTGACTGTAGTGGAGTTGCTGAGATAGTTTTGAACCTTCTACCTACTGCTTCAAAGACAAGTGATCTGACCATTAGGTTACATCACTACACCAATATCGAAACTTAGACATTGATTCAGTATTCTCTATTTTGGGGTAAAACAATTCTTTATTATTATAACTTTTTTGAAACCAACATGTTTTTGTGTATTGTTGAATATGAAAACGGTCATTCAGTTAAGAACTTTCACCTCACGGCGGTTTTCAATCTTATATAATTTTCTACGTAAGTTCTTGTTCCTGATGGAAAAGCGGTGTTTCCGAGTGATTAAGATGTTTGAACCTCAGTCACTAGGTTCGGAATCCGCCCCATCCACTTTGCCTTGATCAATTGGGTAGTATCATCGCCACTCAATTAGAGTGTGGTTCAAAGTTAAGTGGTCCTATTTGTACCTGTTAAGTGAGTTAATAAATAAAATAGTTGTCCAACATGTTCATCATTTATATGCATGACAAATCTATGCAGTTTTCAAGAGAATTAGTTTTTGCTCATTGTTTGATCTTATTCACCTAACTCTATGCTGCTGCCGTATTTAATTGTTTGAAATTATCCAATATTTGTGACCTTTAAAAAGTCATTTTAAATTCTGTATTTATTTTTTTTAGACAAGAGAATACAGATTCTGATCAGATTTTACCATCATGTGATACAGCGAATACCGATGTAAATAAACATTCTAGTGAAATACAATCTTCTATCCCCAAGCAAATTAATTTACGATCTCCTTTGTTACTGTGTAACCCATTCACAGATACTGATTTTATTGCTTTAGCCCGAGTATTTAGTGGTTCTGTTTATCCTGGTCAAAAATTGTTTGTTCTTGGACCAAAATTTAATGGTAGAAAAGTAAGTAATAATTTACAGTCATAGATTCAATATTTGTTGGAAAGATCCAAAGTATTCCTTGGAAAAATTCAGAGGGGCCCAGAAAACTCTGGGAAACATTTTATCCAATCAGCGTTTGATCGAAGCTCCTCAGAAACATGTGGAAAGTGAAGAGTCTCGTGTCATATTTCTGAGTGGATAATTACTTATTCTGCTACTATATCTAGTGTGGTTTCTCAGACTTCCAGAAGCCCAAGGCTATAAATACCCTCGACTTTCTTTACATAAACTAACTTTGGAGTAAAACGTTCTTTTCACACTTCGCACCTTTTCTCTTGTGTTCAAGTTACCCTATAGATTTTGCATGGGTTATTAGGAGCGTTTCAGAAATCGATTCGAGCGTTCAGCTAAAAGATTTACCATTATGAAGCTGCATAGAACATTCTAATATATAACTAGTTTCATATTAGTGAAGTTCACGTTCCATCTTGGACTACAATCCAAATCATTTAGAGTATTTACAATCACAAACATTATTGTCGAGCTAGTCGAGGAGCGATCAGTTCACTGTGAGACTGGTTTATGAATGGCATTCTGTCACTAAGTTGTAAACAATTAAGTGATGAATAGTTTTCAGTTTTGATATATTAGATTCTATGTGTCGCTTTGTTAACTGGCCAGTTTCCACAGTCTTCACCCATCAAATAAGTGATAACTAACGTTACTGGCTGATTAAAACAAAATATCACTGATACGTTCTAACAACAACCTTTGCATCTTAAATTTATCTTGAATTATTTTTTTTTTCATGAATGTCTAAATATTGCATTTCAATAGTCTAAAGTTTTTTAATTCGTCTAAACATTTTCATATATTATTCAAATTTTGGTTCCTGGTGTTTCAGGTTCACTGAACTAGCCAAGAACAGCTGTTTAAATTTTAAAATACCAGTATGCATATCATGTTACATAGAGTAGCTTCCATTTTTTTAAGTGTACTTATTTTGCTGTCAGGTTCCTTCATATCTCTTGGATACAGATCCTGAAAGTCTCCCAATTGGTCCTGTTCGTTTGCGAAACGATGATGAAGATGCCGAAATTTCATTAACGGGGAATGAAACGGGTTCAATTGATAATTTTTGCACATTTAGTCCAATAAATTCTGGTTCTTTACCTGTTAGTCGTTCAGGATCTGTTGGAGGTTCAAGCGAGTATCGATTGACTGGTCCTAAATATTTACGTCATGTTTACGTAGCTTGCGTTGTCCATGTCCTTCAGCTATTAGGAGGTCAATCGGATTTCGTTAAACTTCTCGAACCTGTACCATCTGGAAACATAGTAGGTCTTACTGGACCAGATTTAATAGCATGTCTACCGAAATCGGGTCTCTTGGTCAGCCGACTATCTCTAGTTTCTTCATTGAATAAAACAGATAGCAGTGAAACTGAACTGGCTCCTGTTCTCCCGTTAGCCGGATTAGCAGTTTGGCATGGGGCACCAGTAATTTCAGTTGCTGTTGAACCTGCATCTGCTACAAATCCTGAAGATGTTTATAGATTGGAACGTGGTCTTCGACTTTTAGATCGTGCTGATCCATGTGCCGAAGTAAGTTTATTTTAGTGTTACTATTTGGTAATAGTGAATTTATCAATGACTGTAAAAATATAAGTTATATATTTTATCTCTGACATAGTCATGATGTATTTTATAACACTACAAAAATCGTTATTGATTTTGACAATATTTAGCTAAGGTTTGTAGTAAAGCTATAAATCAAGGAGTAAATGTTCCAGTTCACATAACCTGGATAGTTTAAGGTGGTAGTTACTACTGACCAAAATGTAGAGCTGAGATAAATGTGAAATTATCGTTATTAGTTGCAGTAACCAAAGGTCTTTCGACTTTTCTGTTTTATTTTAAGTCCCTTCTCAACATGTTTTACAATGTCATTTCAGGTGGAGAGGTGATGTAATGTTGTAAAACTAAGTATTTAATTAGTACTCTTCTTGCGTTAACCTGGAGATAAATAAGTAAAGCCTGCACGTGTTAAATACGAGTTACGCACATACATATTGCGTGCACTAGTAATAGCCTTATTAGTACAATATACTCTATTCAGTTGATTTTCGTTCTATGAGCTGGATGGTTTGATCGTGAAACTTTCATTGTTCTTCTGAACAACATTCTCAACACAAATGTCAGGTAGACGTGAACTATATTCAAATTTCTCTTTATAGAACTTAGTTTGTTCTGAGGTTCTGTAATACAGTTAACAACGGGACAAGAAAGACTTAATTTTAGGAATGAAGGTATAGAGTAGTTTTGAACCTGAACATTTAAGAAAAGATAAAGAATGAATATATCTACATCATTTTGACTGATTTTGAACTATTTCTCCTAATGTCTTCAACTATTAGTTACGATGATCGTATGAACTTCAACTAAATGGTTTGAATATACAGTTATCTTAATTTAAAATATTATTTTCTCTTCTATCCAGGTAACAATTACAGCCAATGGTGAATATATTATACGTGCTGCTGGTGAAATTCATTTACAAAAATGTATAGAAGATTTAATAAAATATTTTGCCCCTGAAGTTGAATTACAAATATCTCCATTTGTTGTACCATTTCGTGAAACAATTATTGATGCATGTAATACAACTAATTCTTTATCATTAATTAGTTTGTCTAATTTATCTTATGAGAAAGCTTATATTCAATTTGAAAGTTTATTACAAAAGTTTAATTTAACATTGAATATGAATTATGATCAATTAAAAAGTCTTAATTTACAATTACCATCATCATCATTATTATGTACTACAGGAGATGATGAATTAAAGCCAACTACTACTACTACTACTACTACTACTACTACTACTACTACTACTACTACTACTACTACTACTACTACTACTATTACTACTAATACTAATACTGGGGATAATTTAAAATCAATAAGTTGTGGTACACAAAAATTACATAATTTTCATCACAATTTAGATATTAATAATTTGCCTATTAGTATATTTCAATTACCTCATAGTAAACCTAGAACAAGAATTCTAATACGAGTTACTGCTCATCCAATGCCATGTGAATTATTAAATTGGATTGAACATTATGGATCTTCAAAAGTTTCTCAATTAATTCGAGCTTTTAAAAGTAAAGTAAGTTGGAAAAAAGTTTATATTTCTCTTTTTCTTTTTTTTTTCCTGTATGAACCAATTTATGATGTTCTACTGATAAGTTTATTTTCAATCATTTTTTGTGTAAATTCAGTATAAAATTCCTGTGTTTACCGTAAAATTAGAACAACACATATAAGCGAACAATATTGTTTTCAATTAGATCATCATCAGGCTTTACTCTAATATGCAGTAATATTTATACGAAAATGTTAAACCAATCAAGGCAATTTTGGGTCAGTAATTATAATGAAATGGGATAAGTCATCACACATAATAGATAAAAGTACAAGTTGATAGTAGGAAGACAAGTGTATTGATATTAGGTGAGAATAATAAATTACTATAACAAAAGTCTTAAACATTGGAAATAGTAGGTCAAACACGGGTAAATAGAGTAGTTATCACAAAACATTAAAATCATTACGTAATAAGAAGTGTGTAAATAATTAGATAGTGAAGAATGCAAACCGAAAGAGGCGGACCATTCCAAACAAATAATGGATGAGTAAATAAGGTTAATGATAGAATAATAACAATAATAGTAATAATAATAATAAAGAAAAACTAAAGAAAAGAAAAGAAATAAATAAAATTAATCGTTAATTATGTTATAACAGGCCATGGAAGGGATAGGGGAGTTACAAATTTCTTCTGTGCACATAGATTGGGGTTATATGTACGAATTCCTATGGCTTCAGCTATATGTAGGAGACGGGAACGAACTCCATTAGGAAATGATAGAGGTATACGATAGATCACTCGAAATGATTTCGATTTATCTACAGAATGACCACTATCAATAAGATGTGCCAGGATTGAACTGCGTACTGTTTTTATCTGGCCGTAAAAGTATGTGTCAGGGAGCAGCTTCAAACAACCGCGATATATTTCCAGCTACTTTACTAGCTAATTAGAAAATAGCTCTTATAAATAGATAGTTTATAAGAATGAAAACGGTAACATTACAAAGTGTGAACTGATTTTACTGAATTAATAAATCTATTTCTCTCTTTTATAGGTTACTCTGTCTGTAAATAAAAAGCTTGTCCTTATGGATATAGATTACCCACCTTTTTAAACTCTTATATGGAACTAAATGGATTTTGAAGAATCCTCACGTTATTCTTAGTTAGGGTTAAATACTTAGGATAAGTTTTAAGAGTTGGGGTTTTAATCACGAACTGACATTAGCTGTAATATCAAATTGCTCTGTAACCACATGGATGAACGAATTTCAATTAAAAGTACAAGAAACGCTATCTGATTAGTTCATCCATCAAATGAAATGTTACCAGGTTAAGCTTAAGATGCCTTTAGTATTAACGGTTCAAAGATCAAATTTATTTGCCTGTTATATGCAATCTAGACAGAGTGAATTAATTATTTGATACGTTTCACACTCATTTGCATTCCATGCTAGTAAAACATAATTTTCTGCGCTTTGAGCAGTATACCTAGGTAATTTTACTGTTTGTCATACTGTATAGAAAAGAGATATTTCCTTTGTTTCGCACATCACTTGTCCTGATAATCGTTATCAGATAACTCCCAACGATGTATAAATTTCAGATGACAATACAAATCGTTGATTACAGTTTATTACTGCACAGTATAGATCACAAAGCCCACAAGTACTCGAAGCGAATACCCTCGAAATTGTAAATGGGAACGAATGAATGAATTGGATTTAAGAGGTAAATATATATAAGCAAATGAATAAGTTATCGTGAGATTTAAGCAACTAACACTAAAGCTAATAAGAGAAATATGTAGATTCTGTACCCCATGATCAACTATAGAAACATGATAATAACAATAATAATATGATTAAGCTGAGTTCCAAAGTAATATTTGTTTAGAAAAAAGAACATACATACATGGGATAGACGACGTAATAATAATAATAAGCTGCCATCTGATTAGTTTTGTGATGAAGGTTTTCAGATCACTGTTTTAAAGTTGAACAATTTCCACAAATATCCCTTACTTGAAATGATCATATGCTAGCCAGTGGCTCTTAAAAAAATCTGCGAAGTTGTAGTCAGAAGCGGTGACCAGTGGGGTCCAACTATTGGTGTATAGGGTGGGGTGGTGGGACGTATATCACCATTCCCAGTAGATGATGGTCACACAATATCACAAATTGACCGGAGTTAAAAATGTAGACCATTGTATGTGAACTCAATGGTCTGAAGGTCCTGAATTCGATCCATGGTGTAGGGTTGTCAATATGCACGACTGATGATTCTTAGTGTTTCTTGGTTTTCAATGGTTGTCCAACTGGAACCAGTGCGTGATGTAAAACCACAAGATTCAACAATCGCCACGACCCTTTAAAAAAATAATATATGTCATAATCTGTATCCTGATCACTTTGTACTTGAGGTAGTGATATGACCGGATGAAAAAGCAAAATTACATTCTTTTACTCATTGTGATTTTCGTTCAACGTCACATCCGTTTTCAACTCAATATGATTACTATTCAGTGTGTTGTTTATTCATGATACGATATTCTTGTATTAAATTGATGTGAACTATGTTAAGCATGGCATGCAGCATGTGATCCTAGGTATTTTTTTACTTGTATGATTTTATTTTAATCAATCATCAAAATGGGTGTACAATCAATACCTAAATGAGTGTATTTTCAACTAGGGTTGTCGTTCTGTTTTGGGGTTAAAAAATCTCCACTTGTACCAGTCTTGTTGTTCTTATTTCGCGTCATAGGAATCGCATTGGTTCCTCGTTCTTTCGCGTATAAGTAATAAGCGACGCGGATGTAACAGATTATCATTAGCTACCACGCTCCGCTTATAAACTGTTTTATCCCAAGTAAATAACGCAAAACTTTCGTTTTCTTAAACCATATCATTCTTCGTTACAACTGAGATGTAATTGTATTCTAATCATCACACTTTAACGATGCCATTGTAAAAAACGTTTCCTAATCCTATTAATATTATCTACATAAATGTATATTATCCATACATTTTTATGTGAGAAACCATTGTTCGTGTATTTTCGGATCACCAAGTGACCAACGCTGGGGTTAGACAGAGTATTGCGTAAAGAAGATAAGTTAGTTGATAAAATGGCTTATCTTAATCAAGTGAGGTGGTTTGGACATGTATTACATATGTCCAAGTATCGACAATTTTGATGGTCGAAGCTGTCTGGTGTAAGAGTAGGCTGAAAGAAAGCTAGAGACTGCCAAACCAAAAAATGGTATCACTCCATGAAGATACTGACTATCGAATTTATTTAAATACATGAACATTGGTACAAGAAGGAACCAAATATGTATGCGCCACATAAATCATTCGATGCGTGCGAGCACTGGAATACTGTCCGAGCACCTAAACCGAGACAGGTGATTTTCTTAGGAGGCCACTCCCCAAGCCTTTGACCTAAAGGTCTAATCCACAAGGTAGTGGAGCAACGTTAGGAGATGCAGTCCCATGGTACACGGTGACCAACAATAGGTGCACATGACATTTGTCCCCTTAGGATCCTAAAGCCAGCCCATTGGTTTGGAATCGGAGTTTTCTCACTTCCCTAGATGTATTCTCCATATCCATCAACCCGGTTGAAGCAACGGACATTCACTTTTGGTCCTCTCAATTTCGTAAACAATATTTCCACTTCGAGAAGGCAATCAGTAGGACTTCCCTGGTAGTGGCTGTATAGGCTTAGTTATGTGAGAGCATTTGGAGAGGGAGAGCCGACTGTCCTCACTCTTGACTGTACCTGGGCATTCGGGGACATTTAAATAGTTGTTGACGATCTAGTTTAGGTCCACAGGACCATCTTAACCACTGGTTAGATACTTTGAGTGACATGGCATAAAATTGTTCGCAACGTCAAAGTGGTATTTACCCTTTGTCTTCTATTCGACTATAGTTTCCAAAATGTCGTTATACTTTATTCATACCTACTCTTTTCCTCTGACACTACTACTACTACTACTACCAATACTCTCACTACATCTGCTACTGTGTTATTTACTTTAGCAATTTTATCTCGTTGTACTTTTATAATATGGCAGTTTGAACTGATGCACATATATATCAGGTTCTACGTTGCATGTGAGCCTGATCTTGTGGGAGTTCAACTGGGTTAGTTGTGAGATAGTATCTCACTGATGACAATGGTAGATGTGTCGCTCAATTTCGTGGATTAGTTGAAGTTGGACATTAACATTGTTGGATACAGGCTCCGTGGTCTAGTGGTTAAGCGCTTGCGCACGAGACTGGTAGGTCCTGGGTTCGAATTTTTCGAGGCGGGTCATGGATGTTCACTGCTAAGGAGTCCCACAATAGAACGAAACGGCCAGTGCTTCCAGGTTTTCCATGGTGGTCTAACTTCAATTGATTCATGATCTCAACTATTGAAATTCTTTTTTTTTATTTTTAGGCATTAAATTACACTAAACTTTTATCTGAATTTGAGCAACAGCTATCAAATATCTGTTCTCAATTAACATCAAAATGTACTACCACATGTTCTATCAATTGGAATCAAATAACAACATCGTTGTTAGCTTTTGGACCAAATCAAACTGGACCAAATATGTTAATTAGTCATTTAAATACTGATTATTTTCCATTATGTACTGTTTGGGGTAAAAAACTTAATTCATCATTGAATAATTCTACTATACATTTAAAAAATGTAAATAAAAAATCGAATATCAATTTACCAATTATTAGTTATGGTAAAGCATTGCTACGAGGTTTTCAACAGGCCACTTTAAAAGGACCACTTTGTGCTGAACCAATGTATGGTATTGTATTTGTATTGGAAGAAATTGTTGCAGAAAGTTTGAATACATTAAAATTACCAAATTATATTAATGACAATACTACTAGCACTACCAATAATAATACTACTAATGTTATTTGTCAAGAAAATAAATCACATGAATCGAATATTAACAATGAATTAGCTGCATCGTTACCATTGGAAAATTTAAAAAATTCAATGCCATCATCATCTACTATTGCCACTACCTATTCAACTGATAATAAACCGGATAATCAATTATTAAGTAATAAATCTAAACGTAAATCAAAACGATTAACATCCATCTCATGGTTAGATGATGATGGTGATGATGAAATTGAACATTTTTATCACAGTAGTTCAGAAGAAATTGACCAAGATAGTGATGATGATGATGATGATGATGAGAATTGGTGTTCTGATTCTTCAAAAAATGAAGATAGTCAATCCGATCAATTGTCTGATGTCGAGAATTCCAACGTAGCTGTTTTACAGGTCTCTCTCTCTCTCTCTCTCTCTCTCTATATATATATATATATATATATATATATATATATATATATATAGCTTTTTTTGTTTTTTTTGAAAAAAAGTAATTCATTCTATACGTTAAAAACCAGGAGTGACTTTTAAAAAGGTACTGTTCATAGGTTATTAGCACTCGATCATAGATGCCTTCGAAGAATTGCTCAAATATGTTGAGATCATTAAGTAATACTAACTTGAGATTCAAAGCAGTAGGAAAATCGCGGTTATAAATCTTTATCAACTGAGGTGGTTCGGACATGTATTTCGTATCTCGCCTACCTCAATGTGCGATGTTTGTGTTGTAGAAGTAGTTGGGAGTTGAACAGAAAGCAACAAACGTATTTTTTGGATCGATCCATGAAGTTGCTGACTGTTGAACTGAATCGTGTTAGTAGGCGCGGATCCTGTACTTAGGATCTTCGCGATTATATCGTAACCAATGCTTAGATACGTTGGTTGGCATGGCTTACAATTGGTCGCGTAAATGGATTCACTCTTTTTCTTCCTTTAGATCTACAGTTTACAAATTATCTTATACTTTTTTATTTCATGAATTCATTCATTCTCAAACCGTATTGTTGATCCCTTACTTTTCTATTACCACTGATACTGTCACTTCTTTTACTACTTTGGTACCTATTTTGATAATTTTCTCTCTGTGTGCTGATACGATATCGTTACTTGAACCGATGCACATAAGTGCCAAGTTTTATAACGCTTGTAGCTGACTATCAGACTGATGACCTGGTGAAAATAACTCAGTCTCAGTGGAGTAGAAGAACATAATTGAATGTTAAGTAATGGCAAAGTATGTCTAAAACCACGTTTTATGCTTAAGTATCTAGAATCTCGTAATTTCTAGATTTCCTCTTATCGGTTAAGCTGTATATCATCAGCGGGAACTAAAAAATATCGATTTGATTACTGTATAATAGTGTTGATTCACACTCACAAGTCAATTTAATCACTTAATATTAGTTATTTAACAAGTACAAGTTTATACACTCGATCTTGAGCTATCTTGCGTTGTAAGCGTTCAGTTTCTGAGAAAAAAAAACAGTAGTATCTGATATCAGGTTTCTAACCTTCGTCTTGCCGATTAAAAACAGAAGGCTTTGACCACCAAGCAACTGATCCATAAAATCGATTCTGTAGTTCAATTAGTTGAGTTTTCACTTAATCATGTCTATTATACTCGACGATCGATACTTGACGAAAATGATTTCCTGTGTTTACCTTCATTCTTTCATATTATCTTTTCCTAGAATCCCGAAACGGAAACCTGTTTTGACACAACCAAAGAAATTCCTTATTGGCAACGACGATCTGACATGTCATGGTTACATGATATTCCACCAGGTCTTTTAACACCAGCTATGACACGAGCCTGCATAGCTGCATTTCAATCCTGTCCATTTCAACGCTTAATGATTGCTGTATATGACTTGGAATTGCAAGTATGCTTACTAATTATATGTTGAACTGTTTCTAGCTACTTTTTTAAAGTTTATATTTATTTACTTAATTGTACAACTCATAATATCATTGTTATGTGCTTACTAATTTACATTCCAGTCAAGAATTTGTCAATATAGTCACGAATTTGTTACTCATTTATGTACACCTTTCTTTCAGGCATGAAAGCGACTTATATAGGAAGGAATACACAGTCTAAACTTATGGAAACTAAATTTAAACTAGATTTATGAATTGATTTATGCACACACTATATTTTAGTTGACATGCCGTAATATTTTATTCTTTGATCTTCATTTTCCAATTCATTTCCTTGCTTGTCAATAACAGAAATTTCAACTGTTTTTCCCCAGGCTCGAAGTGATGTTTTAGGACGCATGTTTGGAGTTCTTCGTAGGCGATATGGCAAAGTTGTTGGTGAAGATTTTAGAGAAGGCGAAAATACTTTTGTTATTAGTGCCAGATTACCTGTTATTGAGAGTTTCGGACTTGCAGATGAAATAAGAAAACGTACTAGTGGTGTTGTCAGTCTTCCACAATTACGTCCCGGTGGTTGGGAATTATTGGATATCGATCCATTACAAAAAGATGTGTCTTCTATAGATACTAAGGAATCTTTTGGTGAACCATTTCGCACAAAAGGAGGTTCCAATAAACTTTTTCGATCGAAACTACCTATCTCAAGTCTTCATGATGGTGGTGATGATGGAACTGGTGAAAATATGGATGAACCCACAAGTCGAATATCTAGAGTACAACGATATATTCGGGAAGTTAGATTACGCAAAGGATTACCATTAAATGAACAATTAGTGCTTAATGCCGATAAACAAAGAACGTTGAAAAAAAATAAATAGATATTTTATTTTATAAATAAAAACAACTTGTAAATTATATTATAGAGTTATATATAGTTTTTCATTTGATTAAATCACAATCTGTTTTGACTAGTACTAGCCTGATGATTAATTTTCTTGACTTTTTGAAATGAACTCCCATTTTCTTTTTACATGTTTCTTTTTGAATATTATCGTTGAGATTTTAACTTAATGGATATTTGTTATATATTGGATTATAAGATTTAAATCTTATTTACTACACATTCAAATGTTTTCTTTTTGACAAAACAAAATAATTATTGGTCGATAGCATTCGATTTGCACTAAGAAGGACTTGACACATATATGTCATTGATCACCACGCAGTGATCAATTAATTGTGATTATATCTCAGTCCTACAGGAGGTCGGTTGCGGCCCGGATAGCCCAGTAGTAACGTCTCTAACTGTGAAGCTGGGTGACACGGGGTCAAATCCATCAGGGAGCACCAGTTCCCTCAAGATTACAAGTATACTTTGCTGACGAGTGCCAAGTAGCACGAAACCCGGGTCTAGGGTTTCCTGTCGACTACCTCCAACCACCATCATTATTGACTATTATAATGTACGGTGGATATGATTCACAGTTCAACAAATTAGCTTAATCATTGGTAAATAAATTATATTTATTGATTACTATTTTGTGTAGATTTTAGTTCATGTATTATCTCTAACGCTTGTCTAAACTGTTGAGCTCAAATCCGAGTTTACATTCTATAAGTCCATACAGTTATAGTTTGTCATTCAATGGATAATCGAAATAATTCAGACAAATATCAGTCAATTGAGTAATTATCTGAGTAAATACATGTAATATACAATTGAAAGTCGTTGTTGTTAATTGACGTTTAAATTTCATTTATATATTTCCCTTACGTATTATCGCATCAATATAGGACAATTTGAAAGTTGCATATATGATGTATCTTGATTATCTGATAGAAATTTGTCAATCTGCTGATACATAGTTTGTATAGTATTCACGTTTCTGTTAGGAGAACTAAAGCTACAAACAAAAACAAATTTCAAATTAAATCGACAGTAATATCTTTGCATACAAAAATTATAGCGAGACTATAATTTATGGACTAGCCAACTAGAAGCGAGTGAGCGATTTCAAGGTCATGGTGCCTATTTCAATACCTAATGCTCATGTACGATCTGCTTAGAGCGGATTTCAAGGAGGACGTTATAGTTGAGCGGCTACAACATGGGATTACTGAGAAGTTCCTATATTTGTGACTAAGGTTTTCAAATGACTGCTGGAAATTGTGCAGACTATCGTGACGATGTTGTATTTCGATTTAATATATGCTTTAGGAAAACGTCTGCTAGAACGGGGACATTTTTCGCTTGATCCGGATTGACACCAAGACAGATTAAGATAATTGTTGTAAACTGGACAATAAAAGCACCAGTAACTGCCTGGAACCTTTGCAGATGTTACTGAAACTTCGGGAGTTCAATGGTATGAGTATGTAGTCTCGGTTGTTATGTTAAGCCCACATAGCTTATTCTAGCTTCCAGACAAACCACTTTATTCATTCATCTTGAGTCCCATTTTGACCTTGTTAATTATTCACTTGTCAACCTTGACTGTTTTTATGTGAGTGTATGTGTGTGCATTTCATATCTTACCACATGTCTGTAACCTATTTTTGTCTGACTATAAATATCGATTAACTCCTGATTAAATCGAGTTGGCTCATACGCCTTCTCCACTGCGTGTCATTCCGTTTCGCCCCGTCTCCCCGATTGTCTGTGCAGATCAACGACTGTACGAAATAAACGTATTTAAAACTTCATTTTCGTATTTGACTTATTAGATTCCGTTATTCACTGACGCGATTTTAGTCGATGATTAAACACGAGGATTGACGGTATGTGCATTTCGATAGCGATCACTCATCCGATCTAACTGGAGTCAGATATTCCAGGGCCACTAAAAGTACTGTCGAGATATATGTGCAATAAAGATGACAAGCTTGAGTCAGTCGTTTGTAGGAATCAGGCGAATCGTAGAAATTCACGGAACAGTTGTTAGAAAACGCGAATTCGATAGAGCAAGAAGTGTTCTTAAAGATTGGATAAGTAGCACTTCCTTAAGTATACTTAGCAGGTCTTTGGTACATTTGACAGTTTATCTCAAAAAGACACTTCCAGCATGTGAGAAACAGACAGGCTACAACGATAGTAATAATTATAAGAGAGTATGTGCAGCCGGTTACTGAACTAAACATCTTAAGATCTCAATCTTGCTTCTATATCTACGTCATCAGATTTCGTTAAAACATGTTTTTCTATTTTACTGTAGTGTATACATTCTTTTACTGATAAACGACAATTAATCTTTTATGCCTAATATCATTCATAAGAATGAAATTATTTATTCCAGTTATCAAACTGTAAAACTTGTATTCTAACATGTTAACTTAGCAAAGACCAGTAATAGCCTTGGAGTTGATTAGCTACAGTATGCTCTTGTTAGCTGAAACAATGTAACTTTTAATTTAAGCTCATCAATATTTGCTGGATGATTTTAAATTTAAAAAGTTGGTCATCGGAGTCAGTAGTAATTATGAAAAGTAATTTTTTGAATAAATCTTCAATGGCATATGCATGCTATACTGACGGACCAATCAGATTTAGATACAAAAAGGATCGAGATTAATAAATTTTAATGGATGACTCAAAAGTTCTTGATATTTAAAATCAGAGAACTATCTATATTCGTATCAACTGCATCTTGACTGGCTGTTTACGGATCTTACTCCGTCGTTGTTGTTTCAGAGTCACCAAAGGTATAGTTTCCTAATACTAACATTGAAATATATCAAGCTGAGATCACCTTCCCTATTACAGACATCCGACAAATCCCATCTGAGGCGAAATCCCTAATGCCCTGGTATGGCCGAGAGTAGAGAAAATCAGCTCTTCCTCTCGAAATACCCTCACATGGCCACGTGCATACAACTAACTGTCAGGGAAGTCCTACTCACTACATTCTCGCAGTATTGCTGTTATTTACAAAATTGAGAAGACGAAAAGCGAATGTCTAACGCTTTAACCGGGTTGATGGATATAGAGGATCCACTTAGGGGAATTGGAAAAACCTGATTCTAAACCAATGATGAGCATGGGTTCCAGAATCCTAAAGAAACAAGTGGCGTATGAACTTATTGTTGGTCATCGACTACCATAGAACTTCATCTCCTGACGTTGCTTTACTGTCTATCTATTTATTTATTATTTATTTATTTTAACACATAGATATTGGTACAAGGAGGTACCAAATACATATGCGCCACACAAATCTCATTTGATATGTGTGAGGGCTGTGATACTGCCGGGGTGCCCAAACCGAAGCAGGTGGTTTTCTTAGGGGACCACACCCCGAGCCTTTGACCTGAACGCCTGATCCACTAGGCAGTGGAGCATCGTCCTATGGTAGCCGGTGACCAACGATTGGTTCATACGCCATTTGTTCTCTCAGGATACTGGAGCCCATGTGCACCATTGGTTTGGGATCCGGTTATAGCGCTGGACATTCAGTTTTCGTCCTCTCATTTTCGTAAACAACAGTAATGCCACGAGAAGGCAGTGATTAGGACTTCCCTGGCAGAGACTATATACGCATGACCATGTGAGAGCATTTCGATAAGGAGAGCGGACTCTCCTCACTCTCGGCCATACCAGGGCATTTGGGGGAACTGCCTATCTATCTGGTGTATTAATGTTTACGTGAATAATAATCAAATATTTTGTGAAAATTTTCATTCCATCAACAACAACAAGAAGCACATAAGGTAATTAAAATTATATTCAGACATCAGATAGATATTTTACTTCAAATTCATAATTATCAAGAATTAAATTGTACTTTTTACTGTTGTCGTTGATTATCATCTCTAATTCACAAGATCAATAAAACAACAAAAAAGCAAACAATGAAAAAATTATTAACTAACTTAAATTAAAAGGTAGGTTTTAGTCAAATTAGGTAGTTTAAATAATAATTTACTAAGAAACAAGAAGCCATAATAATTATTAGGGAAATAAGACATTAAGGTGTTCAATTTGTGCTGGGGTGGGGGGTGAGGATGGGAAAAACACAATGTATAGTTGATATTTGTTTGTTCCATTCAAACAACATTGTTTAAACTTGATGACATATAATAATAATAATAATAATAATAATAATAATAATAATAATAATAAATGGACATAATATTGTTTATAGACGAAAAGAGAGTAGAAATAGAATACAATATAAATAATGTTAGTGAATATGATTTAATTCTTTGAATAGAAAACAAGCAAACAGTTGAAAGAAGTATTAATTAGCCATTACAGAAGTACACTTATGTGTGCAATATCTGTGTAACATGCAAATCTGTTCAGTTAACTAATTATTAACAATATAAATAATAATAATAATAATAATAGTAGTAAACAATTGATTTTTTTAGCAAAGGGAAATACTAACGAAATAAAGAACAATACTGTGTATCTATATATATCCACCTATAGTAGTGAATACTTTCCAATGGTTAATGTTTATTTTAGTCATTCTTAAAGTCAAAAAAGGAAAAGAAAAAGAAATGCGAAAAGAAATTTTAGAAAAGCCTAGGGTAAAAAAAAATTATGAAGGATTAAAGCAATGCAAATTGTGTTTGTAATAGGTATTTGTAAACTAGGTGTTTTACTGTTTTTTTTTGTTTTAAACAATTTAGCCCCCCCCCATATATGTAAATATATTTTTGAATAATATTTTGTTGTCATGATTACATTCATGCAAAGAAATATCTATGATTATTCCATTCAAAGTACAGTTATAAGCGTGTAATTATTATCAAATTTGTTATGTTGTCATGAATGGTACTAAATTAGTTGAATAAATTGTAATACAGTTGACTTTTTTTTAAAAAAAAAGCATTTCATTGAATTAGATAACATCAACAGTAAATGGACTTCCTGGTACATGTTGATCACCCCATTTAATCATAATTAAATGACGACCACGATCACGTACAGTATAACTAATTGAATATTGACCATAACCCATATGTTTGATATTGACTTCTTCACAGGCTACAACTGGTCCAGATACTCCAACATATAGTACATCATGACCTAGAATGTTTTTTTTTAAGAAAAATAAATGACAATCAAAATGTAATGAAAATTCAATTTATGCACAGTGGTTTTTAATATTTGTAATACAGAGTCAATGAAGATTCATGAGTGTTTTATAATTCGCCTTGATTAATGTTTTAATTTAGTTCAACTTAATAAGCTTACTATTTATTGTATCAGATTTTTATTCAAGCTATGTAAATAAGATAACTATTATCATTGACTCCTTCGGTTTGGGCACCCGGTTAGTATCATAGCCCGCACACAAATCAAGTGAATTGTGTGGTGCGTATGTATTTGGTGCCCTTTTGTACCAATATTTGTGTTCAGATGAATAAATACCATTGACATTCAATTCATTATAACTTTTTGATTTAATTAAGATTTGTTCACATACACTTATGTTTCATGTAACATAGTAGTAATAGTAAGTTATGTAACTATAATCGGTTCTTTTATTTAAATTGTAATATCACAAATCCATAATACACAATATGCAATCTTATAATGAATAGATGAATCTACATTACACGAGCAAATTGATTAAACATCATAACATACTTACCATTCTGAACAGAAAAGCAACTAGCGTGTTCTACTTTAGATAATGTAATTTCTATTCAGCTAAATTGCTTACTATTACGTGTTAACCATTTGTTTTCTAAGCCTTAACAATATATAAGTGTGAATAATGTTTTGCCAAAAGGAGCCAAAACTTATCAATAACTTACTGAGTTATAGTAGATCTTCATCAGAGTTTCTAATGTAACATGTATCCATAACAAAGACTAAAGTGAAAGAGACTTTTCCTGAAAGTCTTATAATCAATGATATGACGTATAAGAAAATCCTTAGAAATAGCATACAACAAAGCAACGATTTTTTTTCATTTAATCAGTAAGGAATTCATGAAATAACGATAAGCTACCTAGTTTCACCATCTATATGTGTATTGTTGGATGAGTAATATTATGAATTGCTTGAAGTAATAAATTTAAACCGTTACATCCCAACCGTGCTCCACCCACTTTAGTTTAGGAAGTAGGGGAATACCATTAAACCTCATCCTTATAGCGTCGCTCATACCAAAGAAACTGATGAATTAATTTAATTAAATTAAAAAATCAACTCAGTGATGTCAAGGTTAAACCTTCGCCTTGAAACCTAAATGCCTTGAATTTAATCTCTAAAGGGATGGCAGATACACACTAATGAGAAATTCCATACTAGAGTAGAAACGGCTTTCCAATGCTTCTTGGTCTTTACTTATAACCTAACTAAAATTAGTTAGTGATATAAACAATAAAAAATCCAACAGTTCCCAAATATATATATTAAACTAATTAAAATTACATATTTAATGCATAATCAAAATTACCTGCTTGTGATGCATTCACTGTAAATGTATTCGTTTCATTAAGATATGCTTGTTTAAGTCCTGGTCCAGAGCATGTAACACGATCTGGTCTAGATGGACCAATATTAGAATGTGGTCCATTAATTAAACGTCCTCCTGTTTCTACTACAACATGAGTTGTATCAGTTGTGATTGTATCATGTACAGCATCTCCTGTAACAATCGCCTATTTAATAAAATGTTAAATTAAACATTATTGTTCTATTTGTTATTGATTAAATATCATGATACCATTTTTTCGTGTTATTACGTAACATTTTCTTTTACAAGTTTATACATTCTATCTTTGAAATTGTTAATATAAAAAATATGATAAAGGTCAATCTTAATTTTCGAGGTTTATTATAAGCTAAAATGATGATCTGTTAACAATAGTACTGGTTATGTTTGTTTTTCATCATTAACACAATTCATTCTCCGATGAATTGGAATGTGAAATGTTGAAAAGAACAGTTTATTTTAGTATACTATTTGTTGGCAACCAACACCAAAGTCAGGATTTTCAATACAAATGTTAAGACACTTCTACTGTATGGGGCTGAAACCTGGAAAACTACAAAAGCCATTATCCAGAAGATACAGGTGTTTATTAACAGTTGTCTACGCAAAATACTTCGGATCCGTTGGCCAGACATTACACTATCAGCAACAATCTACTGTGGGAGAGAACAAATCAGATTCCGGTGGAGGAAGAAATCAGGAAGAAGCGCTGGAAGTGGGTGGGACACACATTGAGGAAAGCACCGAACTGCGTCACGAGGCAAGCCCTCACATGGAATCCTCAAGGTCGAAGTAGGAGAGGAAGACCAAAGAACACATTTTGCCGGGAAATGGAGATAGACATGAGAAAAATGAACAAGAATCGGATGGAACTAGAAAAGAAGGCCCAGGAGAGAGTGGGTTGGAGAATGCTGGTCGGCGGCCTATGCTCCATTAGGAGTAACAGGCGTAAATAAGTAAGTAAGCCCCATATATATGAGCCTATGTTTCGATAAAAACTATGTGGTACTGAGAGATATGATAAGTCTAGGTATCTTTATTGATAAATTTAAAGATATTATACATATAATGAGTTTCAATAGTGGGATAAAACACTCGTGAAGTAACCAATGCTATTTTATTTCCCTCTGTGATTTCTCATCTTTGTTTACAGTCCTTGATATATTCGGTTGTTGAAATAAAAGTTTTGATTGTTTATCATTATTGTAACTTGCATCGGAGAATTTGCTTGATACTAAAGTGGAAGGCAGTCATGGATAGTCTAGGTTTCAGTGTTTGTCTAGATTATTAGTTTTAACTGTTTAACTTAGTCAGGTGGTTGAACTTAGTCGTCAGGAAACTGTGCCACCAGGTTTCATGCTAGTTGGCATTCATCAGCATGGCGTAAATACAAACGTTTGGTAACCGATGTTTCCTGGTGGATATGAAACCATGTCATTCAGCTTCAAAGTCTGTTACATTACTACTGAGCAATGGTTTTCAACTGCATATCATTATAAAACACACAATAGCAAATCATTTGAACTAATATCCACACAACGTCTTTATCGATAGAATTCAATCAGTACTTAGGTACTAGACAAAAATCACTAATCAGTGATCAATGAATTGTTCTCATAGCATCAATCAAAACGACAGATGACTTACTTGGAAAAGCGTTCTCATTTTATACTTTGATCTGACTTGTTAACTGTGGACTGTCTTTGGTTATTCAATCTTTGCCTTCCTAAGAAATGCTCCAAGTTGACTTACTATTTTTGTTTGAATTATACATTACTACCAATTCGTATTACGCTCAATCGTGTATTTGCTATTAACAGAAGAAACTTTCTTAACTCTTATAATCATAATCTCATCCTGATACAATACAGACAGCTAAACTTGATTAGTGTATTTATATATTTTTCTAAGAGTCTAACGGAAGTTCGTGGATATTAATGTGATATTTCGTATCTAAATTAATTGAATAATGGCATTCTAAACAATATAGTAGTATAATTTATACAAGTGATCTAGTTACGTAGGATCACAAGTATCAATTATTCATCTTGAAAAGTTTCTAATGGTCTAATGTTGGTCATCTATAATGTCAGATAATTGGATTAATCAAATAACTTATGTCTATCTTCTAGCAGATTAATTAAATACTTGAACAAACTGTGAATACTTTAAAGAGTTTTCTAAGATCATCCAAAACAGTAAACTCAGATGACCATGAATTAATACAATTGTGATGTTTGAGTGATGAGGAAAATCGAGCTATTGAGTGAAATTAATGTTATCACAATTGTAGATAAACGTTCTGGGGTTTTATAATTAAAGCTTGACACTTGATCTTGTTAAGTGAAACAACGGGGTGGGGGTCATTTATGAACCAAATTAGTTATGAATCTTTTATAATTAAAAAAAAGCTTACTTTATATGGTGAACCTATAATATGTTGTGAATCACCATATTTAATACTGATAAGATATTCACCAGGCGATAATGGCAAATATGTGAAATCATATCCATCTGACCGTTCAGTACAATTTAATTGAACTTTACTAGGACCATCCACAGTAACTGATAAAGCACCACTTCCAGCTTGAACAGTGTTTACGAAAAATCGATTACGTTCACCTGAGTAAGATAAGTAGATAAATGATATTAAATTGATGGGTACATGAATAATTGGCTTTTTGTATGACCAAAGTGGGTCTTTTTATAACGAGAGAGAAGGTTATATGAAATTCATTTTTTTCACGGAAAGTGAGTTAACCTTGGGTCTCTTCAAGTTATCTCACATCAATAAACATATACCATGTTATTATTCATATGAATGGTCTTCACCATATCTTCTGGTTTCAGATGTAGAAGAAAATGAAAGAAACTTTTGACAAAAAATACGTTGTTTTCTATATCGTTCTAGATAACGTATAGTGAATATACTAAAGAATCTAATAAAGCAATAAACCAACGTACTGAATTTTCCAACAGATCCCTACTTTAGTCTTGATTCCTATGGTGTAATATATTCCTTAAACAAATAATAGCAGTTCGAATGAAGAAAATGGCAATTCTCTGTAGCGTATTTCATGAAGCCTTATTGGTACCAAATGGTTGTTTTACGAATCAATAAATCAACTAAATTTAAGATCAAAGAGAGAGAAAGTTATTCACATTTATTGCAGTAAGGATATCTGAAGCTATTTGCTAAACAGTTTCTTTACGTGCCTCAAATTATTCGGTTCATTCTTGTTATTGCTTTAAATCTGATGAACCTGTAAAGTATTTTTCATGTACAACTATGTTACTACTTACTCTATTTAAGTAACGTAAAAGGTATGTCAAAAATATGATGTTTAGCTTAGATCGGTTGGTGATTTCAATAAAGCTAAGACAAATTAAATGGTTGTAAAAAAATCTGTTCAATAAGAATAAGTTTTTAACCACAGTATCCTTAGTGAGTATTATTTCCTGATAAGTGAATATATTTAACGTACCAACACGTCCATGAGTCAAACCTTCCCCACTAGCCGTAACATGACCAGTTTCTTCTTGTCCAACTAATACACGGAATGGACTTCCAGGTACTGGACGTTCATCCATTAGTACATGTACCAAATGTGCTCCATTTTCATGAGGTGTAAATCGTACTGCGTGCTGATCAACATCCACTTGGTGTACAAGTGCATCTGACTGTATTCCAGATGGAGCTACTACATATGCTCTCATCCTACCTGTCATTCCCGAGTAATTAACCGTGAATGCTGTTGGACGCCCAATCTATAAACAATATAACAGGAACAATAATATATTAAAAAGTGGGAAAATTTCAACTTCAGTGATTGTCCTTATATTCCATTGGAAATGTCTGTTTTATCAATATAACATCACTGGATCTAAAGGAAAGGTTAAATGTGATACTGGTATTTAGGGTTTGACAACACTGTTGTCCTTAAGTTCTTTGTGATCAAGGATCCCGAAACCAGTCAAAACGGAAGTCAGAAATCAAGGGGTTTATATATATATATATATATATATATATATATAAGATGGCTGATGCCTTGAGATGCGCCGCACGGCGTACACAAACGTATTCTAGTGAGGATGCCTAATCGAGCGTCATCGGTTAGGTTAGCGTCAGTGTCGAAGATTTATAGAACTATTTATTATTGGGATTTATTTACCACCACAAGGTTGTTCTCAAAATGTATAAACGGGAAATATTTTAGACTTTCAAACCGTTGAGGTGATTATTTTATCATCAATTTCTCTTCTGACGTCTTAATGACTACACTATGTTTACTACACTCTTTTTCGATACATTGATTAATTACTTTTCCAGTTTATCACCAATCTGAAAAAGTGATAATCATACCATGATATATTACGGTAAAAATATGTTCCTTGTTTTGGCCTTGATAAATTGAGTCTAAAAGTTAGACGTTAATTTGAGATACTGTATTTCGTTTCATTTGACTAAATTGTCAAATGGAGCTTTTAAAGTTACGAAAATGAAGTCACAAGACTTTATTTGACAACTTGTATGGATTATGCTTTACATATCACTACATAAAATGTTTGTTATGAAGAGTTTGCATTATGGTTAACAAGCTTGAGCAGATAGAAATAACCAATAACAAAACCAGTTACACATCCTACTTTCTTTGGAAAAGGTTTAAATATTATTTTATTGATATTTCACATTACATTGTGTTACTAATCATCATTTAAGTCCCAGATACAATCAGACGGATACCCATATAGAAGAATTTTCGAGATCGCTGTTTGTTACTTAGATCAGAAAGCTGTTAATTGTTAGCAGTAATTCCTTAAAGTCTAGTGTGAAGCCGTGACCAGTTGTGTTCAACAGTATACGGGGTTAAGATACTTATCTACTGAACACCATGGAAAATGATTCCATTAATTGTAGATAAACATGTAAACCGTTAGGGGTAATCCGTAAGACAAAATAGCTGTCTGTTGCGGTCTGGTTCTCAATAGATCCTTAACTTAGGTCGGTTTCATACGTTTCGTACATTATAAACCAACATTCAAATGCTTTTTTCACAAAAACGGTCAATATTATTCAATCAAAAGATGATTGGAATGTAAATGTTACACTTCGAAATTTTGCTTTTTATATAATGAAATAATGACACTTTGACATTTAAGCGAATTTTAGTCTTAAAAGAGATTAGCATTTTTAGCAAATAGTTGATTTTAAATGGGGAGTATAACTACAAGGGATTAGTTATTAACAAATATATTGTTATATAAAAGATTTCTAAGGTTAAAATTACTAGCCTAATTGTCATTATTCTAACATACGGGAAATCTATTACTAGATATAAGTGAGTTTATACACTTGAAATCATATTTGATCTTAAGTTAGATATTAGACCGGTGATTGCATTACTGAACTATCAACCTTTGGGATCAATGATCCTAAACTCACTTTACATATTTCGATTTAGTCAACTCAGTAATACCATCAAACTTCAAAAAAAAACAATTTGCAACTCAGAGCCACGTACAAAAGGGCATTTTTTTTTGAGTGAAGAAAAAAATCGTTTTTCCGAATTACTTACCGACAGACCACGATCTTGAATACTTGTAATATTTAATAATTTAGTTTCAGGTGTATAGAATGTTCGTTCCATCGCTTCATTTATGATAACACGAAATGGTGAATTCGGTATATGATCATCATTGAAGCGAATTGAGCATAAATATTCACCTGGTTCAGTTACACGATAAGAAACTCCACATGAACCATCTTTTCTATCCTTTAGAAGATACACAAAAATTGTTATTGAACATATTTTAAAACGATATTTAAAGACTTTTACAAAGAATAATCTGTTATGTATAAAAACAAAGTTCATGAAAGTTTAGGGTTTTGTGGAGATTACAGAATCCTCATGACTGAACCATATCAGTTGTGTGGGATAGTCATCCCCCAGATGCAATGGAAGATGATCGCACAATAGCTCGAATTGACTGATGTTAGAAGTGTACACTATTGAATGCAGGTCTAGTGGTTTAGAGATTAAGAGTTCGGGCAAAACACCAAAAGTCCTAGATTTGATTCTCTGTGGCGGGATATTCAATCCGCACTTCTGGGAATCCCATACTAGGACGAAACAACTCTCCAGGATTTCCTCTTATCCAATGGTGGTTTAGTTAAAAACCAGTCCATGTAGTACCATTCATACGATGCCCTAAGATTAGACCTAACAATTGAGTCTTTACAGATTGGATAATGATTGACCTATAAACTAATCCGCTTCAATAGCTGATGACGTTTTACCATGCTTATTTTGTGTATTTAGAATATGTATATGTATATTAAGTGACGGACAAATAATAAAAGATTCTGTGAACAGATAGCCCATCGTAGTTGACAACACACAGAACCCTTGAATATTATCTGACTTCGTTTTTACAAAAAATATACGAAATACAAGTAAGTGTGTAGACAAGTACGTACTATAATGAGCCCGTGTATTGAAACACTAAAGCTTACAAGGGAATAATTAGCGAAGCTAAATCTTCAGCATGATCAATACGTTTAAAATAAATGGTCTGTCCGGAGGACAGAATAATTTTAGTCTTTCTCAATTTTATCGTTGAAATTTTTCGCGTTAACAACTCGACATCGATCGGTTAATTCACTCCATAATGATCAGCCTAAATTGAAGGAATAATGTTTAAAACAAAGCTAGGGAAACAAATGTTTGTATTTTAGTTCAAACAATATTCTGACTCAACTGTGTTGTGATGAGAAATGAAACCTAGTCAAAAATCAGGCTTCGTAGCATTCTCAACATAAAATGCAGTTAGTTTAAATGTTATTCAAAAAGTATCTTAGTGAAACGCCCCCCAACGCCCTGGTACAGTCGCAGGTGGGAAGAGTCAACTCTCCCTCTCCAAATGACCACACCAATACAGCCACTACCAGGGAAGTCCTACTCACTTCATTTTCAAGGTGTGGATATTGTTTACCAAATCGAGAGGATAAAAAGTGAATGTCCGGTGCTTCAACCGGGATGAAGGATATGGAGGAGCTATCTGAAGAAGTAAGAAAACTCTAATTCCAAACCAATGGTGCAGATGGGTTCCAGAATCCTGAGAGAACAAATGACGTATGAGCCTATTGTCGGTCACCGTGTACCATGGTACTGTATCTTCTTATGTTGCTCCATTTCCTTCTGGATAATTTCTTTTTCAACTTTACTTCAATTGATATCATAATACCTTGACATTAGTATTTTCTCATATTAGTCAAATTACTCACTACTTTGCATATATTATCAGTAATAAATTCAATAATAACTAACTTCGAAATTGATTTCGGCTTTACTTGGTCCTTCAATAGCAATTGATAAACCACCTGCACCGGCTTCACGAGTATAAATACTAAAATCATTTAATGAATAAGTTAAACCATTTTGTAATCCTTGACCGGTAGCATGTACTTTATGCGCTCCACCTTCTGTAATAGGACCAACAGTAAACTGAAATGGACTTCCTAGAAAACAGATGAAAATGATTCATATTGTAGATTGAGAAATATTATTAGTTTTTAATTGACTATAAATGAGTATACATATATGTTTTTTACTTACCAGAAATATGAGATCCTCGATGACGTACTGAAACAGTATGTACACCCATTTCTTGTGGTACAAATTTAATGGTGTAATTCACATCATCCATAGCTAAGACATCACATCGTTGACTTACTCCTGATGGACTAGTTACATTAGCTGTTAAATCACGAATATTTATTCCTGATATATGGAAAAATAATGAAATATTTTTTGTAAAAAAATAAACGTTAGTTTCAAAATAAAAAAATCTTAAACGAAGCATTCATAGCATGGAATTGTGATAATTAGATTACGCTTGAAGTGAAATTGCATAACAATCAATCAATATATAATCAGTTTGGCGAGACTGTAATTTATAAACAAACCAATTAGATTTAGGATAAGAGGTCATGGATTTTGAAGCGAAATTCACTCATTCATCCACATAGAGTTTTGGTATTTTAGCTGATGTCAGTTTGTGATGAAAATCATAAATCTAAATCCTAACCCTTACCACCAACTGTAAGTCAATATCTTAATTCTTCAAACTGCTTTATGACCTTCATTTAGCCCTACTAAGTAGGTAGATACTCTTATGATCACCTTGGCGTCGCTCAAAAGTCGTCTATAAATTATGGTCTCACCGGTGATCGTTGCTGTTCACCATTATTGTTAATTCAACTTTTACTTCTCCTTTCTTATTATAACAACTATATTACAACCAATTTCGATTATGGTTAAACCCTTTTATTAACTTACTCAACAAACAATGTTATTTGAACAGTAACAATTCGCATATTTGATTGTACAGTTATAATCACTAGAGCACATAACAGACTCGAGCTAAAATGTTGATTGCTTAAATATCACTCGATGATTCATCCTCCTCCCCCCCATGTACATATGTATCCAAATCCTATTATTAGCTTTTGCTTTGCCTTGCTGTGCCCTTATGCAATTTGACTATAAATTTGCCTACGTAATTGTTCTTATATACTTATTCGCCTCTCTGTTCCAAATTCTTTTTGATGTGCTTATAACTTTCTGGTCTGCGCCATCCGCTAATAAACTGTAGTTGGCGCTTCTCATTGCCTTCTGATTTTCAAACACCATTGAGATTTATATTATAATAGTTATCGAGGTGATCGATTAACGAAGCAAAGCCGCTACATTATCAAAAGTTATCTAATACACCTAAACCAAAAGAATTTCCATATGAGTCTGTTTATTTCTAACTCTGCCTAGAGTCCCTTTCGGGGGCTACTGCCGGTCCCAAGCCCGGATAAAGGAGGAGGGTTGGGCATGGAGTTAGCGACCCCATCCCGTAGAAAACTAACTCGCTAAAAATACGCTAACCAGAAAAAATTATTCAAACCATTTAAACTCTGCCCTGGGAGTCAGAAGGTCTTCGTTTAGAAGAATTATGACGCCTCATGATAAAAGACGAGTTTCTTCGGAAGTCACGAGGCCAATGCTCCTTCTGACAACAAGAGAAACCATTTATTTAGGTACATGGAATGCTCGTACAATGTGGGAGACTGGGAGAGTTTTCCAAATTGCTGCAGAAATGAGGAGATACAACCTAGAGGTGCTTGGGATCGGTGAAACACATTGGACGCAAGTCGGACAACAACGACTAGTTTCAGGGGAGCTGCTGTTATGCTCCGGACATGAAGAAGAAAATGCCCCACATGCACAAGGAGTTGCATTGATGCTGTCCAAACAAGCACAAAATGCACTTATAGCATGGGAATCTCATGGACCAAGGATCATCAAAGCCTCCTTCAAAACAAAGAAAGAGGGCATTACAATGAACGTCATCCAATGCTATGCGCCTACCAACGAATACAATGAAGACACTAAAGATCAATTCTACGACAGGCTGCAGTCAATCGTCGAGAAGTGCCCAACAAAGGACCTGACTATTCTGATGGGAGACCTAAACGCCAAGGTTGGAATTGACAACACTGGATATAAAGAGATCATGGGACGACACGGACTCGGAGAAAGGATCGAAAATGGTGAGAGACTTGCAAATCTATGTGCCTTCAATAAACTGGTCATAGGCGGGACTATATTCCCACATAAACGCTGTTTATTTCTACATTCCTTTCTAACAAATATTTTTGTTCTTAAATTTTACAATTATCTGAGTTCAAGTTTTCACTCAACTCTCTTGGAATATGTTTATACTGTAAATAAATACCATTACTTTTATATTTTGTATACAAGTATGACAAAATGTGGTATGTGCTACTGATGTCAACAGATATAAGTAGTATATAACACCAGTTAAAAATGGAAGGCTTGATAGCAGAAGGTTGGAAAGAGTGAATCAACGAGAATGGGAACAGATAGTAATCGTTGTAAAAAATGCAGGAACAATGAAAGTTTAGACAAGTGATGGAATATTTTACAAATGAAGTATTGCTATGACATTCCTGTTAAAATTATTTTTCATATGTCATTTATTCTGATTATTAATCAAAAATGGGTATATAAACCAATATATAAATGAGTGTGTTTCCGAATAGACAGGCCGGGATCGCTCATATTTCTGGATACTCGTGGAATATACATCCTAGTTCCAAACTTCGAGTTCTCTCTTTAGTTAGTGGGGCCGTGATGCATCAGAATATCTAGCTTATTGGTCTTTGGTCATAGAGTTTTAGTTCCGTTCACAGACTTGGTGAACTCGTAATCGCTTCAAGCATAACAAGTATTGAATGTATGGTTTTCACATTTTACCAGAGAACTCTGTAATTTTGTCATGAAATACATTTTGTTATCCTCACTTGTATTGTCGTTCATTACAATACTACTAAACAGTTATTTTATTTCTGAATATGTTCTTATTTAGGGTCGTCGTGACCAATTGTTACTTATTCATTTTTATATTATTTCAAACAAGCAATAACGTAGTCATAAACAGACAATATTTCTTCTTTGTAACGAAATTGAAGTAACTTAAAGTAAACAAAAACGCACACACATACATACACACACTTTTTTTAGTCTCTTTAGATAGTCTACTTATTAACTATGTTTTAAGCATTGATACTTAGTAATAATGATTTCTCATAGAGTTATATATACTCTATCCCTCTCCCTCTTTTGGTATTTAAAAATAAACAAGGGAACTAATTGAATTTGTGACCAGAGGTTTTAATAATTAAAATCTTAAACTAAGAAAATTTAAGCTGAGGGAAATGGAGATAAATATGAAAATTTAGCGTGAATCTAAAAAGAAATAGTAGAAAAACATCAGCGAAATTATTTACTTGAGAAGGAATAACTTTTTTTTTTGAAAATACTGATTTGTTAGTTAAACTACCTTGTGCTTTTTATAAATAAATAGTTATTCATGAGTCAATTGAAGTTAGACCACCATGGAAAACCTGGAAGCATTGGACGGGTCTGTATGGGACTTCTCAATAGTGCGCATCCATGTTCTGACCTCGACATCTTTGAACCCAGGACCTATCAGTCTTGCGCGCGAACGCTTAATCTTTGTTGTGAGATAGTAATTCACTGATGACAATGGTGGACGGTGGTGCAACTTCATGGATTGATTGAAGTTAGATATTAACATCATTGTATACCGGCCAGCTCAGTGGTCTAGATTTTAGGTGTTCTCTTGTGAGACCCATATGTCCTGAGTTCGAATCTCGAGGGGTGGGATTGTGGGTGTGTACTGCTGAGGAGTCCCACAATAAGACGAAACTGCCGTCTAATGCTTCCAGGTTTTCCGTGGTGATCTAGCCTGAATTAACTTCTGAATTCAACTATTAAATTATTGAATTACTTCCTGATGAACAAAACATTCATGGTTTTAGAAAAAAATTATGGATAGTTTGATAGTTAGATAAATCGTTTTCAAAAAATTTCTAATCAACTAAAGTATCATTAGTGTATCAAGTAAAGACCGTGGTTTATAATCTCAACAACTGGTGTTTATCACGTCTAAAATCATAGAATACACATGAAGTATGCATCATATTTTCTCAGTCAATGTTTCACTACATTCAAGTTATGTGAATGAGATTAAAAAATGAAACGTAAAGCAGATTAGATCACAATACTACACCAGCTCATAGAATAACATATCACTAGTTGTTTAACATATTTTGAGAACTTCATGATATCCGATTGAAAATATAAGAGTAGAAGAAGTAATAAACTATCCTTTTTCTCCACCAGTATTATTCTTATTTGGTTTTGTTATTCTTTCTAAACCATTTAATCTAAAACGTTGGCGGTAAATCAATGAGAAGCTTCACAATTGAACACTTTGTGAATATGGATCATTCATTCAAAATAGATTCAGAGTTCAAAATCATCTATAAGGTGAATAAAAACCGGATAAAGACAATAAACGTTAGTCCTCTTAACATTCCCTAAGCCTTTGCCATACGGTCAAAACAGTCTGAACTATACGTACTAACGCAAATTATTAAACCAATTTTTTAACGCTACTACCCCTTCTTATATCCAACTTTTTTATTGACGGTGAGATTATAATTTATGGACGACCTTTGAGCGATATTAGACTGACCTTGAGAGTGGCCACTTAATAACCAGGACCAAATGAGGATTATAAACCTGTGTGAGGGATTAGAATTGTGATTTGCAGTTGATGATTAAGGTTAGGAATTAGATTTAGAGTTTTCATCACGAACTGACTATAAGCTATAATGCCAAAACTCTTTTTATCCAAATAGATTAATTTCGCGCCAAAATCCGTGACGTTTTATCAAATGCCTGATTGATCCGTCCATAAATTATAGTCTCGCCGCATTATGTTCTTCTGTCTAACTTGTTTTGGTGTTAAAAACGCAAGGATCTATTTATATGTTAATAAAAATGATCATAAGTTAAGAATTCACAAACAAGTCACTGTTGGTTCATTGTACTATAAAATGATTTAATTAGTTCATTACTGATAATTGTTATTTACCTGGAATTTTCAAATTCAATTCACATTGACTGCCTACATATGTTGCATCAGCAAGTTCTCTTTGTCGTGTAATTCTTTCCATCATTCTAAGTGATGGTTCACCACCAATATGAACTACGAAAGGACTGCCTGGTACTGGTTGTTCAGCGTATTTAACATTAATGATATATGTTCCAGGTTCAGTTGGACGATATGTAACCAAACATGTACCATCTTGATTATCATGGCATTCAATATCTGCTTTACTTGGTCCTTCAATTGATAGATTCAAGCCACCGTAACCTTCGAGTAGCAAAAAAAAACATCATTTAAGCATTTCATTTTAAAGTTAAATTGTGAGTAATGTGTTTAGTAGAATACTTTGTCCCGGTTTATTGTTTATTTATTCCTTCATTTCATAACTACACACAAGTATTTACCCGTTTGTTATTCAATTTCCTTCCTCTATCTAACATCATCAATTCATTCATAACATAAATTCCCTTAAAAATGACTTGATGTCAATTCATTTAATATACTACTCATTCTTGTGCATACACTTTTGAATATCAGTAGTTTATACCTAAAATATTATTTCGCTGGAATATATGCTTGACCCGCCTGTATTACTGGTAAAAAATGAAATGTACATAAACGATCATGATTAGGTTCTTTTCTAGACTAGGATTATCCGGTTGCCCAGAAAGAGAGAGAGAGAGAGAGAAAGAAGTAGGTCAGGTCAATTTAAACCAGTAGCGCAAATTTTAAAGTTCAAAAATCTTAACAAACCAACTATGTAATTGGTTTGAGGCATACAATTTATAGCTCAGATGCCAATGACGATAACAGAAACTTTCAAATTAAATTGTCTACCTCAGAGAACATCACTTCTGTACACTTTTATTCAGAAAACCCATATTCCTAGAGAAAAATTATCATCTTTTAGAGAATTAATAGCAACTATTTGTTAAGAAAGATTTCCATCTAAACCAGTTCACTAAATGTATCCGTAAAACCACCAAATGGCATCTAATTAAATTAAAAGTTTTCTTCATCTCTATTTTAAATTACTTTACAACATAAATTATATCGTTCGATTTCTAAATAATCAAAATCTAATGGAGATAACTATTGAAAGTTATTCAAATAATGACTTAGATAAACTAGTTCACACTACTTAGAATACTAATATGGTAGAGCTAAGATTAGTATGTTAAATGTAGGAACTGATGTAAGCTGGAAAACTGTCAAAAACCATAGAGCATAAAACTCTCTAATATAATACTAGCTACGTTAATTGTGTTAAACTAATAACAAATACTAACAATAATGTATGCATTTTAAACGAATTATTCTACGTAATGTGAATGGATATTTTTCCTGTCTGAAAGTTCAATGTAAAAGATTCTATTTCATGTCTACAAAAGTTATTGAGAATTCTGGGTTTTCTTACTATTAAACAAATTATTCAAATACGCTTCAACAGTGAAATCAATTTTGAACTACTTATACCCCTAATAATTAAACTCAACATCATTTCTAATATAATTGTGTTTGTGTGGGTAACCCTCATACAAATCAAACTAGGTAAGTTTGTAAACTAAATGGAGTTTTTTTTACAATTTCTACAATTAGAATATCCAAATTACTTGATAACTCCGCCTCGAGCCCCTCTGGGGCTACTGCCGGTCCCAAACTCGGATAAAATAAGAAGGTTGGGCATGTCTTAGTGACCCCATCCATTAGGAAACTAACTCGCTAAAAAAAGCTAAATAAGACAAGAAAGGATCAGGAAACACTAAGAAGCATTTCATCTAATCAGTGTTCACTTGAAGTTTTAGCCAGAAACATCAAGGAAGTGTAACGTCACATGTAGAGTTTCTAATTGGCTGATTACTACACTGCCACTATGTTTAGTAGCATTCCAGAATCTTCGAGTAACCCAAGGACATTTAAAATACTATAAAAACCCTATATTTTCTGTATTAGAACGAACCTTTGGAGTAAAGTGCTTCTCGCGTATTTTGCGCCTTTTCTCTCGTGTTCAGGTCTTTGTGTGGTTCTAGCTTGGGGGTTACGAGAATAGTTTACGAACCGAATAAAGCTTTCAATTAGCAAGACTTCTCAGTAAATTGCTTGATAATCAGTCATTAAATAGTAAACTATTAAAAAACAAACCCAATCAATTAATATTCTATCAATTAACTTGCAATGTAACTACTAGTCTAACTGACTAACCATTGAAGTGCACCTTGTTTAATCAAATATAACCAAAGAATGAAGTACTGGATCTCGATTCAATAGTCTAAACATATAGTGTTCAGTAGGAGATTTGTAAGTTACGAATTTAGTTCACCTTTCAAATCGCTGTTCAATGTTAAATAGTCCTAAACTAATGACATATTCGTTTGTTACACACATACACACGCACACACTCCTCTCTCTCTGTATACATATACAAAGTGAGAGCAAATTTGAACGAAATAAATTTATTTAATTATCAATAACCGAATCATTTTAATCATAAACTTACCAGCATTTCTTGTATCAACAGTGAATTGACAATTTTGATTTGCCATACCTTCTCTTAATCCATTACCATAAATACGAACTTTAGATGCATTACCAATTTCATTTTCACCGACATAAATTTTAAATGGACTATTAGCAATATGTCGACCATTACGGAATACATTGACAAAATGTTCACCAATTTCATGAGGTGTAAATGAAATACCTAAGATACAAGAATTATAAGTTATTTATAAATAGTTAACAGTATGAGAATCTAAGGTTTGTTGAAGTTCTTTAATATGACAAGTTTATATTAACTGGAAAAAACTTCTTTCAGATCAGAAAGCATTGAATTATTGTTTCTTCTCAGTTTGATACTTAATAGAAGAAAATATCGTAGACTTTTGTCTGTTACGTTTTACAATTAATAGGTCACTGGGTGGTGATCAATGTCATGTATGTCACATCCTTCTTAGTGCAGATTGAATGCTATCGATCAAGTTGCAATGTGGCCACTAGTCTAGGTGATTCGATATTGCGTGCACTATGTTTAGATAAGATGGTGATTGAAGGTAGTCAACAGGAAACCCTGAACCTAGGTTTCGTGCTACTTGGCACTTGTCAGCAAGGTGTACCTGTAATCTTGAAGGAACTGATTCTCCCCGACAGATTCGATCCCATGTTACGCAGTTTCACAATCAGAGACGTTACCACAGGGCTATGCGGGCCGTGATCGACCTCCTATAGGACTGAGATGTATTTACAATTTATTGATCACTGAGTACACCATGTTGACAAGTGCCAAGTGGTACAATACCTAGATCTATGGTTTCCTGTTGACTACCTCCAACAACCATCTTATCTCTTACTTTTATTTGTGATGAATAAATTTATAGTTTGAGTACATTTTAGACAAACCTGAAGATTACTATCGCATTATAATTGTATATATATTCATTTAAGATAGTTATTATATTTAAACTTGTTTTGATAAAGCAGAGCTATATCTTTTGAATAGGGATATTTTTTTGAAACAATAAACTGGGTATATAGATATCATTACCAAGGTTTGACTTGATAATTTCGAATAAATTGAACATTGAGTAGATTGTTATAAATAAGATGATATATTTGTAATATCTCAATGAGTAGAAAAATTGGATTGTCTGATACTTCGTGACTCAGAGTGAGCCATTTCTTCAATGAATAAATAACCAAATCAAAATTAATCCAAGTTTAAATAGTACAAGAACATTATTTTTTTATTGAAGAAGTGGTTTACACTGAATCACGAAATATCAGAAAATCTCATTTCTCTACTGATTAGGATATCTACAAATATATTACTTTTATTAATAATGAACTGGATACTTCTGTTTTAATTACACAATCAGTTCGGAACACTTAAAATTATGCTTTTATCAATAAGTCATTTTGTAAGTAAACCATTTCAATGGTTGAGATTATGAGTCGATTGATGCTAGACCACCATGGAAAACCTGAAAGCATTGGATGGCCGTTTCATCCTATTGTGGGAATCTTCAGCAGCGCGCATACACGATCCCACCCCCCGCGAGATTCGAACTCAGGCTCTATCAGTGCCTAACCGCTAGATCACTGAGCCGGTCAGTATCCAACGGTGTTAATATCTAGCTTCAACTAATCCACGAAATTGTGCGACATATCCATTATTGTCATCAGTGAGTTACTATCTCACAACAGACGTGGTTGAACTCTACTGATCACTAGAACTTCAGGAAATACCTCTTGAAGCCAGTCACTAGTGAATATATCACAAAGGGTTTTTGTGAATATTATAATAATTAAAGAAATAGTATTATCCAACATGAAAATAAAAACTAACTGTCTTACATAACTGAAAAAAATTTTGTTTTGAATTTTACCAATAAGATAAGAGTAAACGATAGTAACAATTAAAGTTCTTTTTTCTTAATTTCTGTCTTATTTACCCATTTAAGATTAACATTGTAAGGTTTTTTTTATTTCATAAATGATTATTATTGTCATTTTAAATGTTACATAACAATTTACTAAACCGATAATATGAGAACAAAAACAAAACAAAAAAAAAGAAAAAAAAAGGAACTGAGAAACTAAAGTCTATTTTGAGTATTTATATGCTTAGTGATAAAATTTTGTTACATTCAGTCAACTTTAAAAAAAAATACTTATTTTATGTTTGTAGTTAAGAATATAAAATTATTGCGGTCTATTTAAACAGTAATAAATTTTATTTGAAAATTACTTATAATTATTTATTCATTTAATTGTTGAATTCATGAGTTAATTCAAGCTAGATTACCATAGGAAACCTAGAGGTACTAGACGGCCCTTTCGTCGTAGTATGGGGCTCCTCAACAGTGCACATCTACGATCCTGTTCATGAAGTTCGAACCCAGGATCTATTGCTTAACTTGTAGACCGCTGAGCTGGTATCTAACGGTATTAATGTCTAACTTCAACCAAGTCATTCTTAAAAGAGCTATTGTTCATAGAATATGTGGGATTAACCTGAAAATAAGTGATAACTGTTTAGAAGGTTAGGTACTTTCTCTAAATTGCTGCCAGAATTTATTATTAAGAATATGCATGCTACTAATGTATGGAATTCAATAGTTCAGGCTCTCACCTCATCGAAGTCGGTATGTAATGTAACTAAAAATATGACAACTATTTAATCAATATTCTTTTATTAAGAATATTTACTTATAAATATTCAGTTACTTGCCCTGAACAGTCCAACCGTATTTTAACTGTTAACATCGACAAAACCACCATGGTTAGAAAACTATTTTTAGCAGTCTACAGTCAGTTTCAGCGGAGGAAGAAATTAGGAGGAAGCGCTAGAACGGGATAGGACACACATTGAAGAAAGCACCCAAATAGGTCACAAGACAAGCCCTCACTTGGAATCCTTAAGGCCAGAGGTGGAGAGGTAGACCAAATAATACATTACGTCGGGAAATGGAGATAGATATGAGAAGAATGAACAATAATTGGATGGAACTAGAAATGAACGCCCAGGACAGAGTGGGTTGGAAGATGCTGGCAGGCAACCTATGCTTCATTCAGAAAAACAGACGTCAGTAAGTAAGTAAGTAAGTAATTAAGTAAGTAAGTAAGTAGGTAAGTAACAGTCACAGTTCAAAAATATATTAAACAGCTATCAATATCATCTTGAGTTATTTCTTTTTTTATAATAAATTTCATTGTGATTCCATTTCAAAGACCTATTAACGTGTTTACAAGCTTTATTTCCAAGATGTATCATCGCATGGTTATAAAGATGATAATTTTAACAAACAATTTGTTTTATATGAAAAGTTTTATACATTTACTGAAATAAAACTATGTATTCATAATACAGGACTTTGACCATTGAATATTTATGTATAAAAAGTTTCATTAGTCATAATGTTTACATTTACCTAGATGTCCGTTTGGTAGTCTTTTTAACGTTGATGGTTGTTCAAGTCCAGATGGGCTACGAACGGTTGCAACAAGATTATAAATATCTGTTTCTGTAATACGCAATGGCATTTCACTAGTAGTACCAACACAAACTTGATTGAATCTGCGTGATTCACCTATAAAGCAAAAAACAAAAAGTTTTGCAGTGTAGTATGTATCATAAATTATATGTTATTTTTCATTGGTACAAAGCAGTCGTAAGATTAAAATACTGGTGACTCCAATCAATACTGAGGTTATTAAAGTTCTTTTACAAAAGAAATGGAATCAGATAGTTTTATCTCCTCCGAAGTACTCCATAATCGCAACAATATATTTATCTTGGTGACTGAATTGCGTTCCAGAATTACTGTTTAATCTATAGGCGCACTAACGTGATACAAGCTCTGTTTCACTGGTATACATGATACAAACAGTTGTTCAAAAAGCATCAGAACTTCCAGGTAGAAAATAGAATTCTGTGTTTGTCTTTAATTAATAATATTGAATTTCCTTAAAAAGCACATTTCAAACACAAATTATGCTTTTTTCAATCACTTCTTTGATTTATTTGAGTCACACAAACTACTAATAATGAGATAGATCGAACCTCTAGCTATAGAATGAATAATCAGAATAATGTTATGTAAGAAGTACATTAATGTACGGATCCTCATTAAACTAACGAATGTTAGGCTCGACTTCATCCTACTCAGAGAGCTTTGATAATATCGTTATTTGAGTAATCCAAATGTATCATTATATATATATATATATATATATATATATATATATATATATATATATATATATATATATATATATATATATATATATATATGCATAGTATTAGCCTCTTCTTGTAAGTCATAATAGCCTATGAAAAGTTTAGGTGATTGTAAACAATCAAGTTACTGAAAAGATTAGATCCACGATATTGTATAACCTCAACAGTGACAGTTGATAATGAAATCATTGATATTCAGGTATTCAGTATTGAGAATTTAAGTTGCTAGTTGAAATGACAAACACTTTTTTTTACACTATTTAGACTATATTTTGTTCAAATAATGTCTTAGTTGGAAGAGACGAAACCGATGAAAACTGTACATGATAAACTGAAAAAAGTACTATATACTTCTTTCAGGGTTTGAACCAACTCTACCCAACGTTAAGTTTGAAGTACGCTTAAAGTATGTTCATGTATTTGTTTATGAACGGTTGATAAGTTTATTATATTTTTCTTATTACTGATAGAAATATGTCAATCAAGAAGGATAATATAACTATTAGGCATATTGATGAGATCGTGTGAACGAAAATGGAATACGAGGATATTGAATAATTAAAGAGATTGTCCCACATCTTTATGTCATCGATACACAAGTAAGTCAAAAGACAATATCTAATTTGTTTCCTTATATAATCATAATTTTATAGATTTGCTACACTTTTTAAATATCAGTATAGAGTTGTGGAGATTGTTGAGGTGATCCAGAAAATTCCTCGCAAACACTAAGAAGCATTTCGTCTAATCAGTGTTCACTTGAAGTTTTAGCCAGAAACATCAAGGAAGTGAAACGTCACATGTAGAGTTTCTGATTGGCTGATTAATATACTGCTACTATGTTTAGTAGCATTCCAGAATTTTCGGGAAACCCAAGGACATTTAAAATACTATAAAAACCCTATATTTTCTGTATTAGAACGAACCTTTGGAGTACAGTACTTTTCGCATATATTGTGCCTTTTCTCTCGTGTTCAGGTCTTTGTGTGGTTCTAGCTTGGGGGTTACGAGAATAGTTTAAGAACCGAATGTAGCGTTCAATTAGCAAGACTTATCAGTCCTAATATGGGATTCCTCAGCAGTGCACATCCATGTTCCCACACACGGAACTCAAACCCAGAAGCTTCGGTCTCGCGCTCAAACGCTTGACTTTTAGACCACTAAGACTTGGACGCGTGCTGCTGAGGAGTCCCATACTAGGATGAAATGGCCATCCAATGCTTCTAGGTTCTCAATGTTGGTCTAACATCGATCCATTAATGATATCAATCTAAACTTCTTAAGTACTTTTAATCCACTTAAAAATTCTAAGCATAAAATGGTTAAATGACTTTTGTTAATTAATCTAGAAACACAATAAATTGTCTAATTATTCAAATGATGTAGCACAAATATGTATCGAAATCATTATAAATTTGTATATTATCAACCAACTGTCTTCAATGTTAATATCTAGTTAAGCCACTTTTTTATCATTCATTTATTCAACTAACTACTTATTTTTGATCAGTTATTTCAGTAATTAGAATAAATGAATAACTTGACAAATATCTTAATACAAACACATATTATGATTATTTTAACATACCTGTTATATGTGCTGTGAATGGTGAACCAGGTATATGATTCTCCATGAATTTAATCGATATTGTATACTCACCAGGTACTAGTGGTAAATAGCTTACACTACAAGTACCATTTTTATTATCATCACATTGAATATCGGCTTTAGATGGTCCTTCAACGGAAAGTGACAGTCCGCCTTGAAATTGCCAAAAAGAATTGGATACAGAAAATATTATCAAGTTAAATTTAATGAAAACGGTGTTATCACGAAGAAAATGTTGACAAAAACAAAAGGGAGTAACCAAATTCCCATAAATAAATGATATATAACAAAACTGCTACTGTTGTTCATATCACAAAGTGACCTCAGTTTTGAAACCATTCAAAACCAAAAAGCACTGGACAGCTGTTCCTTTTTAGTGTGAGATTATACCTCGTTAGTCTCTATCCACGAATCAACTAAAGATTGGACATAGGAACTACAGATGACTTTGTGAGAACTTGAATTTTAGACCACTGAGTCGGAATCCATTGATTTATCCGTGTAACTCCCATCAATTCGCTTTATTTAGAAACTATCTTCTATTGTATCTAGTTGGTAACTGAAAACTGATGATCTTGTCGAGATATGGTTTTGTGTATTGACTCAGTTATTTGCTAAGTGCAGTAGGTGAAATAGCTAATTATTATGCATTCTTATTTAACAATTTCGATTAAACACTTTCTCAGGGGGGAATTATTAACAAAACCAAGCTAAATGCAATAAAATCACTAAAGATTTTTTTATGAATTACTACAAGGAGAAAAATAAAGAAAGGTGACAAACTGGGGAGCCCATTTTTCTTAATATGTTATTATGCATAGTTGGATTGTACATTACCTTTATTACTCTGATCTATAAATTGTATCCATGTCTTAATCTATTCTCAGATCATTGTAATTTAATCATGAGTTTGCTATCTTGTACTCTAACAGCCTTATTTCGGCACATCATATTTTCATATTTATCGTGAGTTGTAGTCCAACATCTTTTATATCTGATCGTGTACTTGTTTGAGTTAAATTGAGTTCGAATATAGAGGTTTTGATTGCAGTTGTTTTCTCTCTTTTATTAATAGCCAATCAGTGCCCGCGTAGCTGATCTTTATTCGGAGTACAGAATAATCATTTGCTCTTTAGTCTAATTGGTCACCGATAAACTTCTCGCATTTGACTTCTGAAGGTTATGTTGAGTATTTTGCGATTTTATTCAATGCACTAAGTTAATATTTCATATTGGTCATTTCAACACTAATACGTTTCAGTATGATTAAGCGTTCACGAGCGAAACCGAAGGTCGTCGGTTCGATTCCCTGTGGTAGGGTCGTGGATACACACTGCCAAAGAGTCCCATACTAGGACGAAATGGCTTTTCAGTGCTTGTCTCTTAGTTCATGATTCCAACTAAATTATCAACCTCTTTTCATTTTAGTCTTAAATTTATCTTTCACATGACCACCTTTTGGATTCTTGATTCAGCTGTAGAGCCTAAAGAGAATTTATTGAAAATAATTTTCTTCGTTCATGTATCTATGTTTTTAATAGGATCAGAATTTTACGGAGAGTATTGGTATCTGAATTTTATAAGCAGTTATTCTGAAAACGTCCCACCGACTTCATTTTTAAGCGATTGTGTTTTCCGTTATCGGGGTTGCGGTCTTTACATGATCAGTATCTATTGACATGTGAGCCTATTGTCTCGAGATTCCCATTTAGACACAATATTTTAGTTAAGTTGGACAGTGGTTAGCAGTGAAATTCAGGAAGTGTGTTCCATCCTATTTGGGGTTCATCAGCTGGATGTACATCCACTTCAACGTTGATATTCATCACACTGGGATTCGATCCCATTGCCTTTCGTTTTAAATGCCAAGGCTTTATTCGTTGACCTACTGAGTTCATATGAACGCTATATTGTGAAACGGGTTCCACCGTTAGCTACTGTCCGACTTGATAAAATATCTCACAAACCGTTAGAACTAACAAATGAAATTGTGCTTTACAGAGAAAAGTGGTTAGTAATGGTGCATTGTTTCAGTGATCAATTAAAAGAAAAAACATAAACCATTCACCATTCATCATCAAGCTTACACACAGTACTAACTGTCATCTGATGTATTTGTTGTTCCTTCATTAATGGGTGGGTATAAATATATATCCAATTGAAATTCAGTTACATATGGGAACGAACCAATGATTTCATATTCGTTGCAATCTATTGTAATTAGAATGAACGTTTTTATAGAAACGAGTAATTAACACTTTTATTTTTATTGGTCGTATACATCACGAACTGAGATTAGGCATTCAACCATTTTTAGCCAGCTAGAACTGAACAGATATTTCATCATATTTCGGCACTTCTTAGCAGTAGGCCAAAACGGTTCCCTTTGAATAAACTCAGACCATCTGGGCTCTCTTGAGAGCAAATTTCTTTTGGACAATCAAGTTGGGGCGCAATAGCCCATAATTTCAGCACCAGTCTATTCATACTAGTGCCATTAATAACAACTGTCTTACTTCCCTCATAGTTCAACCCAGTCAATAATTATTGAAATAAATAAGTTCATTATTTACCTGCTCCAGCATCGCGTGTAATTAAAGTGAAATTTGCTGGTTCTCCAGCACGACCACAAGATAATCCTGGTCCATAAGCTGTAACAATTCCAGACCCAACAGCTTCAACATAGAATCTGAAAGGACTACCTGGTATTGGTTGACCATTATAAGTTATTTCTAATTCATGCAGTCCAGGTTCATTTGGTTGAAATTGTGCTGTAACTGTTCCATCACCATTATCCAGTAAAGTTGGATGTAAAATTCGACCACTTGGAGTACGAACCAAACCTGACATGTTATTTAGATTTAAAAAAAGATGATTTTTATCTTTCAGTTATTTTGACAATACCATCAGGTTTCTATAAATTCATCATTTACATTTCCTGTCACTTTTTGAGTTGTCGAGTTTATTTGATATGTATGACCATTTTGATTATGTAATCACTATTGCTATTTAAATAAGATAGTGCTTTAATCCTAAATAATATCATTGGGTGCTCATAAGTAAGATATATAGTAGGCTCATATTAGAACGTACAACCAAGCAGGTGTAGCCATGTATAAACTGGTACAATGCCTAACACTAAATCAGCTATTAATTTTATCTTTATCGTTGGACTTTATAACAGTTCACACAAGAATAGGTTTGAGTGAGTGTATGTTCTGGAGGAATGATGTAAGGATGCTACAAACGTTCACCAAAACTGTTTCAATGTTATCTATGCTTCTTTACTAGAACTGAATTGGATAAATAATCGATCACCGGCGATTCCTATGTCATATAAAATATTAGATTAGGATTGATCGTAAGTAACGTTTTTACGATAGGAGAAATCAGTCATTTATAGTTAGTCAAGTATCAAGTCAAAATTGATTCACTTTGAAAATGATTTTCGCAAGACATTGACATCAACTGAAGTAGCCTCTAAAGACCAATGAGCAATGGGTATCTGTTTTATCGTTGTCTAGAACTTTTAAAAAAAAACAGATACGATCTCACATATGACGAAACTCAGGACCTTTAGATCACACTGAAAGAACGACGAATTTGTGTACCGATTTTTCTTAAACTGCTCTATATAAAAAGATCTTACAACAATCAGTTAAAAAGCCATCAAATCTTTATTCTAGTACTCGTTAGTTGATTTTTTCATTTGTTACTATGAGGCAGATAGATGAATAATTTCGGTTCCATGACTTCAATATTTCTTTTATGATTTGGCACGTCTTAAATTAAGCTCAGATATTTAAGTTAAGTTTTCATATAACATCACCGAGTGACCAACCCTGAGGTTAGCCTTAGGGTACTAAGAAGAGATTGGAACGAGTAATAGTGACTGGTGTATGTGTATAATAAAAGAAAGCTAAGGGTGACCAAACCAAGAATTAACGTCAGTTCATGCAATCACTGATAACTAGACTGAATCATGTAGACAGGTTCAGATTTCTTGGTTAGGGTTCACGCGACTATTATGATTAGTGATAGGAGACGTCGGATCACACGGCTCAGATGCACCTACTGTTTTTCGTACCTTAGATCATGAGTCCAGAAATCGCCTTCTACTTTTCCTTTTCTTTCTACATTTAACCTTTTCTACTACTGCTGATATAGTCACTACTTCTGCTCTAGAATTTTTCTTGATAGCTTAATCTCGCTGTACTGATATGTGGTGTGGTGACTCGAAATGATGCATATATGTGCCAGGTTTTACGTTGCATATAACTGATAGACCTCCATAGAGCTAATCATCTGCAAGTGTCTTAACAGAAAGAGGATGGTAATGTTTAGTACCTTCAGCATTCAGTTTTTAGTGACTAAAACAAGAATTTGTAACTCGCTCCACCTAATTTGTCTCAGAAATCATGATAGTACCAATAATCATTAGTTCATACCTAATGAATCAGTTTGTGAATCAGTTTTATTCTGGTTGTTAGATTCGTAAATTCGGAACGTTAAACAGGTATTATTCAGATACTGTGAATATCAACTCTGTATGTAATAAATAGATTAGTATATATACTTCACTATATTCTCATTTCAATATATTGGAATAGTTAGATACTGAAAAGGGTAATACAATATCACATTCTTACCTTCTACATGACTAAATGTTGGGCCAACGGGTAGTTTGAAATCGACTGGATGATATCCTGTTGTAATTGTTGAAGACTGAACAGACTGTACAGATTGTACAGTTACATGCTGTACTCTTTGATCCTAGAAATTTTGGTATAAAAGGAAATGTACAGTAAATGACATGTCATTTCAATGACATTAGTAAATTACATTGAGTTAACCATTGTCTTTAGTGTTTAAAGATAATTCAGTGAAAAGATATGTGCATCTACATTAATCCAAAAACTATATTATATTAACCTCTGGAAACTTACACCTTTCCTGAGATTCAAACATACGTAATTCAGAAACCTCAATCATAGGTGTAATATTTAAGCTTTTGGTATTTATCTGTTCAATAATTTGTGATAAATGTAACCGATTAGATAATAAAACCTCCCATTATTCAGAAAGCACTTATTGGTATTCAGTTTAACTTTCATGAGTATATTTTCCATATTATTTTCACTACGGCAACACTGTTAGTCTAACTAGGTGGAGGACCATATATGGTCGGAGTATGTTTATAACTGATTATCAAATTTGTGATAACAATTGAAAAGGTATCGTCTGTCAGTACTTTACATTAAAACCAAAAGGTTCAAAACTATGCACTAAACACTTGTTAAAGTGTAATATTTGTTTCACTGAACATGCAAATATATACAATATGTGCTAAAGCATGTATTAATATCAAATGGTATAAGAAATTGTGAGTTGAATTATCTTACCTTATTTTCTCATTCAAATGTAATACAGGTAATCGTGTGTAACTTGATTACATATATATACACACAGAATGATGATATTAACACGTTTATAAATTTTAGTAGTTGAGATCATGGGCCAATTGAAGCTAGACCACCAGGAAAATCCTGGAATCACTGGACGATCGCGTGATAGCAGCTCACTGAAGACAATGGTGGATCTTAGCGCAATTTTGTGGATTAATTAAAGTTAGACATTAACACCGTTGGATGCCGTGCGGCTTAGTGGTCTAGAGGTTAAGCGTCCGCGTGCCGGACCGAAAGATTCTGGGTTGGAATCCCATGAGGCGGGATCGTGGGTGAGTACTACTGATGATTCCCATAATAGGACGAAATAGCCGTTCAGTGATTCCAGGTTTTGGTCTAGCTTCAATTGACTCATGATCTCAACTATTAAAATTAGCATAATATCCATAAAAACCCATTCTGACATTTATAAATGTTTATTTATGAAATTAGAAATTAGCTAACAAAGTATTCCTTTAACGAATGTTAGACGGTTCATAATAAGTGTATATTAATATTTATGAACTCTTAAAATGGGTTTTAGTTCTGGCACCTAGCAACCAACATTCTGTTTAATATATTAATGAAATTAGATGATATGTGTTTCATTTACAGAGTCTAATTATCTAGAACTTAACTGCTTAGTTATTTTAAAACTAACTTATGCCAATGAATCCCTGAATATTAGGAAGTATTTAGTGGTCTGAGATCTGACTCCGATAATATCGTATGATTGATTGTTGAATTATATATCTTGGCTATTCTCGTATTTAATTATGGACTTAATCCGCGTTAGTGAATAATGGAATTAAATAAATCAAATACGAGAATGGATTTTTGAATATGTATATTTTGTACAATCATCGATTCAGGTAGACAATCAAAAGAACTATGTGGAACGAAATGATGCACAGTGGAAAAGGCATATGAGCCAACTCGATTTAATCAAACGTTAATTTATATTTATAGTTACACAAAAATAAGCTACAGACATGATGATTAGGATAAGAAGTGTACACACATATACGGTCATATACAATCAGTCAAGGTTGATAAGTTAATAATTCATAAGGTCAAAACGGGCCTCAAGAAGAATAAACAAATTGGCCTGTCCAGAAGCTAGAATAAGCTATATGGGCTTAACTTTGTAACCGACACTACAAGTACAAAATTTATCCATGGAACCAAGTGTTTATTTATGCCACGATGTTTTAAATATTCTAACCAGAATGTTACCCAATTGTCTTCATTTCAACTAATCCATATATCTTAACAACCTATATGATCTTTTATTCATTGAAACGTAATAGAATGATTTCCATTTCAATAATAATTTCACGATTTCATAACAAGAATATTCACACTTACAGTTACATCATTCATTAGTTCCTCTGGGCTGACAGCCTAAAATACAAATAGAAAGACATTAGATAACGAATATTTATTGCTCATTATTGACTGAATCACCTAATGATCATAAATGGTGGAATGTAAGAAAAATTAATCGTATAAAAGTTAAGAATCAAATTGAGAATCGATTCGATGACTATTGAATGTCTATGGAACTTCAGGATAACAGACGAGTAGCAACCCAATATAAAATATATATAGCTGAAAGCCTATTGTAAAAATAGACATGCATATGAGTTGATATAAATCACTTGCATTAGTCAATGATAACTGTTGATATTTTATTGAAATCATGAACCGGTCCAAGTTATACCACCACTGAGTAAAAATCAAAAGGTGTTAATGTTAGACTCAGTGATCAAGACATTAAGCGTTCTTTTGCGAGACCTAAAGCTCTGGGTACGATTACCACTTGAGGAGTCGTGGATGAATACTATTGAAGAGTCCTACACAATGATGAAACTGCCGTTCTCTGCTTCCAGGTTTTCAATGATGGTATAGCTTAGATTGATTATTGATTTCAATGAAATCCAACAATATACAGAACCCCTTACTAATGACAACATTTTAATCTGTAACTTTTCCAAAGATGCATTGACGAGAATAACACATTAATGCATATGAGACCTCAAAGTTTAATCACTAACAGAAAAAAGCAAAGTAAATGATCTAGAAATTTTGAAACGATTCGCAAATTTTCAGTTGAAAACGAATAACATTCAAAAAATGTTTATCATTTATTTTGTTCTGATCAGAAAAAAATCGAGATACTATGACAAATTTTCTCTGAAGTCTAGTGTAAGTTTCAAAACTTGGATGACTGGATCCATTAAAAGTGACAGTAATGCTAGTCCATGTCGAGTGTGAGGCAGTTACCCACCGAAGACGATGGGAAATGATTGCATATCGTGGATTGATTGCAGTCAGGTGTTATCATCAATCGATTACTGTTTAGTGCTTTCAGGTTTTCAACGGCTATCTAACTTAGATCAGATCATGATACTGATAAGATTCAACAATCTGTATAACCCCTTGCTGACTATTCTTTTGTTGATAAGATTATTAAATTAAAACAAACAGATATCAGTCAGTGATAAGAATGATTTAAGCATATAATCCTATCCTTCTTGTATGATTTTCATTTAACCGTCAGTGCTAATCAATACATTTCAAATAACCTTGATATAGAACTTACTTTTTGGTTAAATCTTCCATTTGGTATAAGTTCACCGCCAAATCTTATTTCAACTAAATAATCACCACGAATTGGTGGTGTATAGTAAATATTAACTCGACCGTTTGGTGCTTCATGAATTTCAACATCGGCTGTTGCTCCAGACGGTGTAACAATACGACAAGTTAATTGTCCAACACCAGCTTGTGCTGTATTCACACTGATAACACATTCTTGACCAACAGGTATTCGGCTATCATTTCCATCTTTTGATAAAATATTAAATTATTAACAATATCCAGTTTATTGAATTTATCATTCATTAAAAAAGTAAAACTATTCAACAAAAATTGAATTCGTTTGAGAGTTTTGTGTAGTTTAAAACTTATCGGTTAAGAAACAATTTAAATTTAGGGAGTATTATACAGTTACTTTGTTATGATGTTTACTGTGAATAATTTCGAAATGGATTTACTGAAGCTTTAGTGGATAAACATTGGTTGTCACGTCATTCTAATTGCAAGCAAACAGTAGTAGTCCTGGAACAACACCGGATAAAGATTACACTTTATCGAAAATTGACATAAATTCCAAGTGTTTCCCATCAAATATCTACTTGGTTGTGTTGGGACCGCTTCGAAAGGCACGATGAAACCTTTAGAGCCGAAAAGATTCCATTCAATCAGAACGTGATAGAGCCTTCTAGAATATCAGCGTGGCATGCCACGATTGGACAATAGCATAACTTATCTCCTTGCGGATTGGCTGAATTATAATGATGTCATAGCTAATATTAATAACTATAAATACCCATGTTTTTCCGTACATTTTTTATTCTTACACAATAATCACTTGCCCTGCTTCTTTCGTCTTCGAATTTGCGACTGTGGGGTTTTACACGTTTGAGTGCCGTTAGTTGCAAATCGTATTTAGCCGTAATCAGGTAGGAGACATAACAGGTAGTTCAAAGATATTGTGCTTCCACAATAACTGAAATTCATAGATGTGGTTCATTTAAGAGTCCCAACCTAGAACAAAATGGCTGTTCAGTCTCATGTGATTTCTAATAATTTGTCACTTCTTATCGTTTATCTACTTTTCAGTTATTGTGTAGTTAAATTGAAATCCGTTTGTATCATTCACAGAGTATGCTCTCAAATATTTAGTCAATCAGGTGTTAATCATAATCGCGTAATCAACTCAGCTTTGCCAAATATTAAGCCCTATCGAAGTTAATACTCTTGTGTTATACGACGCTACAATGAAGTGACCTCTCAGAAAATGATTTCTTAGTGTTCAGTTCAATGGTGGGTTCGTGGGTAGACATTGTGTTCAGGAGCTCTATACTAGTAGTTCAGTGACCATTGGTACTCTATAGTTCTTCAGATGATATGACTTCGTAATGAATATTAACTTAAACTATTCATTTTGGATTCAGTGAAACAAGGATCATAAGTATACTGTGTAAAAATGAAAAAAAAAAAAGACCTTAACCTCAAACTGGTTACTTGATGCCAGAGTTTACTAATGAGAAGTGTTATTTACTGACTTATATACAAATCCTGTAATATAGTTTTACAGAATTTTTCTATAATGAACAGATTTATTTTCACATCATAGCAAAACTGTTTATTTTAGTTACCGAAATATGAAATTTCATAAATAGATTTACTATTTCATATATATCAGTGTACATGAATTTGTGTGTATGCATATTACATAGCCAAATAGAAAAGTATCAATTTTGTAATTATGCATTGCTTTCCCTTTTCCTTATATGATTTCTCTACAAATCAATCATTTTTACTGATTAATAAATGTACACAGCTACATATATGTACGCACGTACATATACAGATACTGACAAGTGAATACAATGTTCCATGAATAAAAATCGATAAGTGAGTGTGTGTGTGTGTGTGTGGTAAATTTCACTTATATACTACTATTTTGTATAAAAACAAGATAAGGTAATTAACACATATTGAGTGGGTGATGTGATAATGGGTACAAATAACCACTACTTTTCAGTTGTATTTGTGTCCACGTGTCTATCTAATAGTATTGTGCATTGAACTTTAAAAGTAAAGCATATTTTTTTCGTTTTCGTAAAGATAACAATAACAATTCCAAAGGAAAATAATATTAGATTAAAAATGTGAAATATGAGAAGTTGACTAAGTTCTATTCGTCTAATTTATTTAAAGGGATTTAAAGAGATTTATTTCATATGCAGGTAGCTGTCGTTATAGATTGACTTTATTTGGGGGTACTATTGAAAACCAGAAAGGATTGAACAGTGGTTTCGTCTCAGTGTGGGACTATTCAGTAGAGAACATCAACAACTCCAACAGGGATCCAACTCAAGATAATAAGTTACACAGAGACTGTTTGACCTTTATAACCACTGATCTGGCGTCCAATGGTATAATGCCAACTTTAACTACTCAGCTACATAGTGTGATGATTATCTTATGGAATTGGTGACAATTGCTTATCTATTATTGTTCGACTCTTGAAGGTTAAATGTTAGGCTATGGGTTCACCTCTAGGTCCTATGCTTACTGGTTCTTTCCATCTCAAAACTAGAAAACGAACCTTGCAGCTGGTTTTTGATAAGCTTGAATTTTTTCGCCGTTAAATTGACCACATTTCATCATCGTTGATCAAAATATTGAAAAAAATACATTCTTGGGGCAATCAACAATATAAATTCAGTAATCAGATTCACGTGTTAGGAGGAACTCAATAACAAATTACATTTCCTTGAATTTTTGTTAAACTGTTAGAAGTTCTTCGATAAGCCAATACACATGTTTCTTGAGTTTTATTTTCATTCATTACAAAAAATACTTACATGATGCGTTATAAAATGTGCCCTGAAGATATGCTCAGCTGACAACGTGAACAAGGAACTAGAGCTTACAATATATAGATTGAAATGGGTTATTCATGGGATTTCCTGAAGAAGCATTTGAGTATAGTGAACAGGAAAGTAAGAACATCAACGGTTGATGAGATAGCTACAATTCACTGGAGATATAGCTAGCGAATTATTACGAGATAGACTAACTAAAGCAGAAAACAGAACGTTTAGTCCAAGCCAACCTCTGTCTATCGTTATCGAGTCGACCTATGGAGATTCCTCAACGAAAGACTAAGTTACCTGCAACATGTATGTGTATCTACAAATCCAGCTGCTAATGTGGAGACAGCTATGTTGGGCGCATAACAAGACAAATGAGCAAACGAGTTACTTGACACTCCTCATCATGGTTAGTAAAAAGTATCCTCAAAGCAATATGAAGCTTTGTTCTATCACACTTGATCAATAGCAGTCATGTAGTATACAGAAATAGATCATTTGAAGTGGTTTATCGTATTCCTACTAGCTTTACTTATGGGGCACGATATCGTCTGTTACACATAGTAGAAGCTATTGGGATTAGAGCTATCAATCCAAGTGTTTGTATTCATAAGAAATTTGTAGCACCGTTATCTCTTCCTTGGCCGAACTAGCCTTAACAAAAGATTTTATTTATTATTATTTTCCATACTCTTTGTTCATTTATTTTCCTTCACCCCTTTTATAAATGCAAACTTAACTGTCTGATTATTTGAACACTTCTTGTTACTATAAGAACAGGGATTTGTGTAGATTATTAGTATGTACAACTTAACCCTTCTAATTTGTATAATTGCTTTTTCTTAACGTACCACTACGTATCAATCTTAACTGCTAATTTTAATGTGATGTTTAGTATCTTCTACTACTTACTATGGTTTCAGTCCTACTTCAGACATTCATCTCATCGTCATTAACGAAAGGATGTCAAACTGTTGTCCTTAGTCCTACTATTCTTTGTAACTTTTGGTTGTTTGAAACTAAAGTGAATCATGAAATAGGATAAACTCGTCTTACTTCATAAATTGCGTTTATCATACTTTGTTCAAAATCATCAGTTGTGTCAGATCTTTGAAAGTAAGCAATTACATGAATATTGATCTAAAAATATTGCATAACGTAATCATATTAAAAACAAATTTCTTTTCTTTATTTATCTTACTTTCTATACGACACATATTAGCTCGTCCAGACGGTGCAACTGGTACTAGGAATGGACTTTCAGGAATTTCTTGTCCACCGTATTTCACTCGTACAGTATGACGTCCAACAATCATTGGTGTATAATGACATATATATGTTCCATCTCCAACATCTACTACTTCTAATTGCAATGGTTGACCATCAGGATCCTGAAATCATAAATTAAATTACGGGTTATCAGAAATGCTTGGTCATACATACTTAAGTTCTTAGGATTCATGCAAATAGATTTACAAATTGACACAACAACAGTAAGAAGAACAACTAAGTTCACTGTGACAACACGAAAAACAAATGTGCTACAAAACATTCAAATTGATGTGTTTTTTTAAAAATGGTTTTTAGTAAATGAGAATTGCTTAATAGTATAGATGAACTGAAAGACTAATGTCAACCAAAGAATTCTTGAAAGAATACTCAATACCTATCATTTTCTGGTTGTAATTTGTTCCAGGATGAATAACCTCTAGGAATTTATCATTCATATTTTATCGAGACTATATACCTATTAGGTCAATCAAGTCCTTTCAGTACATTTTTTTATATTTATGATGGTATGTTTAAAAATTATGGATCAAGTACATTACATTATTTCAATTGTTCTACTACGTCAATAAGGATAAGTCTAAATGAGAAACATTTTTTTGAAAGTTTCAACTTACTTCAAAATTTGTGATAATAGTTAAAAAGAATCTATGAATGTGTATGTGGAAACCAAAAAAATTACTGGTTACGGATTTAAAATATAGGTTTATAGTTCGTCAGTTCTTAATGTTGAATGTTGCATTCACATGAATGTCACCACATGTTATGAAAATGTAGATGTCAACCTTTTAGTTCCAATAATCAATCCGGTTTTGTAATTTGCTGCTATGCTGATAATTATCATGTACTCACCAGTGACTGGCTTCGAGAAAAAATTCCCGGAGCTCTACTAATAAGCCATGACTAGTAGAATCCAATCATCTTGAGTATGAGATAGTTATCAATTACAAGCAATGAATGAAGGTTTCAAAATTTCGTGTGTTGATTAGAGTTAGACATTAACACCGTTGAATACCGGCTCATTGGTTGAAAGTTTATGCGTTGCTACTTTAAACTGAATATCCTGTGTTCTTTTCCGGGTAGCGGAGTCATGAATGTGCGCTGGCGAGGACTCCTACCATGTTTTTAATGATCGGTTCATGATATCAATAAAATTCAAAAACCTCTACAACTCGATAATGAAACTTAATTTGTTGTCACAAGAAATCATGTTTGTGCTGTTCAATAAGTGGTTTAAATTAATTGCTTGATATAATTACCATGCAGACTACTGAAAACTCTATGTTACTTAAATGTTTCGTCCTTTAGTAATCAACTTGTCTATAAGCTAAACAATTTCATTTCATTTCGTTTACATATGAAAATGGTCAAATGAAATTTCGCACAAACGATATTTTTAATAAGGTAAAATGATTTGACTATTTTAACACTTAAAGAAAATTATTCATTAAAATTGAAGTGTACTGAACAATTTCGATTTTTAACACTGATTATAGAAACTGTAATGTTCTATCATAACAACAACCATCGACACTAACCATGTGAACGATAAGCAGAGATGAATATTGGTTAACAGTGGAATCCAGGACGTGTATTTCCTTCTATCTGGAACTTTTCGGATGGTTGTACTTGCGTCTCAGAGTTGTTATTCACTTTGGGACTCGAACCCGATACCGTTTGCTTTAAACATCATCTCGTGGATAACACGTGTGATTTATGAAAATGATTCCAAAGAATAAGCATTTTACAATTTCAGGTCTAGTTTATGGACACTCATTATGTTATCTTCCTTTCTATATTTGTATTCTAGCTAAATGAAGTGTCCATCATGTTGTTGAAATTTGCTCGTTTGTCAATTAGTAATCTTTAGTCAGTAAAGGTAACTTTGATTTATATTGGTCAATAATATCCTATTTTTATATTAAATAACCCTCATTGAGTTTACATGTCAATACTAGTCAAATCTGCAAAATTAACAAGCACTAAACGTTCATTTTATCTTGTCTAATAGCTATTGGGTGCATGATGCAAAAAACAGAAGATGAATATCGATTTTGGGGCCTACCTGATTGGGTCATAATTATAGAAACAGTTATGTTATTCTCTTAGTCTGACTTGTTATTGGTCCACCTAAATTGTCAGCCAACGACTAAATTACAGTGAGGTTATGCTGAGGTCATTATTTAACGTTTATGAACCTGGAATACAGTTTCCTACACTTTTTAATTTCGACAGTCAGAATAGAACAAGAACACAGCAGACGACTTCTATTGTACAGTTTGACTCAAACTAGTGCGAAAACGGGTTGTATACCATACCAAACACCGATATAAATGCTTGGACGTGATCTAAGTAATAGGTCAATAACTAGATAACAATAACTGACAGAAGGCAAGAGAAAGAACAGTAGTTTGTGTGTCAAACCACTGCTTACAGCCAGGATAATGTTAGAGTACAATTGGTCAAGTGTCTAATAGTTATGCAATGAAAATATAAACAATAGTTGTCCATAAGATAGTTACGAAATTTAAAACACGATATTTTCTCCTATATAACAGTGCTACGTATATGATACTTTTTACGACAGAATGCACAGCTCGAATACTTAACAAGTGGTCTTTAACTTTTCAAGCATAATTCAATTTCACTAGTTTGGATCTTCTATTTGTATTAACTTACATTTTAGCCTTCTAGAATGTTAATGAAAAATATACATCTTACACCAACTTCTAAGATTAAACAAAAGACGTATCTTTGAAAGTAGTCTTTATTATGAGGTGAAATTAGTAGGCAAACTGTAAATAAATAAGGTGCCATTTGTATCCTTATTTATTACTTTCCATTAACAAACTACTTGAGTATTTAGTGGGTCTATATCTGACTCCAGTTATATTGGATGTATGATTGCTATCGAAATAGACGTATCGCCAATCCACATATATATTCATCGACTTAACTGGCGTTAGTGAATAACGGAATTAAATAATTCAAATACGAGAATGGATTTCGAATAACTATATTTCATCAATCATTGATCGAAAAGTGAAGTAAAACAAAATAACGCTCTATGGAGGAGGCGAGTTAGCCAACTCGATTTAACCAAGCGTGAATCGATATTTATAGTCAGACAAATATAAGTTACAACACATGTGATGGGAAAGATAAGAAATGCACACCCATACTCTCATATAAAAACTGTCAAGGTTGATAAGCGAATAATTAACAAGGTCAAAATGTCACCCAAGAAAGATAAATAGATTGGCTTGTCCAGAAGCTAGAATAAACTATGTGGGTTGACATAACAACCGACACTACAAGTACACTAAATCATATGGGAAACAAGATACCAGTTAGTTGATAATTTCAAATCCTTAAATTGGTTCACGATTCACCACATTTATCATCCCGTTCACCCTGAAATTTGTTATTATTATGTTTGTTAATCTATTTTGAGCAATTAACGTCAGTCAGTCATAGTGGTAGAGGCAGTACAAGTATAAGCAGTAATCGGAAACATTAGAGTTTGAATATGTCATTCAAGGAGTATAATCCAGTGAAATAAATTTGGAAAGAGAAAAAAAGGGACATGAAGAATTCAGAAGGTAAGACTTTGAGAGAACACAAAGAGTGGATGCACCTGAGCCATTGCAAACGATTTTGAGGCATGTCATTCAAGGTCTCTAACCATCGGTTGCTATCGTCTCGCTGACCCCAACCAGGTAGTCTATACCTACCAACATGGCTCAGTCCACTTGTCAGCGATTTCATGGATTTGTACCATATAACATTTATTCTGACGATATTCTCCGTTCGAGTCTATCTACTGCGTATAATCATTTTCATATCAAAAATATTATTATTGGTAAGTTGTATAACTGGTTTTGTGAAATTTGTGCTTTAAAAATGACCTTAATTATTAGTTGTAAGGATTTCTACTGTATTCTTATTGATATTCATTGCCAGTTTGATCAGTACATATTGACATGTATACTCTTTAAACACGTTGGTATTTATCCTTATTTAGTAACCGTATAAATTATGATCTGAGGTTTCGAACGATCTGTACTGGATTCCATTCTTAGTAGGAATATCAACACTCATTTGACAAGTCCTAAACATTGCAAAAATACTAGTCTTCTGTTCGTATGCTATCATCTATACAAAGTATAATAAGAAAGTACAGTTTTTTTGAAAAAGTTGACTCAAAGACTGTAAAATTATTCATCTATTTCAACCAGATCAACTATATTACATGATCTCAAATGGAGATTATTAGAAAATCTACAGAATAGAGAAACATACATACATACATACATACATACATACATACATACATACATACATACATACATACATACATACACAAGAAAATTACCAAACATTACTATGATGTAATAAACAAACTAAAAGTATTACTAATTATTCAATGTCATTATTACATGATTACTATCATCTTTATGTGTTGATAGATAAAAATTACTTGGTACACATTAAAATCAAGATATTAATCACAACTAAACATGACTATCACATCGAATATCCTAAATTATTTGAAGAAGCATACAATAATTGTGGAATAATTTAACCAACTAGTAAATATGAAAGATAAATGATCAAATCAAAATGAAGTAGATGATACTATTTTTAACTGTTCTAATTATTATGATAATGGAGGATGATGTTTATCAGAAATTTTATGGATAGTTAAACCTGCTGTGATCGGTTCAATATCATTCTTTAAAAAAAAGAATTATAATAACAACAACAACAACCATGATAAAACAACAATAATAATAATGGATAAAACAGTAACATAATACATATGTTGTGTAATAAATCGATAGAACAACATAGATACACAATATTGATTATTACCATTCGTTTGATAAATACGTATTAAGTCATATGGAATGAAAAATAGATGTTAAAAGAAAAATCCCATTAAATTCAAAGTAAATATTCTTTAATGAATAGAGATTGTAATTTAACTTTAAGTATAAAATGAGATTGAATAAAAAACTATTATAAAAATATAAAACATTGAATACATATTTCATTCAAATTTAAGATTCTACATCAATGCTCACACATATGATCTAAAAGGGATTGAGTTGAATACTTTCAGGTTTCATAGCAATTATGATAATAGGACGAAACGGCCGTCCAGTGCTTCCAGGTTTTCCATGGTGGTCTAGCTTCAACTGACTCATGATCTTAATCATTGAAATTACTACAATCTCCACAAAACCCCTTCTGATAATAATCAACATATGCTCATTAGTGATTGGCTTCAAGAGGTATATCCTGGAGTTCTAGTGAGAAGTAGTGACCAGTGGAGTTCAAACCAGGTCTGTTGTGGGATAGAAACTCACTGAAGACAGTGGTGGATGTGTCGCTCAATTTCGTGGATTAGTTGAAGTTAGACATTAACACCGTTGGATGCCGGCTCAGTGTTCTAGTGGTTAAGTGCTCGCGCGCGAAGCCAGTAGGTCCTGGTTTCGAATCTCGCAGGGGGTGAGGTGGTGGATGCGCACTGCTGAGGAGTCCCATACTAGGACGAAACGGCCGTCCAGTGCTTCCAGGTTTTCCATGGTGGTCTAGCTTCAACTGACTCATGATCTTAATCATTGAAATTACTACAATCTCCACAAAACCCCTTCTGATAATTATGATACTCTTAAATTAGTAGAATAGATAATCTTTTACCTATTTTGATCATTTATTAATTCAAATTCATAATTTACATATATATATTTATATACTACTTATGGCACTTCACATTGCCTTATGATTCTAAATATTATTGAGATTTATATTCTAACGGTTATCGAGGTGAACGATTAACGAAGCAAAGCCACTACAGATTTTCCTAACAAATCATATTGATATAGTTTGAATATTAGGACTTGAATCCATTCAAGAGTGAACGATCTAACAAAAACTTTCATTAGCTTTTCCCCTCCAATTAGACATGAAAAGGAAAAATAACAAAGCCAGAAGGATTCGCATATATATCCAGGAGACTGTTCATGTATATGATTAACCCAGAAAGATAAATTAAAAGTATTTTATCCAATGGAAATTTCCATTCAGACATCTATTAAAAAGATGAATTTTGATTCACTTTCTTTAATGATCCTTTTAAATAAATATTTACCATACAACTATAAATACGAATATACAGCTCAAGTAATTGATTTCATCGGAAAGATTTTCTTCGTTGAATTCTCCTTACCATTATTCAACAACTCATTGGGTTATTTTAACTATCTAATAGCCCATGAAATCATATACTATATATATATATATATATATATATATATATATATATATATATATATATATATATATATATATATATATATATATATATATATATGTATATATGCCCTGTTTGTCTTCTTACTAACAAGCCAGATTAGATTTTCACCAATGTTTTAGTTCAGTAACTCATTAAATGGATTTCATTTCTATATCATGTTGTTCCAAAGACCTGAACTGTTTACTGCCAAAGTTGTAGTCGAATATATTTGTCTGCAATAGTTCTAGTTGACTAAGTCACTTATTTTTATCATCGATTGGTTAAAATGTATTTTTATTATTAATGACTGTTCATATTACTTAATTATGTAATCAAAACAGTACATGTTATCATATATTAACTTTAAGTGGTTTACAGAAATGGCTAGTTGCTATGTTAATCAAGATTCTCAGCTTTTCTAAATATGAATGTCGTAATTACTATCTCAATATTAATAAATAATCTTCAATCTATATATTCCTTTTGTGAACTAGTAACTTATATTATGTAGACTTACCATAACTGATAATTCTAGATCTCCAAGACCTGCATCTCTTGTATCTACTTGGAAAGAAGTCGGTTGTGTAGCTGGAAGTCCTAATGGACGAGTTGGATGAACACCTTCACCTGTTACACGCACACGTTGTGGTTCAAAAGCTGGTAAAACATGTTGCGTGAATGGTGATCGAGCTACATGATTTCCTGCTTGTTTAACTTCAATTTGACATGGACCATCGGTATCTGGAACATATGTCACATCGTAGACACCTGGTTGATTTGATCGTGGGACAATATGGGCTGGTGCTGTTCTTCCAACACGATCAACTGTCACAACCTAAGTTTTATAAATAAGAAAAATCAAGAAAAGTTGATTAGTAGGTGAATAAATATTATTTTGGCATTTTTAAGATTAAAAGGAAGAAAATATAAGCGTGGGATGCTATGTAGTAAACCTATAAATAAACTAAGGATAATAAAACCATTTTTACACTATTGAACAATTTGTTATTATACTCTTGTCTGAAGTGCATCCACTAAATTCTTTTAGCACATATATATAAGTTTTATCTTTCAGGATCAATTATCATGGTCTTACACAGGGGGAACCATTAATTTCATTATTAACACTTTGTTTATCATTGTCTTGACCCTTATTATTTGACTTGTACTCGTTGTCTAAATGCACATTGTCTGGGCCTCAATCACTAAATGATCCAACTCTAGTGCGAAATAACCTGAAACTATATTTCTTTTTTGAATATTCTAACGTATATAAGTAGGAATCAGAATTCGTTGATTTACATGACTTAAAGGATATTGGATTTTGCCTAGCCCATAGTTAACGGTTTTATCTTGAACCAAGTGATATTTATAAGAGGCAATTTAAACAGAGAATGTTCAATGACTTATCTTCATGCATGTAAAGTGAATGTCATATTTTCTAGGCATGTTTCAACTAGGTTGCCATAAATAGGCTTATGTAGAATTCACCCGATAATTTACTTTTGTAAATAATATAATTTCATTCAAGAAACAGTTTCGACGGACATGTTAATTGTAATTATTAACGAAAAATGGATCCAGAAGGCTAAACATGTGTTTGAGTATTATGTAAAGTAGATTGTTATTCTTCCTTCTTAGACTGACATCAAATGTAATCTATTTGGAGTCAGTCGATAAGATGACTTGAACCTAGGTTTTATGTACGTAGGGTCTTATCAACAAAGAGATGACTAACTCATACTTCAGGGGTTTACGATAGCATGAATTTGGTTCAAAACTTATTGTGTGTTAAGTATCGATGATTAAAAAGCCAAAATTTTCAGCTTTCTGTCTTTTGGTTTATTTATACCACAAAGTATATATACATGAATAAACAAAACTTTTCATAGGAAAAAATCATAATTAGAAAGCACGTTGGACATGAATCCATTCATTTTCAAGCCTTATTTTTTACCGCCTACACAAAGAGCCTGGCCTTCTATTTTAAAACTGTAGGCAGTATTCTATTGATGGCCTATTGATTACAACCTACATGTGATAGGATTTTTTCTCATCATAAAATGTGCTAAATATTTATTTTCATTGGTTGAAAAAATGTCAAGTGGTATGAAATAATTATTATTTTGGTTTTTTGGTAGGCACAATATGAATGATAAGTCAGTGTCCGGACTACTATATTTAGTATGCATTTTGAAATGTTCAGTACTGTAACTGATAATTATAGGCAAGTATCACTATCACTATGAAAAGCAATCTTAGCACCAAAAATATTCTAGTAAGGAATTGCGTAATTTGTCATTGTTTGGATTAACCCATTATTGATTGAATTTTGACCAGTCTTAGTTGGAATATGTGCATCAAGTGCGGAATGTTTTAATACAGCTATCACGTTACAATTTTAGAATGGATAAAATGTGATTAGGAGTGGAATCCAGAATTCAGGTTTTGAATTCGTTAACTGGACGTGCAAGAAATGATATTTGTTCCAGCGTTCGGACCCAGTACTTTGGCTCCAAACGCTGACTCATTATCGACTTAGGGTCCCACTATTCTACATATAGAAATATGTAGACTTTATAATTAAGGGATTTTTCAAAGAACAACAGTTTTATATAACTCTAGATTCTACAATTATAAATTCATAACTGTTTGATTACGATGTATAGTGACTGGGAAAAATCTAAAATTATGAGTGAATGAACTAAGGTTATTTATTGAGAATGTATTATTTGTAAAATTCGGAAGCTATATAAGAAGAGAATAAGAAAACGTCATTCTAACCGGAGGAGCTATAATAGATAGATTAAGATCATGATAATACTTATACCGATATAAGATGAATCAAGAGAGATGTAGCACATTTAAGAGTGTTTCATATGAATAAGAAAGGACAAAGACACATGAAAGGGTGTTGTGGATTAGGATATACTGTATGTAGTTTAAGCCGAAGTATGAATAGTCATTAGATCATTCTTTATGGTTTGATAGGTTATAAAACAATTTATTAAGCGACGGAATCCTCTTCACCTGGTTGATTTTTAAAGATGTACAGTTGTATATCAGTGATAAATTATAAATCAACAAATAATTGTATATTTGTATCAGAAGGGGTCTCTGTAGATATTATAATAATTTCAATAGTTGAGATCATGAGTCAATTGAAGCTAGACCACCATGGGAAACCTGGAATCACTGGACGGCCGTTTCGTTCTATTGTAAGGCTCCTCAGTTGAAGTTAGACATTAGTACCGTTAGATGCCGGTCAGCTCAGTGGTCTAGAGGTTAAGCATTAAAACGCGAGACCGATCGATCTTGGGTTCGAATCCCGCGAGGTGGGATCGTGAATGCTCAGTGCTGGGGAGTCCTACAATAGGATTAAAAGGACGTCCAGTGCTTACAGGTTTCTCATGATGGTCTAGCTTCGATTGACTCATGATCTCAACTATTGAGACTGTATATTTGTTAGAATTCGATAGATAGTGAAAATTAGATTAAGAAATAAGCTTATTTTGTTTTTTTATCAGATCACTTACTAATTGGCTCTTTTTCTATATATCAGAAGTCGTCACTATATATTTACTTCCAAACAACTATGTATATCTGCACCCTTCTTACCTTGTGTTTCGACCTTATTCATTCATGTGGGATCGTGATCAATGTTATTAAAGTAATTCATAAGCAAATTCTTTTAACCCATAAATGGTTGCTCTACCATAAAGTGAATGAATTTTAACACAGCAATATATTAAGCAACATAAATTTTAATTTATTTACGATTTTAAGGAAAGTTATTAGATAACTCTGAATAATTACTTGAATAGGAGCATCTCCTGCCTGTGAAGCATCGACAGTAAAGTGAGCTGGTTGTTGCGCTCGTGCTCCTCTAGGCTCTAGACCTGGACCATAACAACGAACACGAGTTGGGTCAACCACATCTCGTATGGGAACTTGAAATGGACTACCTGTTGGAAAATAAAATAAATGAAGTTTTGTTTGTAGTAAATTCGCGATTAAGCTTTAAGAACGAAGATTCCTTAAATGGAAATAATAATTGGTTCGATCACTTTTATTTCCTATTTGTTGCCTGTGAGATTATTTATTAGTCTCCAAATGATTGAGCAATGATAAGTAATGTATGCCATCATCTGAATATCTTATGAACTTCTGTTTTATTATTAACATAGCTAAATACTCTCCTCTAACTGACCAGTTGATGAAGGAACGACTACCGATTATACAGATTGGTTAAAGTGGGAATAGAGTGAAAATGATAAATCTGGTGATTAGCTTTAATGATAAGTACCAATCAGAAGAAAGCATATATCAAAGGGTTATTGCAGAATTTGTCGATCATTCAAGAACTATTAGTTTTCTATTACTCATCTATAGAACCATTCAGTAGATGGTTGAGCGTTTATACCTTGAAGTAACTTCCAAATATGAAATTTATTTGTAATCATCTAATAGAGTCCTCATTGAATGAAATTCTACAATGGATTACAAATAAATTTGTATGTATAAAAATTACATGCATAAGTGTATCCATTACGAGTAAGACTCAATTATGTCGCTGTCTACAATTCAATGGATTGTAGCTCGAACACTACCTATTAAGAAGTCTAAGATACGTTTAGTGATCACAATAATTAAGCAAGGGATTCTGATAACATAGAGCCAACTAGATTACAGTTACAGCTGTGATTATTTTGGACATGTATGGAACTAGATTTTTTGGAATAGATACAAGGGATTGTATTCTAGTTCTTCTGACGGAACACCCATTGTGTTTAGTCAAAATTAATTGTATAATCAGTCATCTTTAATGTATCATTATCTTGTGTCTCCCACTTTTTATTCGGTTGTATACCTAAGTAATATCATATCACAATCAGCTGTTGATGGGACTGAAAAATAATTAACATTGCAGAGTTCGTTGCACTTGTATATACACCTAAATATTAAACACAGCCGAACCTAAGGTCAGGTAATATTTTTTGGGGTATCAACTGTACTTTAAAGGTATCATCGGGGTGGGAAAAAACTCACATTCTACTATACGAAACACAAATAATATAAACTTTGTTTAATCTAAATCAAATACTCGTTTATAAGTAGTTGTGTCATAAAAATTCCTGTAGAAAAATAGATCAACTTGCCTGGAATATTCATGTCGTTAAACTTAACGAAGATATCATATGTTCCTGCCCGTGTTGGTAAGTAGTCCACTGTACATGTTCCATCTTTATTATCTTGACATTGTATTTGAGCATCAGCTGGTCCTTCTAAAGCTAATCCAAGAGCACCTTGACCCGCACCATCTAAGTCAACCGTAAATCTTTGTGGCTCATGAGTGAAGCCTCCTTCTAAACCTGGACCGTAAGCTCTTACTCTTGTTGGATCACATCCAGGAGCAACATTTACTGGGAAGGGACTACCAGGTACCGGTGCTCCATCATAGGTAACCTCAACGTGATGTAAGCCTGTAAGAAGTTAAATTAAGAAAAAAACTGACTGTTTACTTTTGCATGGATTTCACTGATTTGGAATGCATTGGTTTTAATTCGGCATTAATAATTAACGAAAACCATGGGTAAGTATTTTTACGAACATGCCGTGATATGAAATCAAACATTAAAAGTATACATCATGCATCAAGCCAAAACATTTATTCATTCTCTTAAGTTTTCTTCTTTTCCAGGTAACATCCAGTCAACAGGGTAAGGCGGCCTGCTTGAATATCTGGGCTACCTGTTCTTACTATCTGGATATTTCAATAAGTTATCTGTTTTCTTGTTTGTTTTAACACATCATTATGCCTATTAGTCTCATAACCTACTCAGGTACGTTTGTGAAAAGTTTACGACATTTCGCTGTACAAGTTACAAAAGAGCTCAATCAGAGACATTATGGTTACTGGCAATATGCATCGAAAAGGATATACATTTATCAGATGTCGATTTCTGAACCGCTAACATCTAACTGGCTACCACTCAATATTTAGAGCAAGAACTGATCAAGAAATAAGAAGGGGAAACTTGTTGAAATACTTTGTGCTGAGAATTCTATATTGTACCAAAAATATAATATTGAATAAAGCCCCTAATAATTATAATTATAAACATTCTAAACAAAATAATAATTTTGTGGAAGTTAAAAGGCTCTTGGTTAACAGGATGGTATCTATATAAATATGCTGGAAAATATTCATAATCATGTTTCAATGAAGTTCTTAAAAGTCAGAGTACATAATGTAGTAAACAAGAAGACCTATTTGTACAGAACCATACAGTTAATACTTCATTTGCAAAATATCAATTAATTGTATTAAATCTAACTGTTCCTTTGCAAATATCAATCATTCGTCTCAGACTTCACTGTTCCTTCATTTCCACATCAATCGTTTTCTGTTCCCGTTCTTTCCTTCTCGATCTTCTCAATCTTCTGTTGTCAGACATTATATTCCTGTCTCGCGTTATATACTAATTATCTCAATATAAGTAGCACATAGAACTTATTGATCCATCCATTAAAGTTATAACCATAGAAATTAATTTTATAGGATAATATAAATAAACGAAGATACATTTGAATAATCAAAATCTTTTTTATATACTTACCATCATCTATTGGTGAATAACTGCATTTATATGTTCCATCACCATTATTTTGTATTAAACATGCTGTTCTTTGTTTATTCGGACTAACTACAATAGCTTTAACTATTCCTCTACTTTGTGGATCAACCGCTTTAGCATCAACTGTGAATTTAGCAAATGATTCTTTGAAAACACCTTTAAAATGAAATAATAAAAGATGATATTCATTAAAGTAACAATTTGTTTAATAATCATTTAAATATTCAGAAAACGATCATATTTTTCACATTCAGAATGACAAACATGCTTTATGAATAAAAATACATGCTGATTGATTTCAGTAAAGTTCTTTGTCATGCAACAACATTGTCAGATCTTTGATGGGAAAACTTAATTAAAGAGATTTACGTAACGGAATCATGCAAATTAGAAATTTATAGCATTCTTTGTTGATTTTGCCTACCAGTTGGTTGTAATCCAGGACCGTAGGCATGAACTCGGGATATATCAATATGTTCTCTTCCAGGTGGAGCTACTCTTACAGGGAATGGACTTCCTTTAATATGTGTATCTTTGTATAAAACATTTACAACATATGGTCCTGGTTCAGTTGGTAAATAATCTACGCCACAAGTTCCATCTCCATTATCGTTATAATTTATTTTAGCCTCTGCAGGTCCTTCAATTGTGACACTTAGTGGAGCAGGTGGAGCATCTTGACTATCGATTGTGAATTTCGCCTGCTTTCCAGCTGTTGCACGATAAAGTCCGTCACCATATGCGCGAACCAAAGCTGCTGCTTCAGGTCCAGAAATAGGTGCTGAAGTAGCCTGCTGACGTCCGAAATCTTTTGGATAGATAGGCTCCTGCACTGCAGCAGGTGGAATGGCATTTGTACGGAATGGACTACCTTTGACTGGTACACCTCCAACTTCAACAGCAACAGTATGAGGCCCAACAACAGTTGGTGTAAAGGAAGGTGTATATCCATCAACGCTTTCAGCCAAAGTGCATGGCACACGCATACCGTTCGGAGATTTCACTGTCACAGTTGGTTTAGGTTTACTATTATTTGGTGGGCCTGCACCCGCAGTTATTACATCAAACTCAGTTGGTACACCAGTAGTGATATCTGATTTATGAAATAAAGATATTAAACTTATTTACATACAGGATTCATTTCAATGGATATCATCAGTGATTGCGCATATTAAATTTATACTAGAAGAAACATATATCCAACTGTGTAAAACTCCTGTGAACTACGAACTACCATTGAACAAACTTACCTGACCACGTAATTGCTGAATATTTCAATGGTATACCCCATGTACACAGTAATACTATCTTTTTACAAAATTTATATTTATAAAACAAGAATTATGAGATATAGCTTGTAGAAGGATTTTCTGGAGATTGTTGTATTTGATAACCAACATCATGGGCCTATTTTGGTTAAAAAATTATAGAAAATTAGGAACCACTAACACGTGTTTCGGCTTAATATGGGGCTCTTTAGTAGTGTCCATACCAGAGAACCGAAGACCTTATGTCTCACGCTTAATTTCTAGGCTACTGAGACGGGATCCAATGGTTTACATGCCTAACTTTAGTCGCTTCACAATACCGAGCAACCCTCTTCCATCGCCTGAAGTGGATAACTGTGGATAAATTTGAAAATTATGGGATGGTCTAAAAAAAATAAATACTGCATAAAAATACATATCACTAAATACTGAACATTTTGAACAACCAATAGAAGATATTTATTTACTGTATACTATCTATTTGAGACGTCAGCCACTAACTACAGTGATCTAAGATAACCATTGATAACCAGTTAGCAACTGGACGGATACTTCGTCCTATCAAAGGATTCTCTAACAGTGAGTATCCTGGAATCTGAACTCGGGAAACCTCCGGTCTTACTAGTGACTAGCTCCGAGAGAAAATTTCCAGAGTTCTATTGACAAATCATGACCAATGGAGTCTAACGGTGTTGAGTGTGAAGAAGACACCTGCCAAAGACAGTGCAAAATCTTCGCTCAATATCTGGGATCGATTAAAATTAGACTTATGCACCACTGGCCTAAAACTCAAGAGTTTGAGTGTGAAACCAAGACCCCAGAGTTCCGTTTCCGATTGTAGGGTTATGGATACGCACTGCCGAAGAGTCCCACTATAGGATGAAACAGCTGTTTAATGCTTATATATTTTCGATGGTTGTCTAATTTAGAACGATTCGTGATTTTGATATAGTCTGATTGTATATTAAAGAAAAGTTTTGCGGATATCGGGTAAGTTAATAAAAATATATAAAATGTCAAGCGTTCTTACTAAATGAAAAGTTAGAGTTGGTAAATAAGTAATAATAAGTAGTTGTCCAAAGTTCGTCCATAAATTATAGTCTCATTAATTTGCTTATTGAAGAAATAAACGAAAGTCACAAAGCTGATATCTCACTGTGGAAATACAATCAGTTGATAATTCATTTATTGATTAAAGGTATTGAAAACAGAGGGACTAAGTAACATTGTTTCTGTGACCTGCTTAATTGAATTCTGTTTAAAAAATTGTATTAATATCAAAAACTACTAATTAGTTTCACATAAACTGAGCCATATATATGTACAGTATTATTATTTCTTGTGGCAGGATCAGTATTTATATTTGTAGCTTGGAATTACTTAATTCAGTCATGTTTTCATTGATAGTCCTAGTTTTAACGATGTATTATATCTTATGATTTAAGTGAATTAGTAGTGTATGCAACAATAGCTGAGGAGACATTCGAAACCGGAAAGTATTGGAGAGCAAGTCTAAAACTCTTCAACTATATCAAGGATAGAATCCAAGATCATCAGATTTCATAGTGAATTCTTTCAGTCATGGAAACTTGCATAGAAACAAAAGTGCAGAAATTTATATTATTTACATTATGTGATATAAACAGAAACTGGTATATTGGCTTAATAATTAAGAGAGTTTAGTATTTTAGTAATAAACCATGCATGATATTAGTTAAAGAAGAAAAAGTACACTTAGAAATACTACAACACTATTGAAACATCAATATAAATTAAAATAAACTTTAGTATAAATTACTTGGTTCAAGATTTTCAACATGAATTTTCGACATATCGATATTCGGTTTAACAGGTACTTTAAATGGACTACGTGGAACTTCTTGATTATTGAAAAATACTTGTACAGTATAATAAGGCCCCGGTGTATTAGCTGTATAAGCAACTTTAAATGTTCCATCTCTCATATCCTGTGTATCCATAGCAACATCACGTCCAGCTTCATCGGTGACACTAATTCCAACATTACCTTCATTTAAATACAAAAAGAGTGGAATATCATTGAAAGTTATTAAAAGATTATAGCATTTCATGATTTAATGAGACAGTTTTAATGTAAATTGACAATGCTAGGCTTTGAGTTGAAACGTGGTTTCACCTCAGCACATCTGGGAAGCCAAGTATTATCATATACGCTTTAATAAAGACGTAACTTACCAAGATGTGCATAAACCTGAAATTCATCACTAATTTTTATTATTACTATCATTAATATCATTGGCAATGAGTAAAATTAATACACCATCCTGATAGCATTTCTCTGATTTATGTAAGAGTAAGGGCATACAACCACCTCTCTCAATTGTTCCCTTCAAGCACTTGGGTTAGGCAGGGTTGCCCAATCTCACCATTCCTCTTCAACTTTGCTATCGATGACGTTTTGGAAATGAATATGATGGATGTAGGTAATGGTGGTGTGGATCTGTTGCCTGGAGAAAGACTTCTCGACCTTGAGTATGCGGATGATATTGTCTTACTGTGCGAGAATGCTCAAGCCATGCAATCCGCACTTAATCAGTTGGCAATCAATGTCCGTAGGTATGGTATGTGCTTTGCACCTTATAAGTGCAAAGTTCTTCTACAAGACTGGCAGGATTCTAATCCTGTACTCACTCTGGATGGTGAGCAGATAGAAGTGGTCGAGAAGTTCGTGTATCTAGGTAGCTGCATAAGTGCTGGTGGTGGCGTGAGTGATGAGATCAATTCACGCATAGTGAAAGACTGAGTGGCTCATGCTAACCTGGGCAATCTTTGGCGCCATTGTGATGTTAGTCCAACTGTAAAAGGTCAGGTCTACAACGCATCAGTGAGAGCACTTTTTCTCTATGGTTGTAAAACCTAACCTCTTCGAGTTGACGATGTTAAGGGACTCGGTGTTTGGTCATTATTGTTTGACATCCAGTGGCAACACCATGTAAATAATTCAGACGTTTGGCATCGTATGTTCGGGCACAGACACAAAGATTCAATCGGTGTCATTATCTTGAAACACAGAAGTTGGTGACCTGAACATGTCCTACGAATGTCGTCTCAGTGAATTCCACATTATGCATTATTTGCAGACGCTGAAACCGGTTTGAAAAAGCGGAGAGGTGGTCAGTATATGACATGGTGTCGTGGTACGAAAGCTGTATGAGGCCTGGTATCTGTTGATCCTTCGTGAATCCCTAGCTGGATTGCTAGAGATGGTACTACAGAATAGCTGTAGACGTTGTAAGATATGTTTCAGAATAGAAGTCAGTAGAGATCTTGCTATAACTTTATTTTACTTTAGAGGAAGTAAGTAAGTGCAAATTCTTTAACTGAACGAATTCTCTCAGGTCGTATTCTTCTTAAGTGAACTGCTTTTTCCTTTATCATTCTTTTTTATTATTTCACTCCCATACACTAATCCCTACCCATTTTTGTGCTTTTTTTGTTATACTCGCCTTTTCACTATCTCTTCACAACCTAACTTCTGTTATGTGACCCTTGCATATTTTTTTGTCTCCCTGCACCAACGTTTATATGTTCAAACAAATGATAAAAATTATTCATAAAGTAGATCTGTATTTTTACACAACACTGTACAGAGCTTATTTTTTTTTTGATTAAACATATCTGGGCTTGGTAGATTTCTTATGGCGATCGGTTCAGGGTGGGATGCGATTCCATACATGAGTCAGTTGAAGCTAAACAACAATGGAGAACCTGGAAGCACTGGACGGCCGTTTCGTCCTAGTATAGGACTTCTCAGTAGTGTGCATCCACGATCCCGCCCCCCCCGCGAGATTCGAACCCAGGACCTATCAGTCTCACACGCGAACGATTAACCTGTAGACTATTGAGTCGGTATTCAATTGACTCGTGAATTCAACCATAAAATTACTAAAATCTCCGCAGAACCCCTTCTGATACGAATGCAATAAACTGTGGCAAGAATTCCAGCCAAATTAAACTGTTAAAAACAAAAGTGTAGTAAAGGAATCTTACCATGTCCAGCCTGTTTACAGTCTACTGTGAAATAGGTTGGTTGACCTCTAGTAACATTTTCTACACCTGGACCAAAAACTCGTACTTTTCCTGGATTACTAGGTTCAGCTACTTCAACCTAATAATAATAGACAAGTATGAAAAGTAATGTATATAATCTTGATTAATTAAAAGTAGTTAGCATCCAAATGCTCTGGTACAGCCGAGAGTGGGGAGAGTTAGCTCTCTCCCTCTTGCTCCCTCCAAATGCTCTCACATCGCCACATGCATACAACCACTGTCAGGGAAGTCCTACTCACTGCCTTCTCGCAGTGGGGCTGTTGTTTACGAAATTGACATGACAAAAAGCGAATGTCCGGTGCTTTAACCGGTTTGGTGGACACAGATTCCATCTAAAGGAGTTGAAAAAACCCTGATTCCAAACCAATGGCGTATATGGGCTCCAATATCCTGAAGTAACAAATGGTGTATAAACCAATCGTTGGTCACCGGCATCTACTTACGCATATCTATTTGGTGCCTCCTTTTACCAATGTTTATATGTTTAAATAAATAAAGTTAGCACCAAAATACTAAGTAATTAATTATCAATTCACAAACGTAATTAAATCTCATATAAATTTAGGTGAAACTAGTTTAAAGTAAAAACTAGTTTTTGAAACAAAAATACGTCATTGATTGATGAAGTATTAACTTTCAAAAAAAGAGAATACAATTTACATACACTACTGATATAGATTTCCAATAAATGAATATAAATATTAATCAGAAAAAGATTTATGATATTACTAGGGGCTAAATTATAATAAAAGTGGTATGGGGAAACGGAAATTTCTGTGAAATGTTAACAAAATACGTATGACTATAATTTATGAATGACCATTGAGTAACTCTAAAATGATTTTGGAATGTCCATCTACTTACTAGTGTCAAATTAGGGTTATATATTCGTGTGAGGAATAAGGATTAGAATTTAAAGTTAATGGTTAGGGTTAAGAATTAGAACTCGGAATGCGATTCTCTCCCTCGAAATGCAAAATGTTGCTTCAGAATTCGATTGCATTGATACCCGAACTAATGTTAGGAAGTGAAGTAGTTGAGCGCGTCGACCGCTTCACTAATCTTGGACAACTGCATCTATGTGCTAATGTGGTGTGGTAATTTGAACTGGTGTACTTTCTTACGAAGTTCTACGTTGTTACTGACAGACTGATATCATAAGTTAAAATGACAAGTGGATGAATGAATTTCGCGCCAAAATCCAATACTTGTTATTGTAAACCTGGTTGGTTTGTCCATAAATTATAGTTTCGCCGAAAGTTATAAAAATTTGAATGAGATAAATATGTGGTGAATAAAGAATATTTCTTCAAATTTAAATTTATCAAGAATAAAACCTACCCTGAAAGGACTTCTAGGTATATTGACTCCACCGTAGGAAACAAGAACTGTGTGTTTTTTAGGAACTTTAGGTGTATAGCTACATGTATAAGTACCATCGCCATTATCACGAACTTTCAATGCAACTGGTTCCCCTTCATTGTCTCTGCATTCAACTGTTAATGGGGCAGGACCACCAGAATCTCTAATATCTACTGTAAATTCAGTTGGTTGACCAGCAACATTCCCAGTTGGCATTATACCTGGTCCATATGCTTTAACCTATTAAAAGATTTAAATTAAAACAATTCATTTTATGTTCCATCAACTAATTAGTAAATAAAGTAACATATATTCTATATATGACTTACTCTTTCATAATCACATTTACCCATATCTGGTTCAATTGGAACCATGAAAGGAGATTTTGGTATATTTTCATCATTACATAAAATATGAACTGCATATTCACCAGGAGCTGTTGGCCAATAAGCTACAGTAGCTGATCCATCTCCATTATCTGTACAATCAATTCTTGCTTCACTTGGACCTTCAATTGAAAAACCTTTAAATGAAATGAAAAAAAAAAAATTAGTTTCACTAAGATTGTATTTGAAAATAATGAATAATGTAACTCAGATTATTGTATAGCATGATATATGTACACCGATTTTAATAATCAATAGAGGTAAGTATATCTTGTCTTTTAAGTAGTTTAACATGACATTTTGAATGGAGTTGATAGTTTATATTCATTTTTCTTTTATATTCCTGAATATATTTTATTTCTAATCTATTTCAAGAGTTAAATTCTTCTAAAAGAAGACAATATTATGAGGATCTTTATCATATTCAGTTTAAAAGTCTACATATATATATGAAATGGAATATTATTATGTCCAGGAATTATTATTACTATTAGCTTGACTCAGTATTATATCTTTAGTACCATATAGAGATCTTAACACAAAGTATTTCAATACGTTTCTATTTCTTACTTCTTGATTGATCCTGATGATGAATATTGAGTGATCACATCAGTTAGAGTTGTTAGTAGTTCAGTCAATCGATATTTAAATAATGTACATTCATTTAGCTAACTATTGCCAACAACTATGATATCTCTGATGAGACTTTTTTTTTTAACTTGTACAATGAAAGGTTGTACACTTTTTAAAAACACATTTGAATAGGTCATGCGATTAATAGACATAATGATAAATTAAAACAAACAAAAATACATAACTTGGAAGTACTGGACGGACGTTTTGTTCTATTGTAGGATTCCTCAACAGTGCACATCTATGAACCCTGTTGAGGAATTCCACAATAGAACGAAACGGCCGTTCAATACTTACAGGTTTTTCATGGTTGTCTAATTTTAATTGATTCATAATCTGAAGTATTAAAATTAGATAAGTTGATGAAATATCTAGATGACAGGAACAGATAACTCAGATGTTCAAACAGTTTTAAATGTACATTACGATATGCATATATTTATAGTATTCATCAAAATTGTACAATTACACGTCAATTTTCAAAATTTTCAATAATGTATTACATTCTAATTGTATATCCTCTCTCTCTCTCTCTGTGTGTGTGTTTGTTTTTATAACTCACACTTCCGGTAGAAGACAAGATGATTTGAAAGCTTAGCAACAACAATAACAACAAAAAAGCAAAATAAGTTTTTATGATGGACGAATTTAATGTGTAATATGTTTAGTGAATATTCATTGACATAATTTTATTGTCACTCAGGAAACATGTACTTAACCTTTATTTCTTTTTTTGTTTCCATTAGAAATATTATACTCGATGAACGGGTAGGATAGTTACAGATACATAAGTTTATTCAAGTATGTTAACTTGTAACAGACATTCTAGGCTAAAAATGGAGACTGTTTCATTTTGATGCTACACCCTATCTGATGTGTACATTACATATACTAATGTATCAATATATAAATATAAAAAACAGTTTATTATTGAAATAATTCAGTTAATCTTTAAATGGAGCATAAATGTATGTAGGTTTTTATCAATTCCTAGAACAAAGTTTATATTATTGACAGTTGAAATAGACTGAATATATTAAAAACAGAATGTATTGAGTTGTATTATATTTTTTTTTTTACATTTCAATATGTAAGTGTAGTTTCTATTAGGCTAGAAATTTATATGATTCATTACTGAGTATAGATAATGTTTAAATATGGATGATTACAGTGGAATGGAAGGATTATGATTAGAAAGAGCTTATAGTGAATGATTACTAATAATGAGTATGGTAACATTTTGAAAATAAGTAGCTAACATTATTGGTTATATTTTATAATATTATAGTTATTGAGTAACGTCCATGTGAACAATAAAATTTGTATAAAAGTAATGTGACTAACTTGAAGACTTATCTCCTGGAGTTCTAGTAAGAAACAGTGACCAGTGGAGTTCAACCGGGTCTGTTGTGAGATAGTAACTCATTGAAGATAATGGTGGATGTGTCACTCAATTTCGTGGATTAGTTGATGTTAGACATGAACACCGTTGGATGCCAACCAGCTTAGTGGCCTAGAGGTTAAGCGTTCGCGTGCGAAACTGATAGGTCCTGAGTTCCAATCTCGCGAGGCGGGATCGTGGATGCGCACTAATGAGGAGTCACACAATAGGACGGAACGGACGTCCAGTGCTTCCAGGTTTCCCATAGTGGTCTAGCTTTAATTGACTCATGATCTCAACTATTAAAAGTAACGTTTGTTTAATGCATGCAAATTGTTGCTTATTAATGATATCTATTTAGGCTATCTACAATATAATCTGTCTTGTGATTTTCTATGCTTCTAAATGAAAGGACTTGTTGAATTCATATAAAAATGTCTGTTCACTAATTATGAAGTTTAGTGGATGTATTATGCTTGCTCAACTCCGCCTGGAGCCCCTCCGGGGGCTACTGCCGGTCCCAAGCCCGGATAAAGGAAGAGGGTTGGGCATGGGGTTAGCGACCCCATCCCGTAGAAAATTAACTCGCTAAAAAAACGCTAACCAGAAAGAATTATTCAAACCATTTAAACTCTGCCCTGGGAGTCAGAAGGTCTTCGTTTAGAAGAATTATGACGCCTCATGATGAAAGACGAGTTCCTTCGGAAGTCACGAGGCCGATGCCCCTTCTGACAACCAGAGCAACCATTTACTTAGGTACATGGAATGCTCGCACAATGTGGGAGACTGGGAGAGTTTTCCAAATTGCTGCAGAAATGAGGAGATACAATTTAGAGGTGCTTGGGATCAGTGAAACACATTGGACGCAAGTTGGACAACAACGACTAGCTTCAGGGGAGCTGCTGTTATACTCCGGACATGAACAAGAAAATGCTCCACATACACAAGGAGTTGCATTGATGCTGTCCAAACAAGCACAAAATGCACTTATAGGATGGGAATCTCATGGACCAAGGATCATCAAAGCCTCCTTCAAAACAAAGAAAACGGGCATTACAATGAACCTCATCCAATGCTATGCGCCTACCAACGAATACAATGAAGACACAAAAGATCAATTCTACGATAGGCTGCAGTCAATCGTCGAGAAGTGCCCAACAAAAGACCTGACTATTCTGATGGGAGACCTAAATGCCAAAGTTTAAATTGACAACACCGGATATAAAGAGATCATGGGACGACACGGACTGGGAGAAAGGAACGAAAATGGTGAGAGATTAGCAAACCTATGTGCCTTCAATAAACTGGTCATAGGCGGGACTATATTCCCACATAAACGCATACACAAAACCACATGGACTTCACCGGATCACACCACACAGAACCAAATCGACCATATCTGCATCAACAAAAAGTTCAGGAGGACGATGGAGGACGTGAGAACAAAGAGAGGAGCTGATATAGCATCAGATCATCACTTGCTGGTCGCCAAGATGAAATTGAAACTCAAGAGGCACTGGACAACCGGGAGGACGATATCACAAAAATTTAATACGGCTCTTCTTCGGGATACTGACAAACTCAATAAATTCAAGATAACCCTCAGCAATAAGTTCCAAGCCTTTCATGATCTACTCAATGGAGAAGGAACTACTATGGAGAGCAACTGGAAAGAGATAAAAGAGGCAATCACTTCAACATGTCATGAGGTTCTGGGCCAAAAGAAGCACCATCACAAGGATTGGATCACGGTCGATACACTGGATAAGATTCAAGAAAGGAGGAACAAGAAAGCAGCAATCAATACCAGTCGAACAAGAGCAGAAAAAGTCAAGGCACAGGCTGAATACACAGAAGTAAACAAGCAAGTGAAAAGGAGCATCAGAACTGACAAACGTAAATATGTGGAGGATTTGGCATTGACGGCGGAAAAGGCTGCCAGAGAAGGAAACATGAGACAACTGTATGAAACAACAAAGAAACTCTCTGGAAATCACCGTAAATCAGAACGACCAGTGAAAAGCAAGGAAGGCAAGATAATCACCAACATTGAAGAACAACGAAACAGATGGGTAGAACACTTCAAAGAACTCTTGAATCGACCAGCCCCACTGAACCCACCCAACATCGAAGCAGCACTCACGGACCTCCCAATTGATGTTGGCGCACCAACAATTGAAGAGATCAGCATGGCTATCAGACAAATCAAGAGTGGCAAAGCAGCAGGACTAGACAGCATTCCAGCAGAGGCACTGAAAGCAGACGTAGCGGCAACTGCAAGGATACTTCACATTCTCTTCAGAAAGATCTGGGATGAGGAACAGGTACCAAAAGACTGGAAAGAAGGACTTCTAGTCAAAATACCAAAGAAAGGCGATCTCAGCAACTGTGACAACTACAGGGGAATCACTCTTTTCTCAATACCAGGAAAAGTCTTCAACAGGGTATTGTTAAACAGAATGAAGGACTCCGTAGACGCCCAACTTCAAGAGCAACAGGCAGGATTCCGTAAGGTTCGATCGTGCACAGACCAAATCGCAACTCTACGGATCATTGTGGAACAATCAATTGAATGGAATTCATCACTCTATATCAACTTCATCGACTACGAAAAAGCATTTGATAGCGTGGACAGAACAACCCTATGGAAGCTTCTTCGACACTACGGCGTGCCTCAGAAGATAGTCAATATCATACAGAATTCCTATGATGGATTAAACTGCAAAATCGTTCATGGAGGACAGTTGACAAAGTCGTTCGAAGTAAAGACCGGTGTCAGGCAAGGTTGCTTACTCTCACCCTTTCTCTTTCTCCTGGTGATCGACTGGATCATGAAGACATCAACATCTGAAGGGAAGCACGGGATACAGTGGATAGCTAGGATGCAATTGGATGATCTAGACTTTGCAGATGATCTGGCTCTTCTATCGCATACACAACAAGAAATGCAGGAGAAGACAACCAGTGTAGCTGCAGCCTCAGCAGCAATAGGTCTCAATATACACAAAGGGAAAAGCAAGATTCTTCGATACAACACAACATGTACCAATCCAATCACAATTGACGGAGAAGCTTTGGGAGATGTAAAAACCTTTACATATTTGGGCAGTATCATCGATGAACACGGTGGATCTGATGCAGATGTGAAGGCACGGATTGGCAAAGCAAGAGCAGCATATTTACAACTGAAGAATATCTGGAACTCAAAACAATTGGCAACCAACACCAAAGTCAGAATTTTCAATACAAATGTCAAGACAGTTCTACTGTATGGGGCGGAAACCTGGAAAACCATCGTCCAAAAGATACAGGTGTTTATTAACAGTTGTCTACGCAAAATACTTCAGATCCGCTGGCCGGACACTATAAGCAACAACCTACTGTGGGAGAGAACAAATCAGATCCAAGTGGAGGAAGAAATCAGGAAGAAGCGCTGGAAGTGGATAGGACACACATTGAGGAAAGCACCGAACTGCGTCACAAGACAAGCCCTCATATGGAATCCTCAAGGTCGAAGGAGGAGAGGAAGACCAAAGAATACATTACGCCGGGAAATGGAGATAGATATGAGAAAAATGAACAAGAATTGGATGGAACTAGAAAAGAAGGCCCAGGACAGAGTGGGTTGGAGAATGCTGGTCGGCGGCCTATGCTCCATTGGGAGTAACAGGCGTAAGTAAGTAAGTAAGTAATTATGCTTGCTCATTCATCTGAGCAAAACTATACTTTACTGCTAAGACAACTAGAAACAAGAAAGTACCTAATATATTTTTTCAAAGATTTCAAAAGACTGGCTTCTTTTCATCTTGTAAAAACCTTCATAGAATAAACCTTTATATTGATTGATCACTGAGTAGTGACCAGTGTCATGTTCTTCTAGACTATTATACTAATCTAAGTTCTTTTATGGAGCTGGATCAAAAGCAAAGAAATTTATGGAATTCATCGTCTTTGGAAATTAATGTCATTATTGCTTTACTTACTTTTGTGAAAGCAATTAAATGCGTGAAATTTTTTAAATCGAATTCTATCGATCAAATTGCAATGTAGTCATTAGTCTAAGTGACTCGACATTGAGAAGATTGTGTTTAAGTGTTATTTGGTTTGACAGCATCTTCAGGAACCCTCTTTCCTTGGTACCTACTACTTGGGAATCTTCAAAAGGGTGTCTTTACTATCCTGATGGAACTAATACTTAGATCTTTTAGGGTTGATATTAAAGACCACATTATCATATGAAATAGTTAAGGTGGGGATCCCCGATTCCATTGGAGATCGAACTCATTACCTCTAGTCTCGCGCACATGCTTTATCTCTAAACCACCGAGTTGGAACCGTCGGGTGAATTTTTCTAACGTCTTGGTTTCTAAAAGCTGTTTAACAAAGATCAGTCCATGGTATAAGTCAAATTATTATCATTATCGAAATGATCAGGAGGCACTTCAAATATATGATAATCTAAATTTCTTGACTAAACTACTGAGCTGTGAGAATTTAATTTCACCAACAGTCTACCTATTGTAGCTGATAAGAACATTGATTTAATTACTGTTTTTATCACCTTACTGATTATTTGTTTAGGTTTCATAATCATAAGATACAAAGTAATGGATGAACCGCAGACATTTAGAGGAATAACATTTTATAAGTACGCTGTTGTTATTTCAATAAAAACAGGGAATTAATAAGAAATAATTATATAACTCACCTAAAGCGCCAGTTTCACCATTTGTTTCCACAACAAAAACAGCTGGTCTATTAACAACACCACCAACGAGACCTGGACCAAATGCTCTTATACGCGATTCTTTGTAAGGAGCAACTTCCACCTGTTATTTATATGTATGACAATAATGTTGAAATTTATAAATACTACTGTCAGTGAGAAGTTATCTGCATGTATAAATGAATCAAATAAGTGGGTCAGTCCACCTAAATTAACATAGGGGTTTACATAAATATACGTTAGCCTGAGGTATTCGCACAAAATGGAATTGACAAAATGAATAGTGAAATCAAAATCACATTGTAGAATTGATAGTGAGAAAGGTTAGACATTGAGGATATAGATTGAAAGGAAGGTATGTACTGAAGCTCAAGATCTAGGGTGAAATAAGAAGGGAATGGATTCGTACGAGTGTGATGAGTTCTAAGTCATATTACTCATTTAGATAAAAACCAAAAAAAATAAAAGAAAACATAATTTATATTTATTACCTAATCAATACAAATCTGTCTATTTAATCAATAGATGTAACCAAATAACGACAGTGTTATTTCACTTATAGTACATCCTTTAGTTGAATAGTTTCACAAATGGCTAAACATATCCAGAATATCAATAGTTGAAATCATGAATCAATTGAAGCTAGACCACCATGGAAAACCTGGAAGAACTGGACGGCCGTTTCGTCCTAGTATGGGACTCCTCAGCAGTGCGCATCCACGATCCCGCACCCCGCGGGATTCGAACCCAGGACCTATCAGTCTCGCGCCAGGCGCTTAACGAACTAGACCACTGAGCCGGCATCCAACGGTGTTAATGTCTAACTTCAACTAATCCACGAAGTTGCGCCACCGTCACCATTGTCTTCAGTGAGCTGATATCTCACAACAGACCTGGTTGAACTCCACTGGTCACGGCTTCTCACTAGAACTCCAGGAGTATCTCTTGAAGTCAGTCACTAGTGAGCAGAATAACTAATTAACTTGTATTTCACTTATGAAATCAGAATAGTTCAAGTGTATCATCAACATTTCAAGCTTATCTCTTTAGTTTTATTTGACATTTCTGAAGCATCATTTTCTAAGAAAGTTGTCACAGACTCGAATTGTTTTGCTTTTCTTACATAAGAATTAATCTGCTTTTTATTTGAAGGAGTCAAAGTGAAATTAAATTATGATTAATAAATGTAAATAGACTATATTATATGAGACAGTAAAGAGAATGAAAGTATTTGTAAAATCTTAGAGAATGAATTTCAAGTAAATTCACATCTCTCTTACACACTAATGTAAATACCTACTTTAAACATTGTTGACGTTGATTAAATGACTTATTTAGTATACAATGAACTGAGAACCGTGTACCTATTTATATTCGATAATTTTGATGTTTGATTATATTTCCTTGAAGAAAGCTTGGACCAGATCGCCAGGGGAAACGTTGGATTTATCTCAAAATTCATTTGCTGAGATTTTACAAATACATTTTTCCTCTTTAATGTCTCATATCAACTCGGTGCGTAAATACTGTAAAACTAATCGATCAAATTTAGACGAAAGTTCTTATTGGTTATATTATAACTAGGTCAATAATAATCACAACATATTGTACATGTTAGTTTTTATACACTTTTATGTTTTGACACATAAATTATAGAGAAACAAAGGATAAAGTAATAATAATTTTTATTTAACAATTATGCATGTATCAGAATGTGTTTTGTAATTTTAATAGTTGAAAATCATGAATCAATTGAAGCTGGACCACCATGAAAAACTGGACGGTCGTTTTGTCCTACTGTGAGACTCGTCAGTAGTGTGCATCCTCGATCTTGCCTCGCGGGATTCGAACTCAGGACCTATCAGTCTCACGTAAACGCTTAACCTCTAGGCCACTGAGCCGGCATGATATCATGATCTCAATTATGCATCTATAACTGAACACAAACTGTACATATCTATTTTATGTAAACTGTTTTTTTGTTTTTAATGAATATCTACTCAATACTAGATTAAATGTATTCAATGAATAGTATACCTTTTAAAATTACTTACCGTAAATGGACTTAGCATAATATGATCTCCACCATATCGAACGTTAACTTGATGTGTACCTGGTCTTTGAGGTGTATAACTACAATCAAACAAATAGGCACCAGTTTTTCGACTTGTGCAAGGAATTCCTCTACCGTCTAAATATTAACAAGAAAAAGTTGAACGACAATCAAAACTATCAGTTCAACTAGATGTTTCGGTTGTGCTACTTTCTGTTAGCTAGTTGAGAGGCTTTCATTATCAGTCTGAATTAACCGGTCACGAAAGGAAGAATGTTATGTTTCGCATTATTGGGAATTTTAAAGTAATTCATTCTAAAGGTATATCTTTAAATCTCTTCAGAAGAGATAATGAGCTGATCAATGTTAGATCATTGGAAACCTGGAAGCGTTGGACGGCCGTGTAGGGTTTCTCAGTGTGTATCCACGATCTCACGCAAACGGCTAACCTTTATACTATTGCGCCGATGTCCTACAGTATTGACGCCTAACTTCAACCAGTCCACACCCGAAGCAGTTGGACTACATTTGTCACGGCGTACTGCTGAGGAGTTTCAAACTAGGGCGAAACGGCCTTTCAATACGTCTAGATTTTCAATAGTGGTTTAACGTTGATCAGTTTGTGATCTCAATTGGAACCCAACAGTCTCCACAACCCTATACTGATAACATTCCAGAAGAATTTCAAACATAGGCCTGTCATCGACGTAACTTTTCAGTTTATGTTTAAATGAATTTATGATCATGTGCGCCCACTAAAAGTGGCATACACACATGTATCAGTTGAGTTTACCACATCGTATCAGTAAAGCGATATGTAATCATCAGGATTATTACCAGAATAGGAGATTTTAGTAAAAGTATCAATGGTAGCAGAAAACATCAACCATAGACAAAATAAATCAGGAAGAAAAAAGAATTCTAAGAAAATAAAGTATCTGAAAAGTTTAACTAGTGTATCTCACAATCGTAGTGAATACTAAACGAACGTTTACAGTTTAATAGCCAGAAAGATGAATATAATTAAATTCATAGCAGTCATATATCAATACACTTAAGTATATATAAACATGATCTAGTACACTTTTCATACATAAAGCTTAGTATTCAATAAATAAACACATGACAAAAAACTAAATCACTCATCAGTCAGTCAGCTACAGTGTAGGACCAGGCGCATATATGCATTGGTCCAAGTTGCCTCACCTCATCAGCACAACAAGATGAACACCGGATTCATAGAAGTAGTCACATCAAAGGTAGTAGTATATAAAAGAAAGATTGTGTATAAGGATATAATACAGGAAGAAAGAATTAGTTTGTAGAAAGAAAGATATGAAGTGATTTTAATCTCTTAGTTTAAGGAAAGACAAAGAGTGTATACACCTACACCATTGTGATCGATTCTGAGCCATGTCAAAAGAGTATCCAACTATTGATTAAGATAGTCACACGGACCCCAACCAAGTAGTTTGCATCTATCAACATGGCTCAGACTTGAAGCTAGTGACATTATGGACTGATGCCATGTTTTGGTTTGGCTGCCCCTAACTCTCTTCTATCTCCAACACTAGTCAGCATTGCAAAAATCACTCATAAAACTAATGAATGAATTAACAATACTATGTTGAATTGATTTAATAAGATTTCTCTATTTTTTTCCCAATCAAATGAAAGGTAGATATAAATTATATATTATATTATATAAAACCTACAACTACATCATTTGACTATTATTTCTTATTACACCGTAAATTATGTCACCAGTAGCTTTACTTCCTTAAAAAGAAAAAAAACACAACCCCACTATTGATCAATATTTCTGTTATTCTTTTTCTTTTCTCTTTTTTTTTTAAAAAAAAAAGAGAAAAAATGTTAAAAATGAGGCAGAAAGATTGTTTCATATTGGTAGCAACAAACTACAGTAGACTAAATCTTATTCAATCTTTGACGACGATAGTTGTACTAAATCATTTTATTCTATAAATTATAATCAATAATATTATAAATTTACTTGGTAACAAAAACGTTCTAATTACGTAGTTACATTTTCTCACTTCTCCTGGATACTGAAAAGATGTAACTTGTTTTTGTTTTTGTTTTTTTTTTTTGAAAAAAAAGAAAATGAAAATGAAATAATTCTTTAATCTAATAGAGATATCTATAATCTTTTATTTGGTGACATTGATGACGAGATAAAATTAGGGCAAACAAAACTATTTTAACTAAGTTATGTATGAATCTTATCTAATAAAATTGAGTTTATTATAAAAATTAAAATGGATAATGATAATATTTAGGATAGATTAGCAGGTTTGTCAGGCTGTTGCTGATATTATTATTATTATTATTACGGACAATCAGGAACAGGCAGATATATATGCATCGGTTCAAGTTGCCATACCTCATTATCATAACACGTTAAACACTAGATTCATAGAAGTAGTTACTTCAATAGTAGTAATATACACAAATAAAGTTTGTATATAAGGATATAAGACAGGGAGACAGAATTAGTTTATAGAAGGAAAGGTATAAAGTTATTTTAATCTCATCTTAAGGGAAGACAAGGAGTTTATACACTTATGTCATTGTGAGCGATTCTAAGCCATATCACACAGTCTTCAACCATTGGTTACGATAGTTACTTCATTAGCACAACAAGATGAACACCGGATTTATAGAAGTAGTTAATTCAATGGTGATAATATATAAAAGGAAGATTTGTGTATAAGGATATAGTACAGAAAAAAAGAATTAGTTGGTAGAAAGAAAGATATAAAACGATCTTGACAATAAGTAACATCTTTCGAATGGTCACTTGGTACTCTGTTAAAGACAGAAAAAAATATTTTTGTACTTCAAACCAGTTTTCATTACTGATTAATATTAGCTGAGAAACTTTCTAGAGATATAAAAGAAAAAGGATAGCTGTTTCGTTCTAGTTTAAAATTAGTAAGTAATATACGACTCCAGACGTGATTAAGTGCAGTACTTTTAAGTTACTTGTTAAGCAACGTAATGTTGACCCACTGAGTTAGAATCTAACAGTACGTATTTTTAACTGTAGCTATTTAATGATGCAATGGACTTATCTTAGTTTCGTAAAATCAGATTATAATGTTGGGATGTATGATTTTATGTCTAATTTTTAAACAAATATTGATTTCATTTTAGCGCTATGAACTAAATCAAGATTGTTTTAACTTGTGATCTTGTACCCTATTAATCTATAACGTAATGATATCGTCAATTAGAGAACAATGACTTATCGACCAGACCAATCACACATAAAACCTATACGAGCAGTCTAGAGTTTTTATCAGCCCTGCTTGCAGCCTAGTCTTGCCTATTAAGTCCAGAACACCAATCTCAGCCTCTGAGATATAAATCATGTATTTCAAACATACTGGGTTTGTATACAATCCAAACAGACCACATCATACCATAAATTGGAAAATAACATTTGTACAAGTTTTAGCCAAATGTGGCTGTGATTGTGGGTAACTGTAATTAATGAACTGGGCATAACTTAAGAACGGTAAATCGTATAATAATAGTTCATAGGTCAAAATAAAGCTTATAATAAGAGGAATATGAATATATGTAGGTTAGTCACTTAACAATTATACAATAAACAAATAGGTGTAGTATTAATCCAGAAATAGATCCCAACAGTTAACAGTCATTATTCTCGTCGGTATAAAACAAAGAACGAAATACCTTGAAAATACAAAACATATTTTAAAAATACTATATAGTTTATTGGTGTAACCACCTGGAAATATGTATGATATAGTTCAATTTATTGATATAACCCGATAAAAATGTGTATTGATTCAGGTTACCCACACTTAATGTATACGGGTTTTCATTAGTCGGAAGTAACCTAAACAAATAATCTGTAAACATCTGTAAAAAAAATTATCTACTTTTTTTTTACCTGGAGCAATTACAGACACTTCTAGTGGACCTTCACCAGCATCTTCTGTATGTACTTTGAAATCAGCTAAATCTTTGACTCGTATACCTTGAGGTTGAATTCCTCGACCTGTGGCATAAGCTTGTTTTGGATCACAAGCTAAATAAAACAAAATATTTGAATGAATTACTATTTACAGATTAATACACAAGAAGAATATAATCCAGAGCAATGAGCTCTTCTCCTACTTAATATTTTTTACTTATATAACAGTATGGAGTGTAATAGTATTACAAATGTAACATTGATCATTTAAAAGATTTAAAATAGAATTTATTTGTTTATTTCGACTAGTCAAATAAAACTGTTACAAATAATAAGTAACCGGATATGAATATAAGAAATAGAATTCCGTAAATATTATGGAGTAATAAAAATTTAATGTATATTTATACAATTCTGACCTGGTCGTTGTGGTTGAGACATTTTTCTAGGTGACTGTGTTGCTTGCAATGGAGCTGTAATTAAAGTATGACAAGGTTTATACACAAGTGTTCTTAAATAGATATGGTAAATTTCACAGTTAATGATCATGCTTTCGAGATATTAATGTGCATTAGTCCAGTTGATTAAAAAGAGTAATAAAACAAATTGGACAAGCGTTTTAGCTCATGCTTTTATTATTATTGTTGATTTCATTATTTTATTGGCACCAAATTTGTTTGGAATTAAATCATGCGTAGAAGTTTAAAAGAAAAGAATTTACAAACATTTTAGATAATAATAGCTAAGCTTAGTCCACAATCTTTACAAATCCCTTATACTAGTAATAATCATGTGCATACTAGTGTCTAGCTTCAAGATGTAATCCTTGAAGTTCTAGTAAGAAGCTGTGACCAGTAGATAAGTGTTGCACAAGATCGGGAATTGATTAAAGTTAAATACTAACACCGATGGATACTGGCTCAGTGGTCTACAGGTAGAGCGGTAACACTCAAGATCAAAGGTTCTGGGTTCGATTACCCTAGGCGATTTGTGGGTGCTCATTGTTGAGGAGTCCTGCACTAGGATGAAATTGTTGTTGAGTGCTTCCAATTTGACACTGGTGGTTTAACTAAGATCAATTCGTGATGTAGACTTTTAGAATTCTACAATCTTCAGAAATCCTTCATAAAAATAAAATGTTCAACATTTTATATCATCAAGGACTATTAAAGTTAGACAATGAAAATCATTTTACCTTCAATATGACCTTATTATCATTCAGATTCAATGGAAATCGTCAGCCTAAAGTGTCATGTAAGTAAATAGAACAAATTTTCTTTGATATTACTTCGTTTGTTAGAAACTGATCGAACGTTTATTGTCACCAAAAGATATGTGTATGTCATAATGTTTTTGGTAGTACTGTACTGTGTGAGCCAGATGCTTTAATTGTACAACTTTCTATCTTGTTTTTCTTAAAAACAATTAACACTTACTTCATAGAGAAGTGAGAATCATTTAACGATTATTTAACAAGTATTTGGTTTTTTCCAATATGATAACCGTTACTGTGGTCTACATTATCTTTGCAATCCCATTAATCTCTTTCTTAGATTATATTCTGACCATTTGATCTTCATCATTATAGTGGTAGATAACCTCATTCAGTGATTTCCCTAATTAGAGATATAATGAGCTTCATTTTGTTAATGACATTCAAGAATCAATTGTGTACATATTCTTTATACTAAAGATATATATACTGAAAGATTCATGATATAAGTAAGAACTATTTTCATAAAAGAAGCTCTATTAGAACAGGTTTAAAACATTAAAACATTACTCAAAATGTCTAGATCAAAATAAATCTGTTAAAGGTTTGTTGGGAAGCACAGCACTTTTTTCATATCAGTATAGGATTTTAGGGGTTATTAAGTTTTTGATTAAGATCATGAACCGATTGATGTTAGACCACCATCGGAAGCCTGGAAGCACCGGATGACCGTTTCGTCCTAGTATGGGACTCCTCAGCAGTGAGCACACACGATCCCGCTGGCGGGATTCGAAACCAGGGCCTTCAGTTTCGCGAGCGAACGATTAAGCTGCCCAAGACCACTGAGTCGGCATTCAACGGTGTTAATGTCTAACTTCGGCCAATCCACGAAATTGCGTGACCACCTTCCATTGTACTGAGGTAGATACCTGTCTCTACCTGACATAGATTAGCTGGTCACGGATTCACACTAGAACTCCGAGGATTTCCTTTTTTATTATATTTACTGTAAGAAATAAGTAGCAACAACCGTCGTTCAGCCAAATTCACATGAGAATGAACAATAAAATCAAATCGAAATAATGAAAAGCGAATATTATTTTTCAGTTAATTTAAAGCGACAACATTTCCTCGGCCAATAAGAAATCATGAAATAGTTTGGGTACATGCATAATGAATATCTTTTTCCATATTTCCAGTCATTAATAATGATGATTATTTGGTCAAACTTCATATAATTGTACTTTTAATAGATTTGCTATCATGCTGATTTATGTTGTAACTTAATAATGATAATAAGAATAAATGTCAAAATTAACGAAGAAATAAAGCTTAGCAACAATATGATTCATTCATTCATTCATTCATTCAAACAAAAAAAAAATTGATGCACACCTTCCTGGTTAACTATAGGTGCAGGAGATTGTACTACTGGTGGTGGTCCTACATGAAAAAACAAAGTTGTGAATTTATAGTAAAATATTTTATTTAAAAAAAATAATTACTTTAAAATTATGGGTAATTCTCATTCAACATGATAAGGTATATTGGTTAAGATGTTCTCATTAATGTTTAGAACTGCAATTGATCAATCTCTTTTGGCATATGACATCCTGTGTGGATTGTTTCGATTTTGTCATTAAGTTGCGGGTATTGTAAGGAGAGATGGACGCTTGTGATTTAATTGTAAACTAACTCATTAAAATTTTGTCTATCTAGAATCACTAAGTAGGAACACAGGACAGGTAATTAAGGTTTAATTTCATTGAAAATATAGTGATATTCACTTCTGATATCTGTAAGCATCTTGGTGATTAGTTGATAGATCTTGCTAATTGAACGCTATATTCGGTTCTTAAACTATTCTCGTAACCCCCCAAGCTAGAACTACACAGCAACCTGAACACAAGAGAAAAGGCGTAAAACATGCGAGATGCACCGTGCTCCAAAGGTTCATTTTAATACAGAAAATATAGGGTTTTTATAGTATTTTGAATGTCCTTGGGTTGCTCAAAGATTCTGGAATGCTACTAAACATAGTGGCTATATAGTAACCAGCCAATCAGAACCTCTATATATGATGCTTCACTTTCTTGATGTTTCTGGCTAAACTTCAAGTGAACGCTGATTGGATAAAATTCGTCTTAGTGTTTACTGAGCCTTTCTTGTCTTTTGTGAGACGTTTTCTGGATCACCCCAACATTAGTAAATTTAAGAAATGAAATTCATTTCAGTCATACATTTTGAACAATTTAGTCATATATACACTTGTCAAGGCACGTGTATATAAAAATTAATGAAGGACATTTATACGGCAAATAGAAGGATATAGTAAGTATAACATTTTCACTGTATCACTGAAATGGTTGTCACCTATTGAAAAACTCAAAACTTGTGTATCAAATAAATTCTTTCAATTATTTTCATGAACATGATTATCATTTGTACTTTTCACAAGTGATTACCCTGAACCATGTAACCCATTTTTAGTAATTGCTTATCTTTATACATATGATATTTTTTTTGTAAAATCGAACTATGTATAAACAGTTACGAAATCTGCGAATATATATTTTAGGCTGTATACTTATTTTCTATTTCCAATTTCATATTAAGAATAATACACAACTTGTGGTTTTATGTAAGAGTTCAGGTCTTTTCTATTGTAGATATTATTGACCACAGCTAAGAAGTTTATAATAGTATTTATGCATCTTAAACAGACACAACTTTACTAAACACCTGTAACCAGAGGTTTTATCGAGATTATTTGCTCACTCTTTTTTTAGGCTTCAGATAATGTGCTCTGTGAATACAATTTCAAAGTATGTTAGTTTTGTTATGAATAAAATAATTATTATTTAGATGTCATTCAGTCAGATACAACATAGAAACAGGCACATATATGCATCGGTGGTTCAGAAAAAGTTTGATCTTTGTTTAATGATCTTATTCTCATAGCAGTACAAAATATAAATATACATTATTTTTATGATAAGCATTTTTAATAAATCTGTTCGTAGTAACAATCATTAACTGAATCTAGTGATCATGAAATTAGAATCAGTCAGTCAGTCAATTAGTTAAAGGGAAGACAAAGAGTGTATACAACAACGCCATTGTGATCTATTCTGAACCATGTCACCCAGAGTGTTCAACCATTGGTTATGATAGTCATGCGGACCCCAACCGAGTATATTTACCAACATGGCTAACATTAAAAGTTAATGACTTCAAACACTGATGTCATGTTTTGGTTTAGCCGCCCCTAACTTTCTTCCAACCGTTCCCAACACTAGTCAGCATTGTGCGTCGTAGGAATCGGTGTTCAGGCATACGTAACACGTGGCCCAATCATCTCATCCGATGGAGATTTCCTTGTATATATTCATCAGACAATTTAAATGCAGAACATTTTTTCATTCTTAATTCAATATTAAATTATTCAACAAGTTATCTCGACTATTTATCCAATTATATGTATATGAATGAAAATTAAACATGTCTAATCTACAGGGGATAAACTGTAATTCTACTACTAATTATAACAATAAAGATATATATAGCGAATATTAAAGAATGGAAAGTCTTATATTAGGATTATATTAAAATAATTCAGACATTAATCCGATCATGACTAGTTTATGTATATCAATGTAGGCGGGATATCAACATCTTTCTTCCTCCTAGTAAATATTTTCAGATGTTAAATTAATTAATCACTGACTGATATCAATAAATTCAACAATAAAGCTCAGTAAAATAAAATGATGAATCATGGTTACTTCAGTTGAAAGCAGTTTCCCTTCAAAGTATAATGTGCATTTTAAAGGTCTTCTCAAGTATTAAATTTTTATCGTAACGGGGCGGATTTGTATGCATATAGCGTACAATTCTCTTTGAATCTAGTACACAATAAAACTTCATCACGTGGTAAGCCCAAACTTGAAATCTTGAAAGGAAAACAGGAAAGCCAAAGAACACACTACACAGAGAATTGGAAGCAGACATGAAAACGATGAATAACAACTGGAAAGGATTACCCAGGACAAGGTTGGGTGCAGAGTGCTGGTGGGCGGCCTATGCTCTTCCACGAGGAGTAACAGGCGTAAGTAAGTAAGTATTTAAAGTACATGATCGGTCTGATAAAAATATATGAACTTAACTACTAACATTATTAGTTACGGATCTAATTTTAAAAAAGATCAGTCACAGTCTACTGAAAAAGACACCATGACTTTGTTTAATTTTAGTTGAAAGCCCTCATATTTATTTAGCTCATAAATAATAAAACTGATAGTTTTGTTCTCTGAGCTGGAAGTGTTGGTCTTGGAGCTTTCGTCGTTATTCCGAACGACATCATAAGCATATGCTTTAGGTAGAAGTGAAGGGTTCGAATTTCTCCACATATGGCTCACGGCTTGTTTTGTAGACCTCGATGTTGACTGGTTATTGTTGACCTTTAACCCGTCATTGTTTCCTTCTGTATTTTGCTTGTATCCCATTGATTTGATTATTGGTCCTATATTTGTCCATAATTTTTCTGATTGGTTGGTAAATTGGATCTATTTCAATGTGTTTGTTGATGCTGATTGACCTGAATGCCATGATTCTAAACATTCTGTGATGTTTTCAGAATTGCCTTTTCCTTTCCTTTATTTTGTATTTATCATATAAATTTATATTTTAGAGATAGATAAGAACACAAAATCCAACAAAACTTTCTAAAGTATATCCTTCTTCTTGATAGTGATGTAGGTTTATGAGCAGATGGAACCATGAATCAACACCAAACATTACTTGGGGAAAAAAATGAAAAAAAAACTCTTGCGAGAGTTTTTACTTGTTGAAGACTTCAAGTATAATGGAAAACGGACGAATATCGGTCTGGGTATACCTGCATCGCGAAGTGAACATCAACTCTGAGACGCAAGTACATCCAGCTGACCAATGCCAAATAGGACGAAACGCACGTCCTGGATTCCACTGCTAGCCATTATCCATCTTTGCTTATAATGCTTGTGAATTAAGGCAATATCGAGGCAAGACGCACAGTATGCACATGTGCTAATAAGAGACTGAACAATTGCAGTCATAGACATCGATGCAATGATTCAAGTAAACAATACCAAGTGAATTTATCAATTGTTTTGTCTATATAATTTTTTATTTATTTAATGACATAAGTAACCATAAATATTTTACAGAAACTAAATATGCAAGTTATTTCATGATGTATTCGTTCACAAGAAAATTTTGCAAATTCTTTTTATGAGAGGTAATAGGTTCTTAAAAATTGTTGCTAAAGTAATCACAAGAATAGTGATAGGGAGAGACTATATAATTTATGGATGAACAAATTACGTATAAGATGACAGGTCTCGGATTTTTATCAATTATAACTATGTATAAATGGATGTGTAAACTAATTTGAAGAAATATTTAGGAAATATAAGAGTATTGAAAAAGTGATTATTTACAATTTGGAAAATAATAAGACGGATTGCGTAACAATCATAGAATATTTTTGATTGAGATCATGAATCGATCGATATGAGACCACCAGTGAAATCCTGGAATTACTGGAAAGTGGGCACTCCGCTCAGTGTTTTAGAGGTTAAGCATTCACGCGCGAGACCAAAGATCCTGTGTTCGAATCCCACGTGAAGTTTCGTGGATGCGCACTGCTGAGGAATCCCATAATAGGACGAAACGGCCGTCCAGTGCTTTCAGGTTGTCAATGGTGGTCCAACATTGATCGACTCATGATCTCAATCAAAAGCTCAACAATTTCCACAAAGTCATATTGATTATCATAGAATAATTGGAGAGCTCACATAAATCTTAAGAATAAAGTCAGGGAATGTCAAGGATGAGTAAAAATAGAGTTTTAAATTGAATGAAATAATAATCAACTAAGCGGAGGTTGTATACAGTAACACAAATAATAATAATCACATGAGAGAAACTAATCAAAACTGTCTTTTTACCTTGGTAATGATAAATTATCTGATGTTCCCCCCTAAAGACATAAATTTGATTTGAGTTTTTTAAAAATAGCTACCGCTTTTAAGAAATATGATGAAGTTATGCTATTTTGAATGTTAGTTATTTAGAAAGATTAAAGAACTTCGATAAAACGGTAGGTATTGATGAGATGTCTATTATTGTATTAGCTTTTAATTTCATGCTTTTAGAAATATGATTGGAAATACAAAAATATACTCTTTTATTGGTTAATAATGAATCTTTTTATAAATACAAGTTTGGAGGTACCTGAAAAGGAAATCGGATTAGAGGTGGTCTTAATGACCTGTGAGCGTGACCGCAATGCCCAGAGGACAACTGTTTGAGGTTGGTCCCACACGACCTTTTTGTGATTAATTTTCGTGTTAGCTCAGTATTTGTTGAGACCTTGCAGGACGGAGGCAGATATCTGTGGGATAAGGCGAGGTGTCCATTTTTAGGGTCAACCTTTTCTAACTCCATCCCTCCTTGTGGGAAGGCAGCATCGCTGTTATACTGGTTTTCTGAAGGAAACACCTTATAGCCGTCACACCTCTCTACAGTCTCCCTCAGGCCTTGGCCTGCTGCTTTTAGTCTTACCGTTCTTCAACCGACCTGTCTGGCATGGTAGGACCATAAGGAACGGTTGTTCCAGCCAGTATAGCTCAATTACTTCATTACGATGGGTCATCCAGATCACGTCAAGGTAACAGCAATGATTGGATTTATAATTAAAATTTTATCAACTAACTATATGTTAAGATACACTGTTGTACATCGTGGACATATTCATAACAGGACTTAAAATTAACAAGAAGTGTTCAGAATGAGGAGTTTTCTTCCGAATGTTCTAGTGATCATCAATAAAATTGAATCATTCAAAAAAGTTCATAATATACTATAGTGGTATGGTATGGATAGATTTACATAAAAAATGTAGTGTAACAAGTGTTCAAAGCAAGTTTTATGTACATCTGCAGAATTGTTATACACAAATGAAATTTAGTATTATATAAAATCTGGGAACTTTATCAACAATACAATCAAAAATGTTTAATTGGATAATATGTATATCTACTTAAAACAAAACTTACGTGGACCAACCATCACACCAAATGGTGAATTTGATATTTGTTGACCAGCATAAAATACATTAACTGAATGAAGGCCTTCATCTTTTGGTGTATATTCTACAAGATAATTATCTTCGCCTTGACGAGTTATTAAAGGTTTAATAGCATCACGTCGACCATGAGGATCTAGAATTACACAATCCGCATTCCCAGGTCCAGCAGCTAAGAATAATTAAATGAATATTATTTTGTTAAAAAAAAAAAAGAAATATAACAAGTTAGATAATCATGATTCAATCAAAATATACTCAGCAAACCGGTATTGAGCGAAAAGGAAAACGCCATGAAACTTTGTTTCATTTCATAGTAGGTTATTGTTAAAACATTAAGTTATAAAATAATATTCCATAATTTCATTCATTTCTTTGGTACTTTAGGTACTAGAATTATTGACAATTTTCCATTAAGAGTCTTATATAACAGCTTTATATGATAGGTATGCAAAAATCATCGTGAAAGCAGACACAGGTTCTGACTATGTGTTGCTGTAAATGATATGCCAAGCAGTTATTAAATTGATTGGAATGCGAATAACATATAAAATTTCTTCCGATTGTCATCACATCATGAGAACGAGTAATTATGCAACTAATTTGTTATATCTCTTAGTTATAGATGTTCATTTGTGTGGTGTAGTAAATAAGTGTTCATACAATAAGTTGTTACTTAATTTATATTAAATACTACTTAATTCAGTTTATACAAATCGAATTGTTAATCCGAATACAAATAAATCGTCTAAAAAGTAGTATATTCATGTTTCATTTTAATTTATGTTAGAGGTTAAATGAATCCTTATTTACCGTAATAGTGTTCTTTATTTGAGTCGTCCGATTTGCAGTTTACCAAGTACCAAGATTTCCTCAAACACAACAGTACATCTTGGTCATCAGCTGATATGTAGCTGATTGCATCTTTCAAAGATTTTATTTAAAACATGAACAATACTTAAAAGAACATCTACAAAACTTAAACTACTTGAAATGAATTAAGCTCTAATTCTGTAAAACCTATTGACATATGGTAACCTCATACAAAAATATTTACAGTTAATACAGTATTATTAAATAACTTCGTATATGTGGATATCAACTAATATCAAAGTCAGAATCTTTAACACAAACGTCAAGACAGTTCTATTGTACGGAGCTGAAGCTTGGAGAACTACTGCAAATATCATTAAAAAGATACAAATATTTATAAACAATTGTCTACACAAGATACTCAATGTCCGTTGTTCAAACATCATCAGCAACAGCCTACTTTAGGAGAGAACAAACCAACTTCTAGCTGAGGAAGGAATTAAGAAATGACGATGGAAGTGGATAGGATATACATTACGAAAATCACCAAACTGTATCATATGGCAAGCCCTAATTTAAAATCCTGAAGGGTAACGGAAAAGAGAAAAGCCAAAACAACACACCACGTCGGTAATTAGAATCAGACATGAAAAGGATGAATAACAATTGGAAAGTATCTCTTAGGATAGAGTTCGATAGATAATGCTGGTCAGAGACTTCAATGATAGGTAACAAGTGTAAATGCTTCAGTAAATATATGTAACGATTTTATTGAATTATTATATTGAAAAACATATACAATGGAACAAACTAATTCTCTATAGAAATAATAATTCTTTATTCGATTACTGAATATCTGGAATAAAAATAAGATTATGAATCCAAACAACAGAAACAAAATATTTCATAAGCAGAAAAAAATATACATGTAAACAAAATACAAAAATCGATTAACATGTGCTTTACCTATGGTTAGGGGGGGGAGATGAACGGAGTGTTAAACTAGACAAACATTACAGTAAGTTGTAATCTAGTTTAGTTAATTGACTCCACTAGATTTGATACGTTTTAACTGAATGTCTAAAGAAAATCTAAATGAATCTTTCTATAAATAAAGAATTATTTAAATAATAAAATGTAATGTTTAGTTTCTAAGAAGAAAAAGATTTGGATAAATTTCAATAAAACTTGTTTTGATATAATTTTTAGCTATTCATTCAAAGTGAAGAATTGAAGATGCTTATAAAAACAATCATCTATCTCAGACAATAGATGAAGGGTTGTGAAAGATCATAGATGGATTAAAGTTAAACATTAACATCGTTAGATGCCGACTCATTGGTCTAGACATTAAGTGTTCGCGTGAAAGACCTAATGTTTTGAGTTCAAATCCCGTGTATGGGGTCGTGGATGCGTACTACTGAAGAGTCCCATACTGGGACGAAACGGTCGTCCAGTGTTTTTTTCTAAAAAATGTATTAATATATTTAACTGTTGTTTGTTACGTTAATCATTGTTTAAAATAATTACTCAATATTAGTAATATTTTCAATCAGTGTTTGTCACTTATTCTCATTAAGAAAACTCTAATGTATGTCATGAATGCAAATTGACATCCGTTTTTGAATGCTCAACTTTTATGCGGTATCTAGCATTTTCAGTCACTTTTTTGTCCATTTAGTGGATGAATTCTGCATACAAAAATATAATTTTCTTGAAGGATTTCATTTTAAGCTTTTATATTTACTTTCTCTATTTATTAAAATATTTTATTTATTTATTTAAACATAAACATTGGTAGAAAGAGGCACCAAATAGATATGCGCTACATAAATCATTCGATTTATGTGAGGGATGGGATACTTCCCGAGTACCCAAACTGAAATAGGTGGTTTTCTTAGGTGGCCATACTCGGATCCTTTGACTTAGATGTCTAATCCACAAGGCAGTAGAGCAATGTAAGTAGATGCAGTCCTATGATAGCCGGTGACCAATGATTGGTTCATACGCCATTTGTTCCTTCAGGATATTGCAGCCCATATACGCCATTGGTTTGGAATCAGGATTTTTCAACTCTTCTAGGTGGAATCTGTGTCCGCCAAAACTTGTTAAAGCGCCAAACATTCGCTTTTCGTCCTATCAATTTCGTAAACAACAGCCCCACTGCGAGAAGGCAGTGAGTATGACTTCCCTGACAGTGGTTGTATGCATGTGGCGATGTGAGAGCATTTGGAGGGAGAGCGAGAGAGAGAGAGTTGACTCTCCCCGCTCTTGCCATACCGGATTGTTTGGGGGCTACCAAAAAATTTGAGATGCACTACAGTGGTGTGTTCATAGAAGACACTTATAGATAGTTTTAGATGATTTAAACGAACGCCCTATTGAATATCATGATCTTGTTTGCAGATGTCATTCACTAAATGAACAAACATTGTTCATAAATGCGAGATATTTCATATTTATTGAAAATTATAAAAAATAAAGTATGGCCAACCACATAGGGTATCCGTATATACTTTTATTATTTTTTTACATTAAAGTGTCATAATATCAAACATCAAGTGCAATTTAGTATGTTGTGTGGATCATGCAACATAATAGTTTTACTATTATTCTACAACTATATGAGAATAATGATAACATAATATGATTTTGTACAACATTTATTTCAACTTACAATCATGATTAGGACCAACTTTGTAAAAGAATTAAGTAATATTATTACTTATATGATATTAAAATGTAAAGTGAGTTGTATATGAGTTAAGTAAATTATGAAATTATAATAGTCATAGCTAGTTTCACCATGGAAAAGCTAGAAATACTGGACGGCCACAATGGTGACGGTGGTGCAATTTCGTAGATTGGTTGAAGTTAGATATTAACACCGTTGGATGCCGCCCAGCTCAGTGATCTAATGGTTAAGTGCTTGTGCGCAAGACTGACAGGTTCTGAATTGGAATCTCGCGAGACAGTATCGTGTATGCGCACTGCTGAGGAGTCACACAATAGGACGCAACGGCCGTTTAGTGATTCCAGGTTTCCTATGGTGGTTTAGCTTCAATTGACTCATGATTTCAACTATTGAAATTACTAAAATCTCCAAAAAACCCCTTCTGATATAACTTGTTGTCTATGTGATATGGAAAGTTAATCAGAAGTATCAACAGGTCAATCGATATCAATGAGAAGTGACCCAAAGGTTAATGGATCAATTTCTTAAGGATAGAGTGGTATATATATATATATATATATATATATATATATATGAATGAGTATTTGTGCATTTTTATTCGCTAGCCCAATACACTTTCTCGCTTACTCTTATGTTCTTGTTGAAGTAATCAGTTGGGGAGGAGGTAGTGCGTAGCACGGATTTTGGGCACTACATATTACAGTATTATGTTTGAAGAAAGGATAATTGTGTCTAATCAGGTTGTAATTACTATGTTTACATAATTAAGGTAATAGAAAAATTAATCGATTGTAAGACGAATAAGAGTTGTAGATAAAGAAAGCTATTCTATAATTATATTTTGTTAAAACTGGTAGGACTGAAACAATCCATCCAATCAAGTTATATGTTTCTATCAAAATGAAATAAGGAGAAAAATTAACACATTTGCGTTACTATGGTTTTAAAGACAACTGATGACTGATTTCTAATGTGCCTAGTGATTTTTTTGAGTTTTAATGTTATTCAAACTATTTTGTCTGTTAAGTAATCTGAAGAAAATGAGATTTTGAATATATTCACCGTTCTGATCTACTTCTTTACAATAGAATTTTTATGATTTTCGGATTATTCGATATTTAATCGTTATTGAGCAAATTCAACAAATGTAGTCCTAGATTGTCTTTATAGTTCTCTTAACTAGTACATATAGGGTGATGAACTGAAACGTAAAATGATATAAAAGGAACATAATTGTTTTCGTGAGCACTTCAGTGTAATGGATTTAGTGTAAACGTTGGAAAAGTATCTTACAAAGGAATACACTATGTATTCATTGTATACCATTCAAATTGTTATTCTTATTACACTAAAAATTAACTATAACTGGAAAATTATTGGGAGCTCTTGCGAGTTCCTTCAAAAAGTTCAGAAAAGCTGGAAAGAGGTTGAAAAACATTTCATCCACTTATTGTTCCGTAGAGATTCTTCAGAGGATTCTAAATAAACGATAGATTGTACTTAATACCATAATTGGGTGAATATTAATTCTATAATTCAATTTAATATATTTTTCCAAGACTTTTAAAATATTAAAGTTACCCACAAAACTATTAATACCCCAGTTTATTTTTTTCATTCAACTAACTTTAGAAATAATACACTTTTCATAATTTCAGTCTTTTTGTTGCATTCGTGGTTCAAGTGTAGGGGATTATTAAAGACTAATGATTGATTATAAAGTCAGTTTTACTAGGACGAAACGGCCGTTTTGTTATATCCGAGCGAAGATTAAATCACGAGTAACTTCTGAGATATTAATTAACTAATATTATCTATATATTCTTACGGTATAACTATTTAATAGCTAGACTATGTATATTTATATTCCTCTTATTATAAGTTTCACTTTGACCTATAATTTATCATTGTACGATTTACTATCCCTAAATTATGCTCAGTTTATTAATTACTGTCTCCCACATTCACAGCCACTTTTTGGCTTATTTGTGTACACATGTTATTTTCTATTTTATGGTACGTTGTGGTCTGCCTGATCGATATATAAACCAAGTATGTCTGAAATAAAGGATTCGATTCATATTACGGAAGCTGGTGTTGTGTTCTGGACTCAACTGGCTGGGCTAGACAAGGAAGCAGGGCCAATCCGAACTCTAGGCTGCTCGCTCGTATTTTATGCGTCACTGTATCGATCGATAATTCGCTGCTCTCTAATAGGCGGACTTCGCGTTATAACACGTTCAATGATTTCAGGTTTCCGATATTGGCCTAACATTCATTCATGATATCAACTGAAACTAAATTTTTAAGTGTCACACACTGGATATATCTAAAATACATGATCCGCATCTATCCATTAAATTAATATATATGAAAACTTAATTTTACATTATGGATGGATTCTCTGAGTGTTAGCTGTTATAAAATAAAAAAATAAATAATAAAAACGCATAGCCTGAGATCAACATTTACAGGTTGATAAATCCAAAAATCGTTAATCAATAACATTACGAAATGAGAATATACTCGAAAAAAAAAATATATATAGTTACCTGCAGTGAATATATTGAAGAATGTACGTCGACCAACTTGATTCCCAGTTGGTTCAATTCCTGGACCAGATGCAGTTGCTTTACTTCCATCACCTTGTGCCCCTTCTACCATAACTTTAAATGGTGAATTTAAAATTTCTTTAGTGGCAAATTTAATGATAACTCTGTATTCACCTTCTTGTGTTGGAACATAAGCACAAGAATAAGTTTGTTGTTTATCATTATTACTGAGTACATCGCACTAAATAACAGAAAGAAAAGAAAATATTCATAAAATTTCTGAAGGATGAAATCGAATAAGGATTTATTGACAAACATTTAAACAGTTAATCCCAACTGGGACATAATTTAAAGTTCTTTTTTAAAAAATTATTGATATTGATGGAGTTTTGTTCTCTGAGCTGGATGGTTTCGTCGTGGAGTTTTATCGTCCTTCTGAACGACATCATCAGCTCAAATCTAGATTTAAAGTCAACGAGAACTAATTAACATTGTAGTCTACAGGACAAGCCGCAAACCATATATGGAGAAATTTGAACACTTCATTTCTACCCAAAGTTTGTGCTGATGATATCGTTCAGAAGAACGTTGAAGGCTCCACGACCAAAACATCCAACACAGAGAAAAAAGCTCCATCGAAATCATCCACCTGAGCTACAAATCTTCTCCATCATGTATTGTTATCCTCCAACAGTACAGGAACCACAGATGAATTGATTTTATTGAATCACTATTCAACAAGTGCTAACAATTCAAATGATTATCTGGTATAAATCTTTAATCTCGCAAGATTAACAAGAATATTTATCCAGATTAAATGTTGCTTTGGGTCGGAATTAATTATTAAAAGTTATAATCACATTTGTAAATAATAATTTACATTTGTAAGTCAAATAGGTTAACATATATCAACATTGAATTCACTATTATGTAATAGTTACTGCTAAGCTTGTCAACTGAATTATAAGTATGCCAAATCGAGTGAGATAAATGATAATTACATCATATGTTTAAAAAAGCCGTTACATTTAAAAATAGACTAAGTGTATGCTATGTAGACTGTTCACATACAAACAAAACAACAAAGTAACTAATTACCAGGTGGTTGAAATTGTGAATACATATATATGCTAACAGAGTATTGACATTAGACGCATATTAATTCTCAGAAAGGATTTATTGTGGATATTACAGTAATTTATTAGTTGCGTTCGTGAGTCAAATGAAACTAGACCATCATGGAAAACCTGGAAGCACTGGACGGTCGTTTCATCCTAGTGTGGGACTCCTCGGTAGTGCTCATCCACGATCCCGCTTCACGAGATTCGAACCCAAGACCTATCAGTCTCGCGTGCGAACGCCTAACATAATGATTCAGCAATTTATAAAGCGGATGATAATAATGTTATCAAACCAGGTGTTGAACAAGGTGATAGAGGAAGGTGAACCTATTTTTACTGGATACACTGTATGTGTTATTCAGTTTGATTAACTGTTAGTCTTTCTATTGGAAGAATTCGCAACCTAACAACTATTAGCTTGTTGCTCTTCACAAAATAATTTATTAAAAATTAGATACATCATTGTTACTTTATGGTGTGTTTAGATTGCTTAGGCTCAGAATAAACCATCTTAATTACATCATTGGATTTCTTACATTAGAAACAACATATATATGTATATGATGTGTGTGTTGTATCCTTAAAATAATCAAAACAAAAGAATGAAATACGAAATAATTGGAAGAAATTATGTGCAAGTTTATTTCCGGTTGATGTTTGGTAAAATTTATCTATATTTATGTACTAGAATACCTTTGATGTGACCTCCATGAGACGTATCAGAGAGGGACGATCAAATGACAGAACACGGAATCAAGAATGTTATTATGATTAAAATAATTAACTATAAACTTACTGGTTCTCTTTGTCCTTTAGGATTCAGCACAATCACTTCAACAGCACCCCGACCAGCACTGAATGTATCAATAGTGAACCGTGCAGGATTACCAACAGTATTTCCATGTGGTTCGAGACCTTAAATTTTATTAACATAAAAAGTGAATTGAATGAAATCATATTTTAAAAATATTCGATCTTAGAACCAGCTTAAACTGGTTTTTTTTCTATAATTTTAACATAATTAAACATGGTATCTTTTTAAAATAAATTCTCAAGCTATCGCATCATTGATGTAACGAACTGATAGATTCATCTTGCAGAAACAGATGTTTAATACTTCCAGGTTTTCCATGGTTTTCTAATATAAATTTCAACAACATTCAATAACCCCCATAATCTAATTCTGATAAGATAAAAACATTTTTGGCTTAGTTACAGTCCATACAAAGTTCAATGTTTATGTTAGACAAATGTTATCTAATTTCAGTCATTCTCAGTATTTTCAAGACGATGTAAACTTCAGTTATTTCAAAAAAAAGACAAGATCTAATCAAGTTATAGCAACTCACGTGCAATTGAGTGTGTTCACACTTAATTAGGTTGTCATTTTGTCAACTTATTTAACCGACTGAGCCATCCGTACAGTAACAACTTATCTATATCATTGTACCTTTAGTATGATTATGTATGCTTGAGAATTGCTTACTTACTGCATACGCATATATTCATTCTGCTAGCTTTACTATTAGCTATTTGATTGACTCGATGATTCATTCATTTCCCTATATATATATATATATATATATATATATATATATATATATATATATATATATATATATATATATATATATATATATATATATATATTCGTAGTATTCGAACCCAGGACCTTCAATCTTGCGCGCGAACGCTTAACCTACTGGACCACTGAGCCGGCATCCGATGATTTTAATGTCTGACCTCAACCAATCCACGAAGTTACTGAAGTAGATACTTGTCTCTACTCAACACGGATTAGCTCCACGGGTCACTGCTTCTCACTAGAACTCCGAGAATTTTCTCACGAAGCTAGTCACTGGCGAGCACTATAGTCACTGCTTCTCTCTACCTTATGATTTCAAACACCGTTGAGGTTTATATAATAACAGTTACGAGGGTAATTGATTAACGAAGCACAATCACTACAAAGTATCCAGTGAATAGATATTTTGTTTGACTAGCAGTTGCTATTATGAATTAAACTTATGATCTGAACAAATCAAATCGTCATGTCTCTATATCAATTGTTTGATTCCTTATAGTATGACACATGAACATCTAAAAACTAATATACAATTTTGTAATGTTGATAATAATAACAAAATGAAAATGAATATATGGAATGTAAATCAGGGAAAGCTAACAAATATATGTCGATATATTTGATGTATTGCTTGATAATCAAATGTAGAAAACAAGTAAATGCATTATAGAATAATTATGATAAATTGATTAAGAGTTGTCTATCAAATTTAGGAAAAGATGATGGGATTCGATAGGACATATATTACGGAAATCACCAAACTGCATCACGAGAGATGTGCTAACTTGGAATCGTGAAGGGACACGGGAAAGAGGAAGACCAAAAAACACGTTACATCGCAAAATAAAAGCAGATATGAAAAGGATGAATCACAACTGGAAAAAACTGGAAAGGATTGCCTAGAACAGAGTTGGATGATGAGTGTTGGTGGGCGGTCTATGTTTCTCTAGGAGGAGTAACAGGCGTAAGTAAGTGTCTATCAAATAAAAATTCAAGTATATGTATATATAGAAGAAAATAAAATTTTTGCGAGTTGTTTGTAGAATATTCACGCAAAACATTTCTTCTAAATAAAAACAATATATTTGTAATATCCCAATGAGTAGAAAAATTAAATCTTCTGGCGTTTCGTGACTTAGTGTAAGCCACTTCTTCAGAGAATAAATAACCAAATCAAAATTAACCCAAGTTTAAATAGTACAACGGAATAACGAGATGTGCGATCAACCAAAAAACAGTTCTGAATAAATCAATATCATGTCACTTCGGTCAAGAGGATTCATTAGCAACATATATGTAAATTTGTGTATATGTAAGTGTTCACTGTTAAGGATGAAAAATGTGTGACTTTTATGATGAGGAAGGATCGAGTTTCATTTGTAAGATAATAGTGTGAATTGTAAATAATATCAGACTACGTTGCTAGGATAGATAGTCCAGATAGGATGTATGGTAAGGCCTTCTTTTCGATTGAGAGCAGTAGGATTAAGCATTATATGGAACGTTTCAGTTACTCTCCTTTCTTTGTATTGGAAAAACCTTTTTGTAATATTTTGATATTTTTGAAATTGATTTGGTGGTCGTTGGCGTGAACTGCTATTACTGATTTAATTTGAAGTCTATCCAGTTCTACGGGATTATTAGGAGGTTTCTTTGTGTACCTAACATGTTCTTTGGCACGACTCAAGATTTCGAGAGATGACTCTCCAATATAGAAGGCATAACAATCTACACAACCTAATGTGTAGACGCAGTTCTGTGTTGAAATGAACGAGATTTTTTTCTTTTGAGCGAACCAAAGTGTTTGGAAGTGTGTTCGTTGCTTTGTAATATACTTTAATTCTGTGTTGCTTTAAGATTTTTCGAAGTTCTTCTGTTGTGCCATGACTTGATTGGTCACATAATATTCTTGTTGTTCCGTTGTACTACTTAAACTTGGATTAATTTTAATTTGGTTATTTATTTACTCTGAAGAAGTAGCTTACACTAAGTCACGAAACGTCAAAAAATCTAATTTTTCTACTCATTGGGATGTTACAAATATATTATTTATTTATAATAATCTACCCAATGTTCAACTTATTCAAAATTATCAAATCAAAACTTTGTAATGATACCTACAATTTCTTAACATCATTATCTCCTTCCTTTAACTTACATCATTGTTAGTCATATTTATTTGTATTAACTTACTTAATAGTAGAAACAGTGTTAAGGGAATGCAAAGATAGATAGTGGTTAGTAGTGGAATCCAGTTTGACGCGCGTTTTCATTCACTGCTAACCACTATTCATCTTTGCTTATAATGTTTGTGAATTGAGACAATATCGAGATAATACGCACAGTATAAACATATGCCAATAAGAGACTGATCAGTCGCAGTCCTAAACATTAATAGGATGATTAAAGTAAACATTACTAAGTAAATTTAATATTGAGAAAACTTTGTAACATTGATTGACTAGATTTCGAATTATAGTTTTTACATTTTAAATAAATAAATCAGTTACAGCATTAAGATTAGTTTAAATGACAGAGTAATGCTAATTGAGAGTTCACTGTCAATCAAGAAACCAATAGATATCTATTTTGTCTGAGTTTGAGAGTAGACATAGATTAAGCTTAGAACATTAGAGAGTTAAACCAAGCAAACTATACTGTTAATGCTCCACGTTCTATACTTTTAACCTTAGTTTATTTTTAGTATTATTTTACTAAATTTTGATAACATTAGTAATATTTCACTCTTAATGTGAATTAACTCAATCAGTCATAGTTTCTTATTATGTCTTTGAAAACAATTCGTGAAGTCAGTTACCAATAAACTCATAGTTTATCATTTACGAACGTTATTTCTTTTTTAAGCTACTTTCAGAATTTTCCAAATCTGATTACTTATGTTCATCAGTTAAACCAAAGTACTGTGCTTTACGTATCCATAGAAATCGTTCAGACCAGTAATGCGTTCATAATATCAAAGTATCATGAAGCCTAATGATCGAAATTGTTTTGAACAATCAAGGTGTTTTATTCAAGACATTAGAATTGTAGACGATAGTTAAATTTGAAACAACTCAGTCAACGTTCATTATAAGGATAGAGTTAAAACATGCATGTATTTATTTCATGTCTCATTTGAGTGCATAAATCATTATTTTAGCTGAATGGTTATTTACATCTCATTGTTTTACTAAAACATGGCAGTGTAGTTTGACCATGCTGAATGTAAGCTTACCTACCAAGTGAATTGGACGATGGTTGTACAACATTATGAATTGATTGAAATTAAACAATGTAAACTGTTATGTATCCATTCAATGGTCTAGAGGGTAAATAATCACACTCAAGATCAAAAGTCATGGATCCGATACCTAATCCTAGATTCGTGTATGTGCATTGTAAATGTGTTACTTAATATGACGAAACAGTCGTCCAGTGATCTCAAGTTTTCAGTGACTGTTTAACCTAGATCATTTCGTGATTTTAGTAAAAAAACTTTTTTTTGTTGTTGAGTGACTGATGTCATACTCATCATAAAGCAATACAAAATAAAGAAACTACTGAAATCCACAGAGATATGATTTATTAGTTAAAATTTATCTGAAACTTTCAGATGGTAGTATTTGCGAGACTAATTTATGGACGAACCAATCACGTATAAGATGATAGGTCTCGGATTTTTGCGCGAAATTCATTCATTCACTCGGATAAATAGAGTTTTTGCATTATAGCTGATGATAGTTTATGATGAAAACCCTAAATGTAATTCTTAAGCTTAACCATCAACGATAAATCATAATTCTAATTCCTCACATTGGTTTATAACCCTCATTTGATCTTGATTATAGGGTGGAAATTTTCAAGGTCAGTCTGGCGTCGCTCAAAGGTCGTCTATAAATTATAATCTCATCGAAGTATTCAATCATAATTTCGTTTTCACAATGTTCACAACACCCCTGTAAACTTATTGATTTTTAACTGTTATTAAGAGTAACTCATTGATGCAAATAAAGTTGGTAAAACCAAAACACAACTTTTGTCATACTTTTGAAGTCCAATGTCAAAATTCTATTGTAATAATAAATATTAAATTGTACTTGTTCAGGTTACATTGTCATTTTATCCCAATATTATTAGACAGGTTTGGTATTCAACTAACATATTTAATTACCAAGCCTAGATTTTACTAATCCATACTTCAACAAAATAGTAAACGAGTCCTATGTAAAGGATGAGTCACAAATTTCATTTATCTAAACAGTTTTTTTTATGGCATAAAAGTTACCATGTTAATGGAGTCATTAATAATTAATGTTGCTACCGTTTGTGT